ATTAGGGTAAGGGATACTTACAACTTTCTTAAAATAAGACACGTACTTTTTAAAGATAGTAAGATAGTCTTAGTTTACTTATATTACTTCTTTTACGAGCTAATTACGACGATCTGCCTTTATGTTTGTAGTTATAGTAAACTTATTATAAAGCTCTAACTAATAGGTAATTTTTGCTAGATAACCTAACTTTTGCTCTACACACTTCTCCTTATCTACTTTATTACTATAAAGCCTCTTCTCTACTAATATTCTAGTCTAAGACTTTAAATATTAAAGGCTCTTCTTTACTAAAGTTTAGGCAGCCTAAATTATAGCCTGTTTGTATTAGCTTTAACTTTACTATAAATAATAGACTACCTTACCTTATCCTTTTTTATAATTGCCTTTTAAAGTTTGATTCTTCTAGCTTAGAGAGTTAAAACAACCTAGTAACGTTAATAAAGCTATAACGTAAGAGTATCGCCTTAAGAGGGGTTATACTTATAAAAATGTACTCTTTCTTTAGATTCTTATAGTATACGTACTTTACTAACGCGGCTACTATACTATTAGGCCGTTACTCTTTACTAAGAAGGAATACTTATAGTCGTTATCCTTACACTTTAGTAGGGTACTCTATAGGTCTTATAAAGCTATTTAGTTTAAATATCGCTTACAAGCTACTAAACGCTTTGTTAGCACTATGTTGTCGTTAGTAGTTTGATTAAAGTTTGTTAAAAGAGTCGTAAGGAGGGGGGGGCGCGGTAGCGTTATATTTGTATAAGGTAAAAAGAAGAAAAAGAGACAACAAACTAGCAAAAACAAGTCTCTATATACCCCTTAGTGCTATAAGAGAGGGACTAAGTAAAGGGGGACAAAGAAAGTGTTTTTTATATTTACTTAAAAAATACGATTATAGGTAATACGGTTTAATCTCTACGGCTACCTACTATTAGTATACTATCGACCTTCTAGTAAGGGGTAACAAAAGATTTCTAAAAGTAGCTAAAGAGTAAGGAATGCTAGTACGCCTAGGTAATGTAGTTAGTACTACGTATTAGGGATCCTACAACTACCTGACGACTTACTAACACTCTACTATAAGGTGTCTTAGCCGAAAGTAAATACAAGAGGCATAAGGTAAAGATCTAAAAGTACGATATATAACAGAAATTTTGCGGTTAGGCTACGCGCCTCTACTACGCTATAAAGTCGCTACTACTCTCCTTTCCTTAACACTACTAGTTATATAGTTACGTATTTATTTACTAATTTATTCTTTTATTTTAGGGAAGGGGCATTTAAAGGCTATATCTAGGCCTAACACGGCCTCTCTACGATCTAACGGCTACTTATAAGCTTCTAAGGATAGAAGCTAAAAAGGGGGGATACTATATTAGGTATACTAATACGTAAAATTATAATAGCTTAGAAATCAAGTATAGGGTAACTACGTACTACAACTAAGGTAATAGTAGGCATTAAGGAGCATAAGAATAGAGGGTAAGGAGGGGAAAGAAGGGGGGTTTAGAGATTAGTCTATAGTTAAAGTAGCGATATACCTTTAAATATACTACGACTGTCTATTGACTCTTGCCTCTTCTACTCTGTAGAAATACACCTGACATTATAAGGGCGCCCTTTATAAGACTTAGTAGTCTATAAACTATACCTCTACTCTTTTTCTTTGTTATCGTCGTCCTTATCCTTTACCTTAGCTTAGGCTAGGGTAGCGAGCTTAAGCTAGATTTCGGCCTAGCAGCCTACGATTTTAGCCTAGCCTAAGGTTCGGGCTTTGTTAAGAAGTCAGGCAAAGTAGCTATATAGCGTAAGTAGTACTCTAATAGTGCTAGCGCTAAGGACAGTAAAAACAGGGCCGTAAGGGCTAGGGCTATAGTAAGGACAGGGGCTAGTAGTAAGGCAGGTAGTAGGTACGTATACTAGGGCTAGGGCTAGTAGGAAGGTAGTAGCTATTAATAGTTAGTTATAGACTTATAATTAGGATGTTATAAGGCGTTACTATTAGTAGCTAAGGCGATAGTAGAGAAGGCTACTATACATAGTAAGTTTTCTGTCTATATATAATAAGGGTAGTACACTTATAGTAACGTAAAGGGCAGGGGCCTAAGGCTAGGGCTAGGGCTACTAAGGCTGTAAGCACAGCTCTTAAGGCCTATGCTAGTAAGACAGGCGGTATAACAGGCGGGCTAAGAGGTATAGGTACGGCTGTGAATACGACGTTAATAGTAGATATAAGGGCGGCAGATAGTACGGGTACAAAAGTCTAGCCTACGGCCTATTAGTTATAGTATACCCTAAATCTGCCCTGTTAAGTCAACTTATAAAGGGAGTAATAGATCTCCTTACTACTATAGTAGTAATTTGTACAGCTCTAACTTAGCTGTCTAGGTACTATAATACACTCTATCTATAGGCCGGCGCTATTTTAACAATAGCTATAGCCTAGAAGGTTTACCTAACCTACGATATAAGCAAGCTCTGTCTCTAGGTTACTAGCCTAGTTTTAGTTTAGCGGGTTACGGCCCGGACAGAGAGTCGCTAGCCGCTATAGTACTATAGTAGCGAGGGCCGTTATAGTATAGGTAGCGTTCTAGGGAAGGAAGGAAAGGGTAATAGCCCTAATAGACAGGTTAGTATTAAGGTACGCTCTATATTTAGGGTCTTTAGCTAACTTATAAGGCGGTAAGGGCGGCGGCTATAGTAGTAGTAAGGGCGATAGCCCTAACAGACAGGTTAGTATTACTATACGCTCTATATTTAGGGTCTTTAGCTAACTTATAAGGCAGTAGTAGTAGTAAGGGCCGGGACGACAGTAGCCGCGACACTAGCTAGGAACACGGCTTTAAAGCTAGGAGAGGAGGAGCTAAGGACCGAGCTAGCCTAACTATTAACAGGCCGTTAGCTACGTATACAGTAGTCTGTTACGGCCAGAGGTAGGTAGTTGCTTACGCGCTAGTAAAGGGAGTACTATTATAGGCTAAAGAGGTAGGGGGCCTGTCGGATCCGTTAGTCTCCTTCCTCCCTAGATCTAAGGGTTAACTTACTAGGAGCCTCTACGTACTATAGTACCCTTTATAGGCACAGGAAAGTCCTTTACAAATCGATCTATCTAGAAACAGTCTATAAGGTTAAGAATAACAGGCCGTAAGTAGGGCCGTATACTTACTTTATTTAGCGTTAGAGTTAGAATTAAGGTTAAAGTTAAATTTAGAGTTAGATTTGTGTAGAAGTTAGAATTAGAGTTAGATTTAGTAGTAAGTAAGATAAGGGAGCGTTAAGATCGAGTTTCTATATAGCTAACTACTACTATTGTCTCCTTTAACAGTAACAAAGAGATCAATTAAGCCCCTTACGGCTAATAAGAGTGCTCTATCCGCAAGCAGCAGGTTTGATATCACGTGCCTTTACTATTGTCGTCTACGGGTAATAAGGGGCTCAATTGTTCTGTAGTAGGCTTACTAATCAAATATTTTTGGGTCACGTGACTAAGCATTGCACCCACGCGAGCGAAGCGAGCCATTGCATCCTAGTACGCCAATATCTCCGATATCTATAACCCCGATAGTCTTACTCTGCAGCGTTCAAATGATCAATCAGATCAACATTGGACAGAAAGAAGAGGGGCGTGGTATATCCGGTGGTTTTCGCAGGACGCTTCGCTGCGCTTTATCGCTGTGAACGGTTAGCACGGGCGTCATCAGTGGAGCCGCGTGTCTTGGACCCTTATTGCCGATTATTCCCACGGGTATTTTCAGCCACGCGGGGTCCGGGGTAAGGGAACGGAGAGAGAGTTGGTTGTCTGAGTAGGGGTCCCGGATCAATGCTATTGAAGACTTGAAGACTTGAAGCAGTGATTGCTCTGCTCTTAGAAGTTCTCCGTCCTCTTGTAGAAGAGGGGGAGGGGCTTTTTGACTTGAACCCTTCTCAACTGAACAGTGAGACTGTATCTCCCCAAGAGAGAGGACGGAGTAAAGATTGGGAAGTGAGATAGATACACAGTCGATTCCGGGGAATGAAGAGACAGTGCGCGGGAATAACGCGCCGCTAGGAACCAGAACTGGGGAAATGAAACTAGGTTCGTATAGTAAGGTCAAGAGCCCGTGCCAGGGATAATGCAGGCGAACCATGCGGCAGCCAGTTCACTAATCTTCAGTCTTAAGCCAATAGTAATTGAGGCTTCTCACGAAGCAGTTGGATAATGAGGGGAGGAATGGGGTAGATAGCAGAGGTACCAATGTACCATACACTCGACTCATACACAGCCAAGAAATCCTGATTCAGTGATTCCTGGGGTGACCAACCGTTTCTTACTTTTGAATCCGCTATTCTCTGGCATCTCTGCTTACCCGCATAGCCTTATCTCTTGACTACAGAGACCGCTTCCAGAGAGCAGGAAAGAGGGGTCTCAAGAATATTTGATCTTGGTTTCAGAAGGTAAAAATAGAGATGGGATTCAGACTTCTGGATCTGGAGCAACACACTATATCACTCGGTCACTCTGGCCTCCTAGTCACTCGAGAGAAGCCAGAACGTAGTCACAAAAGACAAATTGCAATCAATTATTCAAGCACAGCCAGTCATCCAAACATAGTCGATTATCAAAACACAACTAATGTGTTAAAAAGAAAGAATCTGTTCCTGGATATCTGTAAGGCACGTGATAAGCCTTCCTTAGGCGATATTATTGACGTTTAAACCCACGTCCTGTGTTCTTGACAACCTACCTATGGGTCCACCCATGGATTGGGTCCTACATATGAAAAACCCAACCCATGGGGATCATCTCGATTCCATGGGATCAAACGATCCGAACCGTCAGGATCATGAGGCTGGGTTAGCAAAGCCAGTCTCAAGCCGAAGCTGCCGAACCCAAGTGAGTAAGTCTGATCTGCTTTTCTGTTACAACTATCATGAAAACCCCAGTGTGAGTACTGTCCTCAGTCTTCCATCCATCAAAGAATCAACTCCAGATAACGAGACTTCGAAAGATGCAATTGCCGCAGACTGCTCGCCAGCTTCCTCCCGGATTGACAGACTTACAAAAACGACTGGCGAGAAGCAGCACATCTATCTGGACCCGGCCTATTGACGATGACCACATTTTTCCTGGGTCCCCGATATGTACCTAGCTAAGCGGTCCTTTGTCATAACCGCCTGTTCTCTCGCGCAGAAACTCGATAATGGCCTAAGGGCCTCTGTACTCGCGATTCTCGACACTATGAACCTAAGAAAGTGGATCTCAGTGGATTACATGTAACCGAAGCGCAACGAATAGTCGATGAGATACATCGTGAATGCGAACGGTAATTCCCTTTCTTAATCCTTGTCCATATTTGAAGTGGTTTACTGAGACTTATTTAGGGTGGATCTTCACGATATAGATGTCGAAATTATGGAAGGAAGTTGGGCATAGAGACGACCGACGAAAATAACCATGTCGTCTGGAAGTTTGGTAGGACCAGTCACTACACCTATGTCATAGCGTCTACTATCCTGTCAAAGTATCGAAGCAATAGTAGTGTGATTTCAGACGAGTGGATGGTCATAAACGACAATGGAAGGTACAGAGAAAATGTAGCCTTCTCTACAGTTGGAACTTGGGGGGATTCCGGATCATTTGTCTGGGACTCTGACGGCTACGTTTCTGGCCTACTGTACAAGGCTTTGTTTCCTAGGTAACACCGATCGAAGTGGTTCTCGAGGACACAAAACGAGTCTGCAAGGCAAAGGAGGTCCAGCTGGTGGTGAGTCCTGAGGAAACTGATGTCTAGAGGAAGGGAGAATAGAAGAGTGTCAGGGCACCAGCATGTGGCCTCGCTTCATGTATATACCTTAGCTTACAGTGACAGCACTCTGGATTCTACAGACCTTCACACACAGACTCAAGGACCGTTACACAGAGCTACAAACCGAAGAATTCAACGAGCCATCAGCTCGTTTATGGCTAGCCTCCAACGTCTCTTTAGTCCTACATACTTAGCGCTCTACTGTCCTTGCATCTGCAGCAATATCTTGCTCTTTAAAGGGCATTTGGCGGTGGCAGGTTATGTCATGACTCATGTATGAGGTTATTCGCTGAAAGGGCTCTGTATTCAACTGCAGCGAGGAGAATCAGGAAACAGTCAGACTTACTACTGAAGCAGAAGAATGTGAGAACTACATGATGCATGAAAACAACAGATTCCCATACTGCAAATCGTATGTCTTTCTGCATAACCCCAGACTCCTGGACTAAGGAGTGCTCCATAAACATGGGTATCGGCAAGCCGACTGCAGATGGCCAGGGATCACCTATATCGAGGCTGGTAGTACCCGTGATGGGAACCTACCTTATTCAACGAAGTATAACCGCAGAATGGTGAAGAGCTTATAGATAGATAGATTACCTTAGTTCTAGATAGAGCTCAGATATTCCACTCAAGACTACTTACTAGTTTTACATATTTCAATTACCCAGACAGTTAACTACCCATGTGAGCTTTGAGACCACAAATTCATTACCATTTTCCCACCTATCCAAAGTCCTACATTGAGATTAGGTAGGGTGCACACCATCATATCAAACAAGGCTCCAGCCTCGCCTCGCCCCAAGGCTGTACGTAGTAGCCTCACCCCCTCCCAAAATTTCCCCTCGCCCAATTCCAAAACGCGCAAAAGTGCGACGTGCAACAAAACTTTCCACCCACCCCTATCTCAACCGCACAACGTCCTATCGAAATTCTAAAGAGTACGTTTTAATGCTTATAAAAGGATCTCTTTGAGTATCATAATTTTATTTATACTAGAGTATAGATAGAGATGAGGCTTTGGGAGATCTGGCGCTAGTGGACGCGCTAATTGTCTTTGGATGCCTGAGGATGCGTTGGATGCGTTTGGATGCCTGAGTACGATGCCTGAAATGTGAGGGTTGCAACTCGTGAGATCCCCTCCTAAGATTTCCCCCTCGCAATTCCAAAATGCGCAAAAGTGCGACGTGCAACAAAACTTTCTACCCACCCCTATCTCAACCCTACGACATCTTATCAAAATTCTAAAAAGTGCGTTTTAATGCTTATAAAAAGATCTCTTTGAGTATTATAATTTTATTTATACTAGAGTATAGATAGAGATGAGGCTTTGGGAGATCTGGAGCTAGTGGACGCGCTAATTGTCGGGGGCTGCCTGAGGATGATTGATGATGCCTGAAATGTGAGGGGTGGAATTGGTAGATTGGGTTGGGGGGGAGGGGGATATGGGATGGGGTGGAAGATTGGGATGGGTTTTTATGTATAGGTATGTTTAGTTTGGATTTAGAGTATTAGGTCTAGAAAAGATTGAATTGGGGAGGGATATCATCAATTGCATGCTTAGATGTCTATCTATCATGTTGCTACACACTTCCTGGTTTAGAGAAAAGGGGGAAAAGGGGGTTGATACAACTACAAATTTTATATATAAAAGAAAAGCCATTAACATTTGCTACTGTGTACCAGGTATTCAACATAAACTCTTTCAAGGCCTCCACTATTCCAGTGTCCTAGACTATTAGGGGTTCTCCGCCCTCTCTAGTCTAGACTATATCCTAACCCTCTCGATCCTTATAAGGAGACAGAGAGATCAAAGAAAAATCTTCAAACAACCATCAGCCCAACACAAGATCAATCTCCGTAGCTTCGCGATCCCAGGCTGGTTTGAACACACGGCCCAGGCCTCTGCGGTACGCGATCCCATCCTTCCATCCTATCCAGAACACGTAGTAGAAATCAACAATCCTCGGGTCGCTAGGGGGCGTCCCTGTGCGTGTTACAAAATTGCCCCAGTCAAGAAGAGCACTCACTTCACCCATATCATAGCTATCGTGGATTAATGAACCAGCGGCGATGGCTACTAGCTCGTACTCGGTGCCATATGGAGGGTAGGTGAAATCGGTGAGGTCGAGATCGAGGTTCAGAGCTCCGACACCGTTGCCAGTGCTGTCTTCGAGCCCGATGATTAGGGAAGCTTGTCTTGGAGTCCAGTCAAAGTTCTGATAGTTGATTTTGAAGAACCCCCTTGTGGTATGGCAGAAGAGATAACGCGCGGGTGTAAGACGCGGTGACGGACTAGAAGCGGTGGGTAATGGATAATTGAACGGGTCTTCGTTTGTCCTTCTCCCGTTTTTGTCATGATGATAGAAACCTTGGGCGTCCTCGTCGTAGGACCAATCTGCGGGAACCGGTAGCGTTGACTTATCAGCGAGATGTCCAATATAATTATCGCCTACAACATGTGCAGGCAGTCTTTCCTGCAGCGTATTTCCATAGAACCATTTTACCAGCGGTCTTACCTGGAGTACAACCTCGCGCGATGAAGAGGGAGGCAGAGAGCGGGAAAGATATAAATGACTGAAGTGATCAACCCATTCATCCTTCGTGATCTCGCCTTCCCAGCCGATCCATGACCAGCTAGGTAATAGGCTGTCAGCGTCTGTAGGGACCCGCCGCTGCATTGGCTCTCTTGGCTGCCACAGGAGGGCTTCATTCAAGAACATTTCCGGTAGGCCGCTAATAAAACCCCCCACAAACGAGGAGCTCATGACAGACAACAAACTTGAGATGGCATTCCACGCATCTTGGGGATAAGTCAGTTTTCTAGTGGCAAACTCATATGCCATATCGACATATTGCTTTACATCTGGCAATGCCGAGAACTGAACTTGGGACGCCCACCGGTTAATGCTTGTGTGAATTTGAGCGACGCCCGGAAGGGTAGAAGCTTTAGATAGTGATGCCTCATGCCACGAGTTTTCGCTGCACTCCCAGATCGCGAGTCGATATTGAAACATGATCTTCCTAGGTGAGAATATCATTTCTTGAAAAGTCCATCCGCGCGAATACCAAATGCCCGAGTAGGGCTGGAGATTGTCCCGAAAGCTGTTCTTCAAGAACGGAGAAAGTTGACGCGGTTCAGTCACTCCTTGGATGCCTCGGAGCCCGTGGTTGGCATCCCATCCATTACCAGCGATGATAGTAACATATGCCTTGGCGTAGATTCCTGCCATGGCCCGGATTTGACTGCCCTTCGCCTCCGTATCATCTTGGACAATACAGAGAGAATCTACCCAAAGATAAGGGATTCCAAGCTGGTCAACCAGGCCGATAGTGTCTCTTACGGTCCTGGGGATTTCCTCTCGGTAACGCTCCAACGCCCTGTCCTGCATCAAACTGTCAATGTTTCCTTTCTCCGCTTTCAGCGTAGTCGCACCTCCCCATACATAACTCAAACAAGAGTAACGATAACCCGGCTCAGCTGCCACTAGGCATTTCTTTCGTATGTCAATGAGCAACTCTGGGCGGCCGAGGCTTGACATATCCAAGCCTAGAGGATTGCAGCATTTGTCTCCATGCTCTGTCTCGCACTTCTGGAGCCAGTACCCCATCATTTCGATGTCGATCCAATGGGGATCAAGTGATTTTTTCAGAAAGTCTGGCACGTCCTGTAAGTTTTCGCCATCGTCGTCATTCTCATCCATAACTTCCTCGTCTCTTCTGGGCACGTCTTGCACACTTTCACCATCGTCGTCATTCTCATCTGCTACCCCTAGAGCCGTGCCTTTTTGCGCAGGGTCGGCGCGGCGTAGTAATTTCCTACTTAGAGATCGTAATTTATGGCCTAGATAAGACCTGGCGGGAGCCATGTCTACATAGCAGAGAATGCGAATATTATTGTCGATACATGGAGAAGCGAAAGTGTTTGTAGAGGAAAGCCGCTGATGATTTGTTGCGAAGGAGGCATGTCTAAGGAAGGTAAATACCGGTCCAGCCGTCCACGTGGCGTTGTACAACGGGGAGGATTTGGTGGATTGCAGGGTTCCCCGCTACTTCGATATGCCTCTTCGTAGCAAAGAATGTCAAGCAGACCGTACAGTAACTTGCGATAACAGCTCAACTTGAGATATTTCTCTAGGCATTTCAGATATTAGCGCCTAGAAGAACAAAGTCGTTGACTGTTCTAATAATCAGCAAAACATCAACAAGCTAGCAAGTAAAGATATTCAGAAGAAGAGCCAGTAGCAGAAGATTGCAAGCATTGTAATATAATCCGCAACTGCAAGAACGCCTCTCTCTTGAAGTTTTGTGCCAATTCCATATCTCAATGGTCCCTGGATTCGGCCCAGGAGATTCTGCACAGACAATAGGATAGAATCATTAGCAAGCAACATGTTTCAACCACCTTGTTATTTGCAAGCATGCAGGGCTTTCGAGGAGTTGAGGTCTGACTGTAGCCTGAGGGCCTCATCTGACGAGAGACATCTTCCAAAATCTGTGACGATAGCCGTTTTCAGTCCAACATCTCCTGATGATCTCCCCGCAAAGCACATCTTCCGTGTTTGGTAAATGTTCGGGCCAATCCAAGATCCAAAGGACCGAGCCTTATATCTGTAACCTTGGTATCATCACTTACATCAGGCATCGTATTGAGAAGGGTCCTCGTCTCGAAAGCTTCGATTCTTTCTCTTTTCTCATCAGTGTCGCGGCTGAATATGCGGAAAAGATGCTTATGCTGCGCATTTCCCACGCCAATAGTGTATAGGAGCCAGCCAAGGTCGAAAATATCTTGCTGCACAGCCAAGACCCCATCGCACTGCACCACAGCAATATCCTCATCTGGTGGTAGAAGAAGCATCGCATCTAACAATGCCTAAGAGGTGACCAATACGATCATAGACCTATATCTCTGTGTCGTGGCATTTTAGACCGTACTTATTGGCGTGTGCAGTTGACGAGTATTGTATCCCCGACCCTCAAGACCACTGAGGTTTAGAATCTTGGGGATCTTGAGTATCGTGGCGCCATTTCAAATCATGACACCGGTGAGCCCGTCGTCGATCCATTCTTTGCTTGTGCGGCTGAGAGGTGCACATCCATCAGTTCTGAGAAATGGCTTGGGTCGCGGGATCAATGGTGGTTTGGGCGGAGCTGGCTCTACGTGTGGAGGTGCAAGTGCCATTGTAAGTATACTGTCAAGAAGAGGCTCAGATCACGATTATCATGATGATGACGGATAAGGAGATGTGAAGAATGGATCGACACTCAGCTGCAGTTGAAGAATACCTAGATTGGTAGGTGTGCGCCTCCAATCCAGTATCACGTGCACAGCTATATATGAGCAGACAGATGGTTCGATTCCTAGAACTCTCCTTGAGTTGAATGAAGACACAGCAATAAGTCAACTTCAGCAGGCACCAAAACAAGATCTCGTTACCTACAGTTCTAGATATTTACAACGTCTATCTAAAACACATGGTCATCATGGTCTCATCACCTTAGATCTTTGGGGTCTCAAGGAATCCCCCCACGACTGCCTGGAGCAACTGGTTCGCAACGGCCGTCTTGGGCGGGAGTCTCAGTCCGCCCTCGATGTACTCTGGTCCTGGTGGGTCACCCAAACCACTGGTACCAATTCTCAGGGCCGTCTTGATCTCATCAATGCCCACCCACTTCGCATCTTCTAGTTCTGGGTCGTGCTCTAGATGGATCTCTTCACCATCCGGCAGCGCCTGCCCGATGGCACCGATCATCAGGTTTGCGGGGTATGGCCATGGCTGTGTGGAGTGGATTACGACACGACCGAGCAGGACGCCGGATTCTTCCCAGACCTCTCGTCGGACGGCTTCCTCCACAGACTCGGCGGGCTCGCAGAATCCGGCCAGAGTACTGTACCAGTTTGCTGGCCAGCGCTTTGATCTTCCGAGGAGCACGCGTTGGCCATCATGGCTGACTACGGCCATGATAACCGTGGGGTCGGTGCGCGGGAAGCAAAGGTTGGAAATACCTGTCCTGGTAGCGCAGGCGGCGCGTTCACGGGGAGTGTCGAGCACAGTGATAGCACCCTGAGGTGTAGGCAAGGAGGCATAGTCGGTTGGTGGGCAGACTCGCTTGGTTCCGGCGTTCACGGACAACGTAGGCTGACCGCAACCAGCGCAGAAGGGATTCCGCGCATTCCAGTCAATCAGCGCTCTGGCTTGGGCGTAGATAGCAGCTGGAAAAGACGTCAGGAGACTTTCGCAGCAGGCAGGATGAGCAACATACCTTCAGGAGCATTCAAGGTCATGTGCATGCGCGACTCAATGAATTGCAATCCCTTTGCTTTCATGGCCTCAATAACGCCGTTGGCCTCCTTCACGACGGTGCCTCTGGGGGTCACATCTACGGCAAAGTATGGAGATCCGCTGTATATGCCATGCTGGAAGCCTCCCTTCTTCCTCTCGTCCAGACCCAGGAATAGCACCAAGGGCAACGTCACAGCAGAGTTGTAGTCCTTGATCATCTGCTCCTCCGTCTTCGCAAAGGGGTTCTCCCCAATCAACGGCTTGACCTCTGCATGTGTAGCGTACGCAAGAGTAGTGTTGTCCTTCGCGAGCGGGGAGAGGTTGTTGAAGAGCAGGAAGGAGGTGGTAGGATGGGTCAACGCCTTCGAGATGAACTCATGGTTTCCGCGCAAGAAAGAAACGCGGTTCAGTGGACTTCCGGAGAAGTAGTTGGCCACCTCGCGCCCGAACTTTCTGCTCAGCATCGAGTCCACTTCCGGATGGGCGGGTTCTGGGAGGTCTGGCTGGGGCGCCATAATCAGTTCTGGCGGCGGAGATCAAGAAGAGGTGAAGGTCCAGTTCTCGTAGGCAAGGGGGGAGATGTCCAGTATATCAAGGATTGGAGCACGAAATGTGCCCGCGCAAAGAGCGAGCAATAACAACGGAAGAATTGAAGCAGAGAGAGAGGGGTTAGAGAGGGGAGAAGAGAGGGGGAGAGAGGGAGAGAGGGAGAAGTGGCGACGAGATGCTGCCACATACCTGAGCTATATATACAAGTGTGGGGGAGAGGCTTCTCGGCCCATGGGTGGATTTGTCAGCGGGTGCTGACTACGCAAAAGGAGAGATCGGGAATAGAGAGGGAGAGGAGAAGGTTCAGTCAAGTGGAATCCCGGCGCAGTTGAGTGGGATTATTCAGTGGCATCCAGAGGCATTCAGTGGCCGCAAAGGGCAAATCGTCGAGACGCTCGGGCGTAGGTCGGGGAGGTGACGGGGGTTCGAGGGGAGTAAATCGGCTTCTGGCCCATATCCGAGCCGCGGCATCGCCTTTTGCTGACTGTACCAGTTTTGCGGTGGGTGGCGGGGGTCACGTGGTATGGCATACATGCGTTACCTCATGCGTTGAAGGAGAGGGATTATTGGTTGATGCGGGATTCTTCTATTTAGAATAGAAAGCTAAGCTCTCGTCATGTCTAAGCGCCTCTTAAGCGCTCGGGATCAACGGTAAACGCGCGCGACGGTCCGTTTATACCCAGATATAAAGGTAGTCACACAGGGCTGCCTCGACCAGCTATGCTATCCTTTGTGATCACTCTTGCTCAGCTACACCCAGCCCATTAAGTAGAACTCAATTACCTACATAATAGCCTCAGTGCTTTGAACATATTTGGTGTATGCGAAGCTGAAGGATACAACAACAATGGGCTAAGTCATTCTCCGGAAAGAAGAGCCATCTGTCTACGGTTTGGATTTTCAAATTTGCGTGCTCTATATCCGCTATTGCTCTGCAGTTTTGGTTTTCCATATTGCAGTCCTTATACCTGTACAATGTCACTTTGAAGATACGTCTAATAACTTCACCCAATATCGGGATTCGGCTACATGCCTTATTCAAAAGAAGGCGATTCGAGGCCTTAAGGCCAATAGCCAATATACGGAACTTGAGTTTAATGATTAGGTAATCGGGAATAGCTTCATTCAAGTTTGTGGAAGTAATTGTATTTACATTGTGTTTACTTGCTCTACTATACAACAAACTAGTGCGTAGACCCTATATACAAACACATATACCCAAGATATCCTGACTTTTATTGATAACTCCCATCTGCCCTTTCAAGCAACGGTCTCTGAGCTCTTGATCCATCCACAATCCCCTCCTCCAGACCCTCACTCGCCGCATCTCTATACAAGAAAAACTGGCAAAAAATGCCCATATCCAAAAACAAAGTGCCCATACTCCCCACCAACCAAGACGCATTAACCAAGATATAGCGACCATAGATGCGCGCCGCCTCGCCGTCAGCACACTCCCCATGCTTTCCGGAACAATGCGGCTCATACGCGAAGATCGAGAGCACGTACGTCAGGTTCCCGATGCACGCGAACAGGAAGAAGAGCATGGAGACGCCCTCGGTCGATTTGCGCCGGTAGTTGAGCAGGATCTGCGGCACGCGCGACCCGAGATAGAGAACTGCGCACAGGTAGCCGAAGATCTGGCCCCAGAGGGAGAGGGAGAGCTCCTCGCCGTCGGGCTCGGGTGGCTGCGGGCCCCCTTGCGAACGGTTGCTGACATACCACCCCAGGACGCCGGCAGAGCAGACCATTAGGATAGAGAAGATGTTGAATAGGGCGGCTTGCAAAGTGGTCGGTTTCTTATGCGCGGTTGCGAGGGGCTCGGGGTGTTTGTGGGCGTTGATTAGGGGGACGACTGGTGAGAGGTGGTCGACGGAGATGTCGGACCAGATGCTTCCCCTGCGTTCTCTGTCTTCAATTCCATGAGGTGGGAAAAGGAGACCAGTCCTTTCAGTTGCTTCACCATAGCCATTGGTGTCAGGCCTCGGTTCTGGGACCACATCCCGCCAGGTAAAGCCTCTATAATAAAAGCATTGGACCAGGAGAACGATATCGGCGATCGTGTAGTAGGTGGCAAGAATGATCATGGTAGGCAAAACGCCTTGAAGGACGGCGCCGAGGATGTTGAAGATATCCCCGGCCAGCCAAACGATGATGAATTGGAGGGACAACCCATCGGCTGAGCCTCGACGGAAATTCTCCACAATCTGAGGAGAGAAGACGACTACCCAACATGCAATTGATATTGACCTATATTCGGGTCAGAGTTTTGCCCTGCACAGTATAAAATCATGCGTAACACTCACCCGCAAATGCCACTGATGGCAGTGATATCCAGGTCTAAGGCCTGGGATGGAGGGAACATTTCTGCTCAATGCCTATATAGCAACCAAAACCCGAAACTGGGACCGTCGGAGAAAAAGGGGGGAAGCTTCGCCGTCAACAACGTGACCAAGTGTAACCGCGGCGGACAATCCAATGATGTGATGCACTGATGCCCTTCCAATATATAAAAAAACTATTATTATGTCAGTTTCAGAACAAAAATTCGAAATCTGTGCATTAGAATCATTTAGCTGTTCATGATAACTTACCTCTACACAATAATTATCCGCATTGGAATGTCTAACTGACTCCCCTGTAAAGCAAGCGATCTTTTTGCTCAACTTCTGCGATGCTACTCATTGCCCAAAAGTAGTTACCGCATATTGATGCCTGAGGCCCTACTTCAAGCGAGAAACCTTGGGACCTTACATATCAGGCTGCAATAGCGAAGACACCTCGACCCCTTACAGTACCTGAGACCTCGAAACCTTAAACTCTATTGCTTTTGTTTCTTCTGTTTAGTAGAACAGAGCTTGTTGAGTGGAGTTAAAATATACTTAGATTAGGATCTTGGATCTCCAAACCCGTGAATGTGACCTCTAGAGCAAAATCACGGATTCACGGCTGGACCCTCGTGTTTGATGGGTGTCCTGAAGGGCATAGAGTCATATATCAGGAGGTCTAGAGACCACTTTTATGATGAGTGCAGTACCATTTGATTTGGAGACTATAGTGCAGGTGTCTGAATATCTCCCCTCACAGACGATGAAGGCTGAAGCAGCGTAATCTCCCATATGAATTTTCCAGTTTTCGTTGCCCTAGGCCCCCAGCCATGTACCGTGCTACATAGCAATCCTCATCAATTATCCCTTCCAACCCTGTCAACTGAGACCAAGCGGGAGGTAATGAGATCGAGAAGAGCCTCATGGGGCAGGACCCAATCTAGCGGGCTCCCTCTATGCGTAGAACTAGGCGATTGATAAGCTATATCTCAATCAATTAACGTCAATGATATACTCGCATGGACAAGGAAGGGCTTGGAGTTCTTACCTCCATATGGATACTGAGGATCTTGTCGGATAAGCGCTCCAGTTTCGCCGGTGGAACCTCATAGAACTCCTGCATCATTTCAAGGCGGATTTGAGGGAGAACAGAGGAAGACTGGTAGTTTTCTTTCATTTTAGCGCTCAATTGTTTCATTAACTTATTACGAGACTTCGCAGAACTCGACGTCTCAGGTTGAATGCATGGGATGATTGACAGCTCATCATGTCCGTCCCGATAGCAAGGTAAGTCAACAACCATGAGTTGCTTTAGCTCCGCCATCTTTGGCAGAAAGTCGGTGATGAAACGGTTATTGTAGCCATCGAAATTAAGATAGCGCGCGCGCCGAGCGCACATAGCGAACGTCCGGAATTGGACAATCTCATCGAACAGATTGTTGGAAGCATGAGTCAGATAAGGCTCCCTTCTATTAGAGACCTTGCATCTGAGTCTGGAACGAAAAATCTGGACTAGGAGACCGGGGGAGGAGATCTCAAAGTAGGGAATGTCCATCTTTGGGTCCAAGAAAATCCTCGAGGATTTGATGACTGCACTGGCCGGAGCGGGGAGTTCGAGACCAAGCCTAGATGCTGGAATGTATTTATAACGGCTAAGAACGATACCACGAGACTCCTTGTTGGCGAGCATAATATGCGCGATGTCCATGTGTGAGGATTTCGAGATGGAGAAGTTGTAGCCAATATGGCTGTTGGTTGTGAACTTGAGGATCCTCGATCTTGGCAATGCCATCCCCAAAATCTTGACACGAATCTCTATGGGGAGGTTCGGGAAGGGATCAAAAGTGTTCAGGGTCGGAACTATGACGCGGTCGGGACAGGGGACGAGGCTCTCTCGCATCCTCAAATCTTGGACTATTTTCTTGAACTCAGTTGCAAGATGAACCGCATCTAGGCCTTGCCAGTTGGGGGTCATGACAGACTGGAGGAGAGTAGCGATCTCTGGGATAGACATCTGAGGGATGCTGTTCAATACCGGAGCTTGAGGAGACCGCTCGATCTTTTGAACGAGGCCCACGAGGAAGCCCGAGGGGCGACTTGAGTCGAGTTGCGATCCTGCCATGGTTAGAGATCCTGAAAGATGCGCAGCGAGGTAACAAAGTTGTAGATGAAGAGTGAGTAGTATCCCAGTGTGATACAGAGGGGCGAAGGTGGTGGTGGAGGAAAGAGAATGGAGGAGGTGTTGAAGGAAGGAGACTCGCCACGTCGGTGTAGCTTTTAAATTGTAAACAGACATTCGAGCCTTGCCGAGTAAAATATCCAACAATCTTCGTAGAGTTCGAACTGCACCCGCATGGTATCGCATCGTTTTCCCGGAATCTTACTCATTCGTGATCCAACCCCCTTGCCTAAACCCCTTTCTACCCTCGCTTGTGAATATCCTGATGGGCTTCCAACCACCTCAACCACTGTTAACGATGCGATTTCTGTTTATAACAATGCGAGAGGAATCGCCAGAAAACATAATTTTGTAGAGCTTGTGTAGAAATGATGTCGTCCCGTTCAGAGGCTCTGTGGTACTCAGTGAATTGAATCAACTTTCAGAGTCGCATCTCCATCTTCTTGCATCGTTTGTCTCCATCATTCCTCTTTGGCTTCGCCATAAGACGTGTATAGATCACAATCATGATCAAGTAACAGTGGATAACTGCATCTTGTCAAGCTACCTTCCTTTTCTCGGATAATGTCGCTAGATTGCATCTCTTTATGAAGTCAGACAAAGCCAAAAACTCAGATGTGACGAGACATCTATCAACACTTGACATTCAATAACGACAGTCTTTTCTTAAGCATTCCATAATAGTCATACATTTAGTGGCAACATTATGAACTTCACTGAGGAAAGCCCCCTTGCTCACCAGCTTATTACAGACTGAACTTTCTTCTGCCTGGGAAGTAACATGCATGACAATAGCGAACAATTGAGACTATGTTCTGACTCACAGTAGATAAAGAACCAAATGCACTCGCAATGGCACGGTTTCATTCCCTTTTATGTCCAACATCCCATCTACCATTACATATGCACCCAAACTCCTCTAAACCATCTCATCCCGTTCTATAATCGCAAAACCACCGTCTAAGGCTCAGCAAGTGCCGCCCTCCTTTTTGCTTGGTCTCTCTGCAACTTCCTGAAGAACGGATTGCTTTCTCCTTTCTTCTTTTTCAGCTCCTTGTTCTTACTCCTGTTCTGCTCCACATATGCCATATCCTGGCCACCCGCCAACTCAGACAGAGTCCCAGCGGTCCTCCTTGCGCCTACCTTCTTCCTAGCTCCAGCTCCGACCTTGCCATCATTTCGATGGAATAAATCATCTGAAATCTTCTCGTCCCAGTCTTCATTCTGAATCATCACATTCTGTAACAATTCTCTGCGTTCAGCAGCGGTGGAGAAGGCTAGGCCGGGCAAGTTCTCGATTCCCTGGAGATGAGTGATGACTTTGAAGGCATAGCCCTGGTCAACGAGGAAGGCTTGGCGTTTGGAGGAATAGTACATCTCTTGGGTATCCTTAGAGACGAGCGAGTAAAAGAACGCATTAAAACCTTCATCGTTTCGGCGTTTGGCTCGGAGGATGCGGCCAAGACGTTGCGCTTCTTGACGCCGGGATCCATAATGCGAGGATATTTGGATAAGACAAGTTGCTTCGGGCAGGTCGAGAGAGGTGTCACCAATTTTGGAGAGAAATAGGGTGTTGATGTTTTCATTATGTTGGAAATTCTCAAGAATTCGGAGACGTTCTTGCTGCGCTGTGCCACCGAAAATGAATGCTTTGTTCAATTTCTGGGCGTAAGCGTGCAAAGCATAGACATTGTCCGAAAATACGATGATCTTGTCGCCTCGCTTTTCATGGTAGTCGATGAGGAATTGGCACGCTTGGAATTTTCGGGGGTTCATAATATATAGCAAGGCCCGTTTGCGACTGCTTTCTCGAAGGTATTCAGAGTAGAATTCTGTGGTCATAGGACACCAAACTTCGGCACATTGGACCTTAGCAATATGTCCCTGATCCGCAAGTTCCATCCAATTCGCTTCGTACAGCTTAGGACCGATCAGGAAATTCAAGTCACTGATCTTGTCATCCTCACGCAGCAGCGTGGCAGTCAACCCAAGCTTTGAGTGAGTTTTGATGGATGATGTGACCTTTCTGAAGATATTTGCTGGCACGACATGGACCTCATCAAGAATCATAAGACCCCATTCTCTATTCTGCAGGAATTCCATCATCTTTCCCGCATCATAAGATCGAGTTCGAGTTTGCGTAACCATAGAATATGTGGAAACGATGATACCCGTATTTCTTGTGAACTTCTCCTTGTGATCGGATGTGAACACAGCAATATCATTTGGATTGATGTTCGACCATTTGAGGAATTCTTGCCGCCATTGGACAACTGACATCGAACTCGTGCAAAGAATGATAACGCCCTTCTTGATCGTGCATGCGGCTGTGATGCCGACCAGGGTCTTACCGGCACCACAAGGAAGAACGATGATACCACTCTTTGCTCGTCCATTACCAAACATCTTACTCAAGCTCTTCTCCTGATAACTTCGAATCTGAGCACTGGGCTTCAAATCGATCTCGAGATTGGCATTCGCGTCGTCATTTCTGAAGTCATACTCTTCCAAGACGGGAAGGCCCAGTTCTAAACATCGTTTCTGTACCGCCTCGACACCAGTATCGGCAATCTCGAAGGCATGGACAGCATCAGAATCGTCGTCATCATCATCTTCTTCGTTAAGGGTGGCAAAGATATCTTCTTGGGTTGCATTCTCGCCCTCTTGTGGCCTGTCGCCTCCCCGTTGATCTGTGGCTTGTTTGACACCTTCTGCATTCTTTGTCCCGGGGATGACCAAACCTCCCATATTGGGAGCTAGAGTGGTCGTGATAGCTTCTGTCCCCTCCACGCGCAGCGGCCCAATAACCTCATCTTTCAGCAGCCTTTGTAACATTTCTGGATCCGAGCTTTCGACATAGTGTTTGGTGTTCTTGAGCACCAGCTTGACCTTCCCGTAACTTTGAGTGCAGTTTGTGATGTAATCGCGGATGTTGTCTGGAATAGGCATTTTTGACAATCGGTCGAGCACATTTATGATGTCCTTTGGATCCAGCCCTACAGATACTGCGGCATATAGACTATGAGGTGTCAAGGCATACTCATGAAGGAACGTCGGGCGTGACAGTGGCTCAGCAATCGTAGTCAGGAAATCTTGGGCATGCGCAGCCAACGGCGAGAAACTCTCCAGGATAATCCTTCCCTTGTGCGGATCGATCCATAGCGGTCGATTGTCATGATCGGGCTTTAGCGACAGATACGAGAAGTCATTCTCCTTGAAATGGTGGCTCGCAGAATCTCGTCCTTTGACGCCACTGTCCCTCTTCGATTTATACTTCGTAACCGTGAACTTATTTATTGCATTATCTATATTCTCTGCTTCTGTCTCACTTGCTTCCTCCTCAGAGAACTCATCGCTGCTGCCAATACTTCGAGGGGTTGAGGGACCTGGGGTCGAAGCAGCAGAGTCTCTGGCGGCTTTGGGAGCCCCTCGGACGCCTAGAAGTTGTTAGTTTTCAGATCAATATGTGTAGAGCAAGCAAAACCTCATACTTGATGAAGCTTTTCTCTTAACTGGCATCTGGACGGTTGCTCAACAGATAGCGCTGCGGAGGAGAGGTGGAAGAGATTCCAACACCTGTGAGGCGACTCTGGATGTCTGCTTATGAGGCTGAGACTAGGAACCTTGTAAGGCATGAGCCAGGGCAGAAGCCTCTAACCATATCTGCCACTAGCGTGTCATTAGGTAAGCCGCGTCGAATGCCCGTGAATTATCTTGTTCCTGGACAGGGAACGGGAGCGATATCAGATCCTGGATTATTGAAATAGATACAGCACCGTCTCTCTTTTGCTACTAGACACTAAACAAAACCAATCTTCCAACATGTGGTAAGAAGCTTGCTCTTTAAAGTAAATATGTGTCTGACATTGCTCGCAGCAAACATATTCTCAACGCACAGGTCTCTATCAGATCTCCTTGCTGTAAGGCATACCCCACTTCCACTGAAAATAAGTTTGGCTTTAACAATATGTAGGTCGCAAATGGTTTGACTGTGCCGACTGCCATCGTGAAACCGAGGATCATCCTCTGCTCCAAAGAACTGAGATGGTGTGCATGTTCCTTTCCCCGGACGACCGTCTCTCATTTCCCCGCTTCCCCTACATTTCCATACTCTCCTATTCCTTAGCCCATTCTAACAAACTTCCAGGTCTTTGCCTGCAAAAAATGCAAGAAAGCTTTCCGAAAAGACGCCACAGAATTCGAGGAATCAGACGAGTACTGCCCGCACTGCGACAATCATTTCGTTCTTGAAGCCGTGACACCTCAACCAATATTGAAATTTGAAGGCGAAGACGCAAGGATTGATAGCAGGATGTTGAAGGATGATCGCATTAGGGGGGAGGAGCAGAGAAGTATATTCGACGTGAAAGAGGCGCCGAATAAGCTGGGCTGAGGTGGGGTCGTTGTATGGGATATAGAAATCAGGAGGCAAAGGAGGGGATTTGATTTAGCGACATCACTGGGATGCTTAATGAGTTATGCAATTACGACCTGGATATACTGAAACCCATGGAATGACTGGCTAGGCACCGGAGCGAAAGTCCGCTCGACGGTTCTTTACTCAGCAGAAGATACCTACCTCGCTATGGCGATGAATTGAACACAGGACAGGACATTTTCATCGCTCATTGCTATAATACACAGGACCCATGGAGAATGCAAAGAATCAACGAAACGACTCTACGCAGTACTATCAGATCCTCTCGTCAAAATTGCCGCATTTCCAGTACCGGGCGTCCGACCAGTCTTCTTCTTAGCAGCCTCCTCAACCTTCTCCTGCTCAATGTTCTTCACATATGCCTCGATATCCTCCACTGGCAGCATCTCGAGCGGCTTTCCTGGTGCCATGATCGCGATCTCAATGTTCTTTGCTCCGGTCTGCACAACTTCCAGTAATGACTTGATGGTCAACTTGAGAGTAGCCTCTCGGTCCATATCATCCTTGTGGTTTCGCTCAAGGAATTCGCGGACAGTCTTGCTTGATCTGCCGATGGCGTTCGCCTTCCTATAATACTATCAGTATAAGTCGAACATCCTTCAGTGGAGCATTACCATGCAGAGTAAATTCCGGACGGCTCAGTCTGGTATAATCTCGGAGTCTTGTCGTTGGGATCAAACCCAACTATCAAGGTACTGATACCAAACGGTCTGACACCACCACTCTGCGTATATCTCTGCTGAACCCCTGCAACATACTTCGTAATGTATTCTATCGTAACAGGATCCTCCACAGTGAGGCGATGAGATTGAGCTTCTAATCTCGCCTTGTCGATGAGGATTCTAGCGTCGGCGTTGAGACCTGCGAAAGCGAGACAGACATGTGTGTCTACCAGTCCAATCTTCGAGGGAGTGATGCGGGTATCTTGTAGTTTCATTGCAGAGCGCTTCTCGCAACCTAATACCACAATGTCTTTGCCCTTAACTCCTACGGCACATGTTCCTGCGTCATCTTTAGCTGTTGCCCAGGAATGCAGCCCAGCCAGATATTCATACCTCTCTTTACCGCTTCCAGAGCATACTCGACCTGAAAGACATGTCCATCGGGACTGGGTCAAATATTAGAGCTGCGACAAAGCTAGAAGGTCGCTATTTACTAACCTGAAGACTGTGTGCTGTTAGTTGACGGCCAACGCATGTTCGGGTAGGAGCTTAGCTTACCAGAAAGAGCTCTGTCATAACCTGAAGCCATGGTGTATGCTGGATTAGATCACCTTGTCAAATTGAGGACTTCCCAGGGATTTTGAAAAGAAGTCCAAGGTGTTTGCGAAAGGGGTTGCGGTGTATAGTGATCGAACTTGATGTGTTTCCAGGCTGCACAACCGCGTAAGAAGCGCGAGAGCTCTCCCCTTGGGTAGTCACGTGATTAGTGGTCCGAGCTTCGCAAGGCTGAAGAACTTGCGCCGGGCGACGGAGTTCAGAACTCCCCCACTTCTAATCCTCGACCTCTGGAGGTTTTAATAAGTCGGTCCCTTGAGGGTTGAAGTCGCTCATCATACTCCTTCGATCTCCTTCAAGATGGCGACCCGGTCAAGATTTGCTCTTGCGCTGCGCAGGGCTCGAATTTGCGCTCCTCAAAGTTCAAGACCCGCTGCTTTACGACCGTTGACACAACTCCGATGGCAGAGCACTGCGAATACGGACAATGAAGCCGCAGCCAAAGCCGCAACCAGCACCTCCAAGGAGATCAAATTTACCTCCGAGACCTACCCTGAGATCAAACGAGACCCAAGATATGCACAATTGACAGAAGAGCACGTCAAGTTCTTCACAGACTTGCTGGGGGAAGGTTCTGCAGTCATAGACGGAGTCACAAAAGATGCTACCGACGATATCGAGCCCTTCAATGGGGATTGGATGCGGAAGTATAAGGGGCATACGAAGCTGGTTTTGAAGCCTGGGAGCACGGAGGAGGTCAGCAAGGTGCTGAAGTATTGCAATGACCATATGTTAGCTGTGGTGCCCCAGGGAGGAAATTCTGGTCTGGTTGGAGGGTCAGTGCCTGTTTTCGACGAGATTGTCATTAATATGAGTCGGATGAATGAGATTCGCTCTTTTGATGAAGTTTCAGGTACGCTGGTGGTGGATGCAGGATGTATCCTGGAGGTTGCGGACAATTACCTCAAGGAGAAGGGCTACATTTTCCCATTGGATTTAGGTGCCAAGGGCTCATGTCACATCGGAGGCAATGTTGCGACTAATGCTGGCGGTCTACGGTTGCTGAGATATGGAAGCTTGCACGGAAACGTTCTTGGAATCGAAGCGGTTTTGCCCGATGGCACAATCGTGGACGACCTCTCGAAACTGCGGAAAAACAACACGGGATACGATCTCAAGCAGCTGTTTATTGGAGGAGAAGGCACTATTGGTATCATCACTGGTGTTTCCATTCTCTGCCCACAGCGCTCAAACGCGGTCAATGTTGCATTTTTGGGTCTGGAATCCTTCGAAAAGGTCCAACAGGCATTCCGAGAAGCCAAAGGCCAACTCTCCGAGATCCTCTCCGCATTCGAGCTCATGGATAGTTACAGTCAAGATCTTGTCCACAGGGTCACCAAGAACAAGCACCCATTGGAGGGTGAGCACCCCTTCTACTGCTTGATCGAGACCAGCGGTTCCAACTCCGAGCACGACAACGAGAAGCTTGAGAAATTCTTGGAGTATGTCATGGAGAAGGGCATCGTGGCCGACGGAGTTCTCGCCCAAGATGCGACGCAAATCAAATCGCTGTGGGGCTGGCGAGAAGGCATTCCAGAGTGCTTAGGCCACTGGGGCGGCGTTTACAAGTACGACCTGTCGATACCCATCTCCGAGCTCTACTCGCTCGTCGAAGACACTCGCGAGAAGATCACCAAGGCCGGCCTGATCGGCGATGGCGACAAGGACCCCGTCGTCGGCGTCGTCGGATACGGCCACATGGGCGACTCCAACCTCCACCTGAACGTCGCAACCAGGACTTTTGACAAGAGAGTCGAGAAGGAGCTGGAACCCTTCGTCTACGAATGGGTCTCCAAACGAAACGGCAGTATCAGCGCTGAGCACGGCTTGGGTCTAGCAAAGAAGAACTACATTGGATACAGCCGCAGCGAGACGATGATTAAACTGATGAAGCAGATCAAGAATCTGTATGATCCTGTAAGTTCCACTCTGATCTCAAGACTATATATATACTGACAGGTGTCTAGAACGGTATCATGAACCCCTATAAATACATATAGGAACACCCAAAAGTCCTCTTCCTTGTCTATAACAAAAATACCATTAGTCTGTTTATAAAACCTAGCGTATCCATTTAAATATCATGTATATTGAAATTTCTATGTACTATTTTGCAGGATTATTCCGCGCTCTTCTCCTATCTCAGCTATTGCGAATTGGCGAATTGGTCCGGGATTCCTACTTTATATGAACGTGGACTGTCTCTACAAACTACCTATACCTAGGTAGGTATATTCGATGAGAATCAGAGAGATGGCCAAGCCTCAATTTCATTGAACTTAAGAGCTGCCGGCTGGCCAAAGCTGCACTGTGAATGGAGACGTTCATTCCACTACTCTGCACTCTGTCAGAGCGCGCCCTACCCCCACTTTCCTGTATTCTCCTTTCCCACTCTTGATTTTCCTCTTCACCACATTACGCAAAACCCACTTGGAAAAATGAAGTTCAATCTTCAGTGATCTGAAATAAGTCAAGCATCGATTGATAACGTATATTCGTGAAATTAAAAACGTGAATTCATTAATAAGACCCAATTGTCATGACTGAAGAGAGCGAACGCCAGCAATACCCGATTCCTCCCAAGACCAAGAGCCGCATCCTGTAACACCCAAAACTACATCCCAGACATCTCCACATCTTCATCACTCAATAGACTGTCGACTATTGAATCCCGCTCTAATTTCGTCGGCTCTGCCTCGGGCTCTGCCTCTGCGCTTGGGAGTATTGTTCCCTCTGATTCCTCTTCCTCGGCAACTTGATCTAGCTCTGTCTTCTCTTCCTCCTCCTCACTAACCACCACGGTCTTGTCTTCAGGCACGATACTGCTCTGCCTACCCTTAGGCTCCTTGTCTGGGAGTCCGTTGACTATCTTTCCAAGACTGACGTGGATCTTGAACAGAGCGTTCCGGCCAGTGGCATCAGAGATCAGCTTGTCATCAACGGCGATGGAGACTTCCTGATAAACTTCACGTATCTTTTCTTCCGTTGAGGCAGGAGATACATGAAGCTTTCCTAGAAGAGGAGCGAGGAGCTTCTTCTCTTCTTCTATTGTACTGGTTAGAACATGGCACTCAAAAGGAAAGGGAAGTGGGACGAAGACTTACTGCTCACGTTGGAGTTCAAGCGCTCCAAAATATCACTTGCAAATTGCAAATGCACATCACCATTGACTGCTTTCTTTGCTCCCTCGTCTGCCAATGTGAGTTGATTTCCAGGGATGTAACACTTCCTTGGATCCGTCCAGTCAACCAAATGTGCACCAATCGTCGCAAGGCTCACCATATCAGTCTCAGCGTCGACATCGTCATCCAAGGTTTCATGGATCTCAAAAAGCTTGTGAAAAGCATCTAATGAGACCTTCTGCATGCGATCTTGATTCTCCTTTCTGCTGAAGCTGTATACTGGTAGGAAATAGGATAGGGCTTGACGGACGCCTTGGTTGTGGGCCGTACTTGGATCGAAGTAGAGCACCACGAGGGTCTTCAAGAGATCATCAATAGCGGGTGATGCATCTGAAATGACACGGCCGAGCATTAGCTTTGCGACTGCAACTGTAGCTTCAGCTTGGACTTCAGGTGCTTTGGATCCAGATTTGAGGGCCTTGAGGAAGACCTTCAGTAGAGTGGGATTGGTATCGAGAAGGTGGGCACCGTGAACATTCAGAATATCAGTCAGGATTTGGAGCGCAGTAATCTGTAAGGCTGAATGTCCCTTGCTGAAGAAGTGCATAAACAGATTCAAGTTTTCTTCCGCAAGGGACTTATCGAGGAGAGCGCAAAGACCAAGACAGAGAAGACCACGTTCTCTGACTGGTGCTTCATGACTTCGAACAGCAGCAACGACGAGATTATTGAGCATAGCCACGAGATCGGGATTGTCCTGGAGGTTCCCTTCCACGTTCTCAAGCATGCACTGCACAATATGCAAGCACTTCATGTTGACCATGATCTCTCGGATAGCCTTGTCTTGCTCTTCCTCTTCTGTTATCTCATTCTTCTGCGCCTTGCTTGATCTTACGGGAGTCCCATCTCGGCTGACCTCTGACTTGGCAGAGTGGAAGCTATCATCTGCATCATCCAGAGCCGGCTCATCCATAATGGTGTCGTGAACATCCGCAACCGCTTCCAATACAACGCTACAAAATTCTCTCTCGCCAGCGGCATCGCCAGCACAGATGCCTCGTAAGACCTCTATAGTGAGTTTTGTAACTTCCTCTGGCAAATCCGGAATCGCCAAAGACTGTCGAAGGAGAGTGAACATTTTCCTGCGACCGACCTCGTCGGAATAATCCAAAGTTTGAGCCATGTGCAGGAGCTGCTCAACAATGAATTCTTGCTCCACAGTATCTTCCTCCTCGTCTTCTGTTGGCTCTTGCGCTGCCACCCGCTTAAGAGCTTCTACAAGTACAGTAATGTACTGTTGTAAGTAGAAAGCTAGTTTGGTGACTTCCGGCATCTTCTCCTCGATCAAGGCTTCAAATTTACCGTTTCCCTCATTCCTACAGAAATCGTTGAAGCTTCGAGCCATGAATACCGATTCAGCACTGAGGGTATTCCAGAAGTTATCGTCAAATGTGATAGCATCTCTGTAATCTGGGCGACCTTCCCAGAATCCTTTCATTGCCTCTAACGCAACTCCGTTTTCAACTCCAGAGTTGACAACATCAATACGCTCCAGGAGCTCGAGCAAACCATCAAAATTGGGAGGTTTTGGCTCCGTACTTTGAGCCTCCCCTTCAGCTTGTTCCTCTGGCTCCGCAGTACCAACACAGTCTTCGATCCAGCGTTCTCGGAAGAGCTTCCCAGCTGCCTTACGGACAGTCTCATCTCTGTCTCGAAGACCCCATCGAAGAAGCTTCTCACGCATCGACAGCGAGAGATGTCTAAAGTCGCCAAGAGAAGGTAGAAGTCTAGAATAGAGAGCTCGTCGAGTTCCAGGGTCCTGATCGCGAGCTCTTTCCAAGAGGAATGGCAAGGTCTTTGGCAAGATTGGTAGATTGACCAGCAGAGACCTTCGCACATCAGCACTCGGGTCGTTCTGCAGCACCTCCAATAATTTGTCCAGCAGGCCAGTCGCTGAATCGTCATCGTCACTGTCTTCAGCTTCTCCTTCGCCTTCGTTTCCAGCAAGCCTTCCTAGTCCTAGCACAGCTTGTACACGGACCATAGCCTCCTTGTCACGGATCCTCTTCAAAAGCCCATGCCGCAGAAGTTGGAAGAGATCATCATCAATGGAATCCAATGAGTTGATGACATGTGAAATCAGTTGGGTTGACCTGTACCTCACAAATTTCTCTTTCGCGGTCATCAATGGGAGCACCTTAGTCATTAGGTGTGCAGTGAGCCTTGAGCTTGGGGTCTCGATCATAACACCTTCTTCTTCTTCGTCCCCGGCGACTAGCTCGTTATCTTTCTCGGTGGCATGACGCAGGAACATCCCAATAAATCGGATTGATCTCTCTCCAACGCTCTCGCTCTTCTTCACTGGCATAACCCGGAGGACGCAGCGAGTAAATTCGTATGTAAATTGCTCCTCATCAAAATCTTCGGCGCCAGTCTTGTTCTTCTTCTTGCTCGTTGGCTCATAGCAGCAAGCTTCCTGGATCTTCCGTAGGTTGATGACCAGCTTTCGGTGCGAGGCGGTCGTTCTTTGTGCATCGCGGAAAATTGCGGATATTTGGGTTCGTAATTCATTTTCAGGCGTTTCGTCCGCTGCCTCGCTGTACGAAGAAGAGACTCTGGAAGTGGTTGACGCGCGCGAGTTGAGTGTTTGCGCGGAGGATTTGTGAGATGCCGCAGCGGATGTCCGCGCGGACCTTGTTGTAGATACTCGTCCAGGCATTTTTATCTTTGATGCGGTGTGGGATCGTGAGGATTAATTCCCTGCCGCAAAAGAACCCCACTGCCTGTCTTGTTGGCGAAAATTGATCTGTTGACTACTCCGTGCGGGAGTCTGGTGTTTTGAGCGCTGAGTCGCGTAAACATATTTCCGGATATGGTTAGCATGCACCTTATCTAATCGACCTCCGAATGTCGCTGATGGGCTCCCTAGAGGAAAAAATCGACTCTACGTCGAGTGGAAAGACGAGTGTAAAGCGCTCAATACCGCCGCAATGTTTCGCCGTGGGGTACGAACCTTTGCGACTACAGCTCTCAGAGCTGCGGAGACTGCAGCTCAAATGGAGGCTCCAAACCAATATGGGGTTGGAGTCGCCAGAGCGCAAGGGATCGTCAAGGGTCTTACTGGAGGTTTGTTGCGATGCCCCTCGGCGCAGGAGACTGTATTCTAACATGACCTAGCAATTGGCAACACCCCATTGATCCGACTCAACCATATCTCGGAAGCAACTGGTTGCGAGGTCCTTGGAAAGGCGGAATTCATGAACCCCGGAGGATCAATCAAGGATCGAGCTGCTCTCTACGTTGTCAAGGATGCCGAGGAGAGAGGGCTCCTGAAGCCAGGAGGAACTGTCGTTGAAGGAACAGCTGGAAACACTGGAATTGGTCTTGCGCATGTCTGCAGATCGAAGGGCTACAAGCTGGTCATCTATATGCCCAACACACAATCGCAAGGAAAAATCGATCTCCTCCGGTTACTTGGAGCCGAGGTCTACCCAGTCCCAGCCGTACCCTTCGACAACCCCGAAAACTACAACCACCAAGCAAAGCGCCACGCGGAGAGATTAGAAAATGCTGTGTGGACAAACCAGTTCGACAACATCGCGAACAGAAGGGCGCATATTGAGACCACCGGCCCCGAGATTTGGCATCAGACCCAGGGCAAGGTTGATGCGTTTACTTGCGCTACAGGAACGGCCGGGACATTGGCAGGCATTACAAGATATCTGAAGACCGCGTCAGATGGCCGGGTCAAGTGTTTCCTGGCGGATCCTCCTGGAAGTGTGTTGCATTCATACATCACCTCCGGCGGGAAGCTGGTCGAACGGACTGGATCCAGTATTACCGAGGGAATTGGGCAGGGCCGGGTTACCGACAACCTGAAGCCCGACATTGATTTACTAGATGGATCATTGCACATCAGCGATGAGAGAAGTATCGAGATGGTTTATCGATGTCTGGATGAGGAAGGCTTGTACTTGGGAGCAAGCTCGTGTCTGAACGTCGCGGCCGCCAAGGAGGTTGCTGAGAAGCTCGGCAAGGGGCACACTGTGGTGACAGTCTTGTGTGATGGCGCATACAGATATGCAGACAGATTATTCTCCCGAAAGTGGCTAACAGAGAAGAAGCTCCTTGGTGCGATACCCAAGCATCTGGAGAAGTATATAGTGCTTCCTTGAGTTATATAGTACATAAAATACAGATGTCTCCCCCGCTCCATGTTGTTAACTCTACTCCGACTTACCCAATAGATTATCATATGTGGTTAACCCACGGAATGTCTTTCCTTGCCCTTTACTAATGAGCTTTTGCCTTTTCTGAGCAACCAATTTCTGCACCTTGGACGTCTTTTCTTTGAGTTGCTCCGCAATGTTCGAAGCTGGATCCAGGACTGTCTGGGCCACTTTCATACCATGCAGTATCGGCACCAGTATGGAGAGCCGGTGATTGGCAGCATGTATATCTTCGTCCGCGGCCGTGGCGATTCGCTCAATGTCGACAGGTAATTTCAATAACCTCTCCGCATAGTCTGCAACTTTCCCTCCTTCATCTTTGCCATCCAAATGCTTTGCAGCCCTCACAGCTGCCAGTTGAAGCATTATTCCAGTAACCTCCGGTCGAACTCTCGGATCCGCCTCGCCAGCAATGGTTTTGCTTCCAGCATGTCTCTCATCCTCCAACATGTCGCTCACCATCTCTGCCCACGAAAGAGCTTGCTTGGTCTCTTTCGCATCCCAGTTCTTAAGGTAGGCCTTATCTTGAATCCTCCACATGAACTCAGCAACAACCTCTGGATTCTTTAACGTAAATCCCGTATCGGACACCCTCCTCGCGCACTCAAGGATAACATCCAGACGACCCGCCAGTGCAGCTCTCCTCAAGAGTTTGTTGAGTTTTACGTCAGACAATACTCTACCAGCGTTGTGCAATCCGTGCAGCAGTGGGATAATGTTGTTCCAGTCTTTCTTATCCTTCATCAGACTCATCACCTCATCTAATCCCTTTTTGGTACTCGGTAAGTCTATTAACTGATCGAGATGCTCCAGCCGGAAATCTTCATCTCCAATCCTCGCAATAACTGGCTCTACCGTGAGTGCTCGCATATATTTGCGCTTGGAAATAAGGTCTTGCTGGTCCTTTGAGAGGTGCGCCGGGAGGAAGACTTTGGTGCGGAAGCTAGACAACAGAGCGTCGAGCTCGGGGGAGGAGGTTTCTGTAAATGCCGGTACGGGACCTAATTGACTCAGTATACCATTCTTGAATTGCTTCATGAGGGGTTCGTACCATGTCTCTGGTAGACGGCAGAGCTCGAGAAGGTCCGTCGTGAAGGTCCACTGGTTACATTTTTGAAAGCACAATCGCCGCAGCGAAAGGCCTTGCTCAGGCCTCTGCCACTCATGATCCTCTCCGGAGTTGGATGGAGAAGCACGCTGGTATATTCAAGGAACAGAGTGTTGTAGAGCGTCGCGTTCAGTTGAATGCTGCGGATAAAATAATTTGGGGTGGACATTGAGACGACGACCAATCACAAGCGAGACGAGATTTTGCTTAAGGCTGATGCTTCAATTCGAACATCACCTCCCGGACATCAAACACCATGGCCAGCTTAACGCCCACGTTACGGCCATTGGCCTGCTGGAAGTCTATATTACGGCATACGCGACAGCAGAAAGCAGCGACGAGGTCATTGACAACTTTCCGCAAGCCAAAGCCGTTCACAGGGCCTATAGCAGACCAAGTCCCCACACCTCATGGTACGTCCAGTTCAATAGCTCACGGTCAAGGGCTCTGGGAAGGTAGTATACTGACGCTCGAACAGTCAATCGAAAATTAAAGGTCCTCCCGCCTCCTCCATCCGTTGCTGCTCTCTACAAAGAACCCATCAAAGACCTCACAGAAGACCAAATCCGCGTCCTCGACCCGACGGGCGCACGTACACGTCTCTTTTCTAAAACCAATACCGAAGCCGCAAAAGTAGGCGACGTCCTCCTGGTGCGGTTGAAAAACGGCGATCCCTTCGCAGGCGTATGCATCAACATTCGGCGGCGCGGTATCGACACCGGCATTCTTTTAAGAAATGAATTGACGAGAGTCGGCGTGGAGATGTGGTTTAAGATCTACAGCCCCAACGTAGAGGGGGTAGAGGTGGTGCAGAGGAGGGCGAAGAGAGCGAGAAGAGCAAGACTCACATATATGCGGAAGCCGAAGCATGATATGGGCAGTGTACAGAGCATTGTGGCGGCTTATCAACGGACGAGGGTTGGTGCCAGGACAAGCAATGCCAATGATGAGGGCAAGAAGGGAGGCAAGAGGAAGGTGAAGGGCAAGAAGTAGATTGGCTGTATTATATGGCATAATGGCGTTTGAAGATGGAGAATACTTGTACATCAATGTTATATTACATACTGAGTCTCAGAAGCCAAGCGGCGTTTTTCAACTCCGGCAATAGCAAAGTGACTATTACACGGATCTCGATTTCGGTCACTGTGAACATGGATGGAAGGCAGAAACGGCGAGTAGGCTCGACGCGCTATGCCATGATTGATGCAGTTCAAGTTTACTGAATCCGAAGCTCTGAAGTACCTACTACCATCCACCGATTTTGAACAACACCGGGGCATTACTATCCCTCCTCGATTTCAGGGATAGTACCGTGCTGCTATATATACATCTTCATATCGAATCAGATTACATCCCGCCATCAGACTATTCTTTATCCATTCTCATATCTATATCAGAAGCTAGGACTTTAAATACACTTCATGCTTGTGAGCACCTAGCTCCATTTTCTCGATATTGTATTGAGTAGAAGTAATTCCTCGATTCCACTGTATGGAGGTTGAACTACACGTGATATACTTCGCTACGTTGTCTAATTCTCAAACTGAAATCTGCATTCATTCTAAAGCAGGAAATTCTTTTGTTGATGGCATAATTCTTACTTAGTCAGATATATATAGTACTTCCTCTCAGGCACGAAATCAAATGAGGGCGTAGAAGACTCGAATATTTCACAAATACCCAGGCTCATAGTTATTCAGTCTATATTCCTTTATTTAATGGGTGTCTAGCTTCTTAGCGGTATGTTAAATAGACCCAAAAGCTTTCACTATCACAAAGCCTTAAATCCCATGCGTTCGTCCGACTGTCATTTTGCACGTCCGCGCGTTACGAGTGGCCTTTGGTATTTAGTTAATACATCCAGGGCCTTTAAGCAGAAGTCATTATGAGTCGCTAGAAAACCCCTAAAGCTATGATCCTGGAGTAATCCAGAGATATTACGCACAGCTACCTCCAATATCTCGTCTCGAAGAAGATTGTCGGACTCGACGGTATTATCCCACAATATTTCTGCTGATTTGGTGAATATGTCATAAACCAGTTCCTTGCTAAGAATATCCTGGCACTTCACCGTTGCCAGTTTCTTCAATTCCGGGATGCCGTATTTGTCTGCAATTATGTAGACCTTTGTGTTGAAGAGAAGTGCGCCTCCTTGACCGCTATCGGGAGTTCTGGGGAGGCCGAGAAATGACTGTGGATCTGGTGTATCTTTTTCTTCTGTATCCGTTTGCTGATTTTCGATGTCGGCGTTTGACGAACGGTAGTCCCAGTAGTTCCCGTGATACAGGTATTGAACCATGGCTTCCACAACATCAAGCTCGTCGGCAGAAAGATCAATTTCTCCTGTTGCTGCTTCCTGCGACTAATAAGCCTGTGTCTAATAAATGTTCAAGCATTGAGTCAAACCGGACGAGGAACAATATCCTCTAAACTGTGTTATGGGCTAAGATAACGTACCTTGAATCTGCCATCCACAGCCGCGGCAAGAACGGGAGATCTCATACAGACGATCGCACGGTGAACTTTAAATTGTGTTCCTCGACACGTCAGGGTGAGATCAGAATACCTCGCGGAAGTCAAAAGCTCGCGGATAAAATCCGCCGTGTTGCCCATCGTCTGGTTTACCGGATCCTGAAGAGGGTGTGAAGAGGAGAGGAGAGTTTGCACAATGGAGAGGGAAAGTGTAGGGAGATACAATATTATAAGGATCATCAAGAGACAGGAAGGGGCTACTGACCAGACAACTCCTTTCTCTGAAATGTAGACCATGGCGGGAAGCAGCATATCCCGCGAAGAGTTGGAACGAAACAGGACGGTTTTGTAAGGCAAAAAGTTGAAAGCTCGGGAAAATGGCGCAGGAGGCCGAAACCTAGTAAAAGAGACCTGGGGATGCTTTGGGAGTAAAAGGTTATAAACCGTTGGTTTGAGACTGGCCAATTGTAACTGCCGGCCACATTTCTGGCTTTGGAGATAAAGAGAGGTATAATAATCTATCTGCTTCCAGCCGAAAGCAAAGACATAGGTAACATATGTAGACCTTGAGCCACGCTTTCTCAGGAAGAAAGACCCTTAACAGGCTCCCTTCACCATCTTTAGATAATGAAAGAATGGCAGGTTGCACACCTGTAATGAGAAGTGATGGTAAATCCCATCGGCACAAATTCAACCTTATGCTCAGCATTGGCATTGCACTTTGGCAAATGGAAGTTATGCAAGTTAAACCGGCCGCTAGAAGCACTCGGCGGTTGTTGCGGCTCTTGTTTCGGGGCCCAGGTAGCCTCCATCACATCAGAAGCAATGTCGCCCCGCTCCTTGCAAAGAGCACGGAATTCTTCTCTGCGCATCAATTCTTTAGCATGCTCACCCGCAACCTGCGTAGCCGCTTTTCGCAACATATCCATCTCTGTACCATCGGGAGTTCCATCGTATATAAGCCGCAGACTTTCAACGAACGAGATACTATTCCAAGTGTGCGGTAAAATCTTGCCGTATTTGTTTAGTGCAATATGTTTTAGCAGTTGAACATCGTATTGTTCGGCTAGGATGTACACTTTGGCATTGGTTACGAGGGCTTTTGGTTGGTATAAAAGGGTTGCTGCAGGTGTTGCTACCGCTTCTCCACGAGGGTTTGCATTTGACTGCGACGGATTGGACAACAGTGTGCCATTTGAGCCATTATTTGAGCGACAGAATATTGGGGTTGCGTTAGGTGAACCAGTCGGGGTGGTGGAAGTAGTACCAGAGATAACGGTAGAATCGAATTCAAACATAGAACGGCTGAGGCTATCCGACGTTGAATGCCTGCCGTCCGAATAATTCGCCGTGTAGAGAAATTTGAGAAAGAGCTCCACAATCTCTGGCTCTTCTGCACCGAGATCGATTACCCCAGAGCTTGCTTCCTGCTACCATCAGAACTTGGAATTTGTATTGAGTCCCGGTTTCTAGAAAAAAACTCACCTTGAATTTCCCATCCATAGCAGCAGCAAGCGGCTTTGATTGAGAACAAACGATTGCTCTATGAACCTTCCATTCCTTCCCTTGACACTTGACTGTCATATCAGTGTATTTGCCCGTGTCATACAGACTGGAGCTATCAGTTGCTGGGATCTTAACCATCGGCTCAGTTCATGGGACTCACTCAGAGATCAATCCTGACATCCTTGTCAGGTTTTGCAACTTGACCCCTTGATTGGTCATCTTGCTTGGAAAACGCGTATCTAACAAGAACTGGGATGATCACAGAATCAAAGAGATTTAGACAATAGACAGTAAAGGCTTTGTCCGGATTTTTTGCGAGTAATCATGAACTTCGATAGTTTTATGGCCACGTCGCATGAAACTTAGAAGACCATGAAACAGGCCTGGGCTCACGGACCTGTACTATGTTATTAGCCTCTATCGTTCTACCTTTACTTTGCAATCGAATCTCACTTTCCCAAATAGAACGACAAGAATTGATGAAATCACTGCAAGGAACACAAATCCAGCCAGAAATGTGGTTGAAGTAAATTCTTCATGTGGACGTTGGATTTAGCTATTGATAAGCGAGCGACGCCCCTATCAAATGGCGAGGTAAAAGGGGGATTCTCATCACGGAAGTTCCCCAAATTGATCCCTCCTTTAATGGTCAACGGCTCGTGGTTAGTCCAGACTGATCAGCAATTTGAAACTAAGAATATGGTTTCCTATTAAATACAATATTATACTCCGGAGTTAGGAAATACCGCTCGGCATTCAACGGATCAGAGTGAGGACCTGAAATCTCCATCGGGGAAGACTTACTTCTCTCCCCAAACGGCCAGTCGAAAGAGTATGTCCTAATTCAAATACTGACCAGTCACCATATTAATATCAGTGGATGATATTGCCGCCATTCATGTTGTGTCACTTGTGTGAAATATAATTTGTGCTCTGGCAGTAGATGCACTTTGTGACGGTCATAAATCCCTCGAGAATATCATAGTAAATCCCGCTGCTCTCAATGGAAAGAGTAACAATTTTCCTCATCCATACTCACAAATATATCAAAGACAGGCTTCGTAGCGACGCCCCTGAGGAGTTCGTAGTATTCGGACACCTTCCCCTAAATATACCAATCTCAGACTCTCGAGTCTTAGTGAACGAGACATCTGTCCATTATAAGATAACAGCGACCCTTGGATTTGCGCAACTAGCTCAACAGACTCGCTGGCCGGCTGTTATCCCGTGTTGAAGCAGGAGAAGGCTACACATACAGGTTTTGTTTGACCGTGAAATCAGCATGTTCCCCAGCTAAAATCTGGGAAACCCCCCTCCTGACTAAATCCCCATACATAAGACCTACCAAAAGCGGATGTGTGTAAAAGGAAACCGCCAAGGCGACCCACTACCACAAACCTACAAGCATTATGCGCGGAATCTTCGAAAGTTGAGGTCATTCGGTTTTCCCAGCTTGTAAAACTAGTGGGATCCCAGCAAACGCGCTGAGAGCTGAGTACAAGGCTCAAGGATGAAGTGCACAATTTTTGACCCATGACATATCTGTTCCGAATAAGAATTGCGGCAACAGTGACTAGTAGGGTCCCTAGGAGTCTCTGCCAAAGACAAAGCGGAAATCGGGATCCATAGCCCCCGCTGGTTGCAGTCCGAAGTCGCCTGCATTACATCGATCGCGATAGCTCTAACCTTTTTGAAAATGACGCGTGTTTTCAAGCTACCCAGGAAGGACAAGGGGTTAAATATCCAGCAGGGCGAACGTTTCTACTCCAAATCGGAGAGCTTTCCCTAACGAACTTTGCAATATCCAAAACCCCTTGAGCATTGCGTTGAGGTTTTGCGTAGAAGCCAAAGGGATGATCTCGTCGCCACTGCTTACACTCCTCATTGAGCATGTTGATAGAGAGAGCCAATTTTTAAAGGTTGCGACCTGAATGAGACCGAGAAATGCGTGACTACGATCGATTTCGAATGGAGGGAATATCTAATAAAGTTTTCCGACGCTAGACAGAAGGTTTGGATATCCGTTAGTCGTTGAGTTGTAGCAGTAGTTTAGGCTGAAGGATAGTGGAGCTCGAAGAAGTTCCAAGGCTCGGAGAGTCAGTCTGAAGTTCAGCTCATAATCCATGTGTGGCCCCTTGACTAAGAAGTTCTACCCAAGTTGGACTGACCATAGTCGTATGTTTCAATTGCTGAACTCTGCTTGGATAATAGGCAAATCCTGATAGACGATGAGACAAAGTTAGATCATTGAAGCGATCCTGTGAATTGCCAGAGTCTCGGTCCTCGTTGGGACAGCTTCTGACGAAAATTTGACGATCTCACGAGTATTCTAGCCATGGCGGTCGACGCCTTTGCCTTTGCGGTCTGAACTTGCGGACTTCAATAAGTCTCTCAGACTCCCTTCGGCGTGTGAGATGCCAGGTCTTCTGCCGTCCAAGCTATCAGGTCGTTCACTGGTTCTACCCCAGGGAAACCAAGAACTAAAGCTTCCCAGGATCGATAAGCCTGTATCAATCTCGGGCCTCAAAGCAGAAGCTCTTGATTTATTTCGATTTGGGGATTGATTAGATAACATCGAAGGCTGCAGAGTCGGCGATGTATCCTGGAAAGGGTGGTCAAAGGCGGGCACGCTGTCAAGTTCTGCTGTTGATGTTTGAGGTCTTGCAGGTTCGCTGATGAGCAATGTTGGCGATATAAGATTCGATGTGGTATCGCTCATAAAGTCTTGCGCATTACCTATAATCATAGATGCGAAGGTAGCTGACTTGGAACGAACGTGTTTTATCTGCCTTTGTTGCGTCAGTCCAGATCCGACAGCCTCTCCGACATCACCAGTATCGTCCTTATTCATATCTAGCCCTATCTTCGCTGCCCTTCCTCGCACCTCTTCAGCCAACACGGCTGCGGATTCCTTCTTAGACTTGTCTTCTTCCGAAGATCTGGAGGACGACATGATGGTTTCGAGAGTGCCATACGCTGCAGACTTCGTTCGCCTCGCAGCACCTCTCCTGACATACCGCGGCTGCTCTTCATCGGAACCGACGGCCTGCAAAGTCGGTCCTCCTGCGCTTGTCCCCGGCCCAACCAAAATCGCCTCCCCGCGTCCATGGGGAGGCATGTGGACCTCGTACTGATTGCTCAAACTGTATTTGCTCCTCGCACAGATCTCAGCAATCCTCTCCAAGTCCTCGGCAACACCATGTCTTATCTCATCCATTATGCCCTTGAAAGTAAAAGCCTCCACGGGCGGCAGCTTCAATTCCGCCTGTGCAGACTTCATGGCGGGCGACCCATTCCCTTTCTTGACCGTCACCAGATCCCGCCGTGGTCTCGCCGGGCCCGAATAGGTTCGTACAATCACCGGCCGATTGAACGTACTGTTACTTGCACCCGTTGACTTTGCGTAGCGGTGACGTGAACGAGTCGCACCGTTAAGCTGTCGTAGAGCAGAGATTCGACTGGCAACAGCCGTCTCATCGAGGATATGCTCGCCGCGTGCCGCTGCTTCAGTCTCAATCAGACTGGCCGTAGATGCGTTGGCACTCCAAAGGCTTGGAGGGAGGAAGTGGAGGGGTAGAGAGTGCCGTCTGTTGGATCCAGGCGCAGAGCGAGGAGTCCTGGGGCCCTGCAAGGCGGGGTGGTTGAAGGCAGATTGATCAGCTGTGGGAGCGTGTTCAGCGGGGGGTGGTTCCGGGGCCATAATGGTGGATCTTTTGGTGGGATCGCAGACATTGATTGTGTGGTGTTGTTTGTTTGTCGCAGCACTGGCAGCCAGAATTCGATTCTTCTCATGCAGAGTGAACTGTCACACTATCTGCTCGTTGCTCGCGGCGGCTCGCTGAGGGGTCTCGCTTCCATGGTGTGGCGGTGCGCTGCGAAGTGGCGGTGTGGATGTGGCTGGGGTTTCGCTGACTAAGCTAGGGTAACTTCTGGTGCTCCATAGATACCGTAGCTGGGCCGTCCCCAACCTCACTCAACCTCGGACATCGACATCGCTGTCTACGGTCTACAATAACGATGTGAAAACTTAGCATTCAACATGGCTTCATCCTCGGATCGTAACAAAGATACTGGCGACTCACAGCCGAATAGCGAGAACCCTTTCATCAAGTTCCGCCAATTCGCAGACTCGCAAATCAGCTCACTCCTCCAAGGAATCATTGGCCTGCCATCGGCCTTTTCGAGAAACGCACCCTCAAGTTCTCGATGGGCTGATTCCGATGACAGACTTCAACGGCGAGATGAACTGGAAGCTGTGCGGGCGAAGTTTGACCGGATGCCGGACGATGAGGAAGTAGAGATACCCGTCAAGAAGTCACCAGATTGGGGGAAGTATCCGGCAGCGCGGGAGGAAGAACCGGACAACAGGGTAATGGATGACAAGACGGCAAGGGACCTGCCATTGTATTCTCCTGTTTCCAAATCACTCTTCGCCCACCTCAGCCGCACCTATGATGACACAAAGGATTGGATGGCGCCGGGCTCTCGACCCTCCTTCGCAATGAGCATATATCGCCCCGGCCAGATATCCACTGACAGCATGAGGTCGCTTCAGTATATGATGTTCAACGAACTGAATGCCGGCTCGAATCTCCGGTCAGACTATTCGCTTCTCCCCTATTTGCTCTTCTCGCCATATTCGCCACTCAAGCTTTCTGCACCGTCATATTCAGCCACTCGTCGACGGGACGATTTCCCATATTGTGAAGCCTTTGAGGATTTGATCAGGGTATCTCAAGGTCGCCCACTGGCCACAGTATGGACCCGGATAGGCCTCCTAAACCCTTGGCTATTCTTTCACCCTGCACCTTATGCGGCTTCTTGTATGGAGTGGATCAAGGAGATGCGAGCGGTCGGGCTTCTCCAGCAAAGCGTACAATTATCTGAGCCACCATCACTTTTTACTCGTGGATTCGCCAAGCAGATAGAGATGGCAGACGATCATCCCTTTTTCACGCGATTGCCATATCGAAACTCGAGTCGAGAGATTCAAGACCTAGCCGACTGGACTGTTGAAGATTCGACGGAGCCCAAGACTGAACAGGATATGTACGAACGCTCTTTTTGGCTGAGTCGTTCAATCACCAGCCTTGAGGACATGATGCAGTCTCTTTCCGCAGACATCGAGAAGGAGTTGAAAGCCATTTCGTCAAGTCCTGAGGCGGCTGATTCATCACCGGAGGGTCGGCGCGAGCTAAGAGGACCTCGGAGCGATGCACAAGACCCCAAGAAGGTTTCCGAAGTCGAACCCACAGCCACTATTGATCCTGACAAGGTTGTATCAATGAGCAAAACCACTGAGCGCACTATGAAAGAAGATGGATCAGTAGAGACAAATGTTACAGTTTGGAAACGGTTTGGAGATGGGAGAGAGACAGTGTCGACTTCGACCCATACCGAGGACGCCCGGCCCGAAGGGTTTTCAAAGGAAGAGAAGCAGGAGACGACAGAAGGGGATAAGAAGAAAAAGAGAAGTGGCTGGTTCTGGAATTAGTGGTGTTGGGTAACAAAGCTGTTGGACCAGCTATGGAGAAAATTGGAGTCGTGATTTAGGCTACCTGGGCTTGCCTGTCTATGTAATCAATGCCTGTCTTGCCTTCCTGCAGTCGATGAAGTGTCATCCCGTCTGTCCCATGGCGATTCTTTGCTTGCCCATATTATTATTTCCTGTGCAAATGCACGCCCAGATCGAGCCTTGCTTCTGATAAGCGTCGCTTGCCTCCGTTGTTGTTGATCTCTCAATCGAATTCCGCAAAAATATCCACGATCTGTAATGCAAAGATCCTGCATAGTGATTAGGTTATTAGTTGCATACCTGGGTGTTCATATCAAGGCTTTGGCTTACCTCAAGTGAAAGATCCAAAGAATCTTCCCTCGAACTTTAGAACTTCGCAAAGAAGATCTTGACTTTCTTGAGACACTGTAGCTCAGGGTCCGCATCTATCTTCTTGTTGAACAGTGTGAGAAATGCCTCGCAGTCGGCATCAGGTGCAGACTCGCTCCAGTCGTTGACCCATTTTAGGTCGTTACGGTCCTGGACCTTGCTCATGGAATCTAGACCCCACTTGTCTGTTATGTCTTGAGAATGGCTTTTCGATGCAAGGATCACGATCTCTTGAAGTTTAGTATATTGAAGGAGGTGTTTTACTCCCTCATATATTTTCCCATTTCGCGAGACTCGCATACTGCGGTTGATGAGCTCTTTAAGGTGCTGTCTAACAAAAGCAATTGTCTTGTAATGTTGATAAATCAAACTGTGCTTTGTTGGAGGGTTTGGAAAGCACCTGCCGGGAAGGTATATAGGCAAAATGATATCGTCTCGGCAATTTATACTTTGAGAACAAATGTCAATCGGAGCTGGCACCTTGTATCGTCGGCAGACGACATTGTATGCCTCTTTGCAAGACAACAGTATGTGCCGTACCGCAGTAAGGTACACAGGCGAAGGTGTAGTATGATAGTGCCGATACACGTCTTCGACGACCCTGACGACACGGCGGCCTGGCAGAGCATACTTCCAGATCTTATCGCGAAGCTCAGGCGGGAGATTAGTAAAGAAAACGAATCTCTCTGCAGCAATAGCAGCCGTTAGTCGAGCAACAAGGACTGCTTTGTTGCCTGTCCTAAAGAGCCCACGCTTCTTGAGCTCTGCTTTGATAGTGACAACTCTATATGCCATCCAATCAATTTTTGTCTGGCCTGTTTTTTCGTGCTGGGTATAGTAGCCACGTTGAGGAATGATGCTAGGCATTTTGTCGTTTGATTTCAATATGTAGTGCTGAGTCGGTAATTACGAGACGCGTCAATGCCCACAACAGTCTGGATACTAGATGCTAGATATGTATCAATATCCACAACAGTCAGGGTGTGAGTTGTTGGTCTAGTTACTAGAAGATACGTCAACGTCTACAACATTCTAGAGACTAGAAGTTGCTTTAGTACCTAGAACAGGTGTCGACGTCTACAACGTTCCTGATGTAGGATGTTGGTTTAGTTACCAGAAGAGGCTTCAATAACTAGACCAGTCTAGAAGCTAGGTGCTAATTCAGTAAGTGGAAGGAGAATCAGTAATTGGATCAATTGATGTCTGTAAGGGATTAGGCAATTAAGTTGGTAAAAAGGAGGAAGACCACAAAGGTAGTTGTAAAGTTGTTCAAGAATATTGGTAGGGAGCTTAGCGCAAAGAGGACGGCAAAGAAGATCGAGGTGATTTAAAAGTTCATTCACTTTTGTTAGAGTCGCGCTTGTGTTTCTTTTAGTTATTACCTAGCTTTTACGCAGGATTCGCTCCAGAGATACGGTCCTACTTCTTTACTCGCCTATCCTCTCTTTCGTTCTTTACTCGCCCATCCTCTCTTTCGTTCTCTATTTACGTCCTCTTCTTACTAAATTGATCTTTCAACTCCTCTCCACACTTCTGTGTATCTCCACACTTCAAGATGAGTACTTTAGTAAGACACGCAGTCTTTGTCTCGCTCTGTCACTTGGCTACTCTCGAAGGCCTCTGTGAACAGCTGAGCTGCTACTTTGATTTGTTTGACGACAACAGTCGTACTATAGGACAGTGGCTCAACGAATCTTCGCTACCGCGTTCTACCCTGCTATCTTACATGGATCGGTCTCTTGAACCAGATCCAATGAGACAGTTCTTTCTCGGAGAAAGCCTACTTGAGATGTTTCGCGTGGCAGAAGAATCGCAGCCTGCTTGTTCCACAGAGGAGCCCGCTGCCTTACAATCCCTCAAGACATTCACCTTATTCCCGAATCTACCAGTCGAGCTAAGGCTGAAGATCTGGAAGCACGCGCTCCCCACCTCCCAAATCATTGAAGTCCACACACCCCACCCTGATATCCTAACTCGACTCTCCAACCCCGCCGTGCCAAGCACGCTCCTTCCAGTCCTCCAGAGCTGCCGCGAGGCACGCGATCTGATCACCAGCATCTACGAACGCGCCCCCTTGAGCAGCCTCGCCTTCACTATCCCTCAGACAACCGACATGCTCATCGATTTCAAAACTGACATCCTGTACCTCCCGGGCCCAGCTAGCACCTGGATGACATTCCGCATTAGCAATCCTGCACGCAACGCGCAGCTCGCACGCTTCCAGACTGTGGCGTTCACGGCCCTGAACTTCAAATTCTGGTTCACTATGCAGAAGCGCGAATTGCAGACTTCTTGGCTCCCGCGACTCCAAGGCTTGAAGACTCTCTTGCTAGTCGGAAGAGAGAGAGGTGATAAGCATGGTACCGAGCTGGCGTTCCAGGCTTGTGAGGGGGAGGAGTGTAAGTGGCAGCAGACATTGCGGAAGCTATGGGAGGACGACATGAAGACGCATGAGGATATGGAGAGGTTCCGGGATGTGAAATTGGTTTTTGTACAGCCGATTCGAGAGGGGAAGTTGGTCACTGGCAGAACTTTCTTGGACTGAGAGGTACAGGGAAGAGTTATGGGTGCTTGGAGTTTAGGGGTGGTAATTTGGCTCTTTTCCTTGAGATTCACAGGGAGGAGTTATGGGTGGATGTTTAGAGTTCAGCGGTAGTGGTTTGGCTTGTTTGCCTCTCTGCTTGCTCATGATGCTTTCTCATGATGCTTTCTCATGATGCTTTCTCATGATGCTTTCTCATGATGCTTTCTTTCTTCCTCTTTCATAATATGGCATGACATGACACAGCCAGGCAAGGCAGATGCTCTGCGTCTAGCACAGCATGGAAACAAAAGCGAATGACCTTTTAGTAATGACTAATAAAAAAAGCAATTGATCTGTTATACAGATTCTTCTTTATGAGTGAACCTGATTCTAACGAGACAGAACACTTAAGTTTATGCTTGAATTAAAGGACAAGTTGCTATTCTTAGTCTAAATCCTTGTGATCTCTTGGGACACAAGTCCCTAACAAGACACAACCATGCTTTCTCCTCCTTCACAGGAATGATACCCATCTCCTTGATTCAGTTCACGGTCTTGTAGTTAACTTAGGTTTCTTCTCATAGTTCTGTGGATATCCTTAGAATATACAACATAACCAAAAAGAGAACAAGGCGATGCACAAGACAAAACATATTGAAGGTCTAAGAACAAAAGGCAAGAAGGTTCCATCATAAAAAAAATGAATAAAACCAAGCCCATCCTCTACAAACTCCTACGCTAGTAATTCAATGCACGTGCGTATAAAAGAAGGCCCTCCAGGGGGGCCCTGGTATCCACCTCTATATATACAAGTTATCTTTAGTGATATCTTTCCGCCTCGGGCGCGGGGTCTTGCACCGCTACCTCGGGATCCTCATCCTCCTGATAAGAGTTCTTCCTACTTTCTACCCTATCATCGTCCTCGCGAGTGCTGTGCCCTCCGAAAGGAGAGCCATAATGAATCGATTTTGGGCTGGTCTCCCTTCCACGCTCCTCTCTGCTACTTCTCCGTTCATGGTTCTTATCACTCCGAGGACTATGACGATGGGTGGTTGGGATAATTGGGCCAGGATGGAGCAAGGTGCTGAGAATATTCTGTGTGGGACGTTGCGAACTCTTACTCCTGGTTCTTGTCCTCGCACCAGTACTCAGAGGTGCTCTCCCATTCGTTGATACTGATGAGCTGCGTCTCCGCGCGCGTTGTACTGTTGGTTGGTCGTTTTCTTTGTGGTGAAGATGTTCGCTGGGAAGTAGGATAGCACGATCCAGTTCGTAAGGCAGACCACGATGCCTCCCACGAATCTGCATCGCGATGATGACTAGCTTGGCTATCACACCAAACTCGGCAGAGAATGAGCAATCGTTTGTGGGATAGCCGAGGCTGAGACCGACTGTACCATAGGCGGATACAATCTCGAAGAGAACAGAGAACATGGTGAAAGCCGGGTCGCCGCTTTGTAGACGGTGGCCTTCAGCGATGGAGATGATGAAGAAGCCCAGAAAAATATACCAGAGATCAAAGGAGAGTTGGCGCCGGAGATGAGCGCCAACGTAAGAGGGCTCGCCATCATCTTCGCGTTCCTCACTAGGGGTCTCGTAGATGCCCAGGGACCTCTCTTCGTAGACGTTGGTTCGACGGACTGAGATTGCTATGGGGAGCACGGAGATGTACATCATGATGAGGTAAGAAACTTGGATAGCGGGGTGAAGTTGAGCTAGGTTGACGACACCAAAGCCTGCAGTTCTTGTAGAGACGGCTTGGAACCAGCCATCTAGGATCCGGATCCTGACTGGTAGCTGAGTGACAATGGTATTTCCAAGCTAAAGAATAATCAGCAAATTGAACCTAAAAGCATCCGTAACAAGACTCACATCAAGGATGATGAAGAATATCAAATCTAGGCCGTTAAGGATGACTAATATCCAAAATAGCCACCATGTGGCATGGGCTGGAAAGAGCAAGGTGAAACAACGACGTGGGTGGTCCAGGAGAAATCGCAACTCCTCCCATATTCCGCTGTTCTTAGGCACGTATAGCGAAGTCACCCAAATTATAATCCGAAGCATTATCGGGAACCCCGTATTCCCGATAATAATCAAAAAACTCATCAACAACAGCGGCCAGATAGCCCTCTGAAAAGATATCATGCTGTCTGGTGTCAAGGTAAATCCCAGATCCGTGAATGCTGAAGTGGACGTGAAGATAGCCCACCATACTCTTCCTTGACCGTCTTGCTCGACGACTGGTCCCCAAGTCTTGCTTTTGAGGATCCATGGAATCAAGCTAATATAGGCGAATATCGTGAAACCCCAGAAGTAAAAGATTAGAATCAGAGCCAAGGACTTCAGAGACCTGTACTCAATCCCACCTAATTCTTCCCTCTGTGCTTCTGTAAGATCTACAAATGCTGAATTCCGGCCGATAGTAGGTTGCCAGCTTAGGTATGGTATCTCCTCCTCTTTCTCGTGAGACAATGCTCGCCTGATGCTGTTAATGGTGCTTCTCCTCGACCAAGAGGCATGCAAGCCATTATCAGCATGGTGCACTTTGTCTCTATTAGACATGATTCTCGGCTTTCGAAACCTCAGAACGCTTAAAGTGTGCTTAAAAGCGCGCGCATCTTCGATAATTTGCTCCTCGGGCGAAGCAACACGAGACGGTTCCTCAATCGTGATATTTCGTCTCCTGTGATCATCGCCATTTAGAGCCCCGTGATCATTGCTCCCTCTCCTCGAATCGAGCGTTGACATCCTGTGCGATACCGTCTGATGGACAGCATCAGATTCATCGACCATCTGCGGATCTACACCAGCATCCGCATCTCGAGGCCCCGGAATCCGAAGCACAGCTCTATCTTCCGGGTTCCGCTGGCGTTCTACAAAGGCGATATGCGCTTCAGTATTCCGCCGGATGGGAATACGCAAATGCTCGTCGGACGTGCGGGAGTGGGTTGGCTTCACTTGGTCTGCAAACCTAATCTGGGTCTGGTGGGACGGCAAGTTGGGCCGGTCTGGTTCTTCTGCCGGGTCTGAGACCCGTCCACTACCAGCTTCGCCAGCCTCATGTAACGAACTAGAATCCTTATGTGCATTAATGGCATCCTTCAAATGGTCTTGAAGATCCTGCGATACCTCGCCATCATTCGTCATCCCGTTGGGTCTCGTCGTGTCGTGCATAACCACGATACTCCGTCCCTGGATACCCATCTCCTCTCTCCCAGCATCTCTTTCTCCGGTCTTCGACTTCGATAGCGTCTTAGCAATGCTCCACCGGCTCCTCTTCGCTTCCCTGGCGATATGTTGGAATCGTTTCTCAAACCAGAACAATCTCACGAAGACGACAAATGTGTTGATGGTGATCGGGTTCCCAATTGTCGTGATCCCAAACAGAGCGAATTGCTGCCATGTATTCAGACCATTGATATTAACGGGGTTAAGCCCGCTTTGGGTAGCGGCGCCAGCGGCGAGAAACAGAGCATTGATATATGTTAAATCTGACCTCGGGTATAGACAGATAGAGCCAAAAATGGTCAGGCCGATAATCCAAAAATCTTGACCGGTTTAGTCGGGCACTATCTAGACATGGAGATTGTGGTAGGACTTACAATGGATTGTTATAAAATTAAAATGAGGATGCCTGGAGATAAAGGATGGCTTCAACGACACTATATGTCGCCATACTTCCTCGAGTATTGTGAGCATCTCGATGGTTGCGCTGGAGATGGTGCCGCCCGATATCTCCTTCGAATTTTACAGGAAACCCTCGATCGAGGCAGATCGAAATGAACTACCGCCGGGAGACTGGAGGGCTGACAGCTTGAAGCGTTGCATGGCCGCGAGGTCGCTGCGGACGGTAATTGCAATGATTCCAGTCTGGTCCGGTATGAGGCGCAGCCAGGTGCGCGGCTGTGTCGCTCGAGGGACAGAGCTCGACAGCAAAGATTCGATGAAGGATCGATGTCGTTTCTCCTCCTCCAGACGACGAATGGTCGGGAACGGACCGCGATTACCTTTCTCCGCTTAAGCGCGAAGGGACCCGCTAAGGGCCCCAACCAATCAGCATCAAGCAAATTAAGATAGACTCACATAGGGATCTGGCAAGGCTGATTGAGTCTGTGTCCCGGTCAAGGGTAAATGCCATTACCCCTCTATGGGATTTCTCAAAAGTGGCTCTCGAGTTGTCTCAAATACAAATGCAACTGCAATGTCAATACGTAATAAGAGACTGTGCTCTGCAGTGATGCGGAAACGATCAGCGAGGGAAATTCCCGCACCAACACGTGAAGCTCCCCTAATGCCCGTCCGGCAACTCAGCACATGACTCGCGGAGCCAAGAATGCATTCGTTGCATGGCACGGGAGAGCGCGAGATCTGGGTCAAGGAGCCGCAGGTCCAGAGAGTGAAAGAATGAAATGGTTTTGGTCTCTGTTGAGCAATGGCTTCCGGGTCTGTAACGCCTACGCTGAGCTAAACTTTCATCGACAATGCAAACACTGTGCTCCGAGCAACGAGCTTCATTCATTATCCAGACGCCTAGATCACCGCACTCCGGCCGCCTCCCCCCGTCCCGGTCCCGGTCCCTGTCCCGGGTCCTGGCCTGCCGCTGCCGCTGCCTTGTTGCGCGTCCCCGCTGACCCCACGAAGATTGATGCTCCCGATCCGAGAGACGATATTGCTCCCGACCGCATCTACTGCTCCGCGCGGCGAGGATAAGGTCGGCCCGTGTGCCGCCACAGTCTCCACGCGGAAGAGCTTGATACCAGTGCCGTTCCAGACCCCAACGGTGCCTTTAGCGACCTGCATCTCGCTCGCGAAGATGAATCCCCAAAGTAATGATTCGTACCAGCCCATAGACAGCGGCGACCATTCAAAATACTGAATTCGGATGGGTGATGGTTCTATGCCACTAATTTGAGCGCGTTGGATTGTACGCAACACGTTGGTTGATGGCGTATCCATCGGGGCGTCTCCTCGTCGGAGTAAAGGCCCAACTTGGTCAATGAGAGTTAGGATCGTATGGAGTGGCAAATCTGTGAGCCATGAATCTATCCATTCGGCTGTGGGTTCAAAGGTACCGTTGGTAGAATAGCCCGTTGGAGTATAGCTGCCCAAGCTGGTGGTACTGCTCTGTCTCGAGAATGTGGGCATACCAGCTACGTCTTGTTAGTAAATGGACGGTCCAAGCCCGAACAGGACATACCAGGCATTTTCCCTCTCGCCTTCTCTGACATCCCTCTCAATTGAGTTGGGACTGCATCATCTACATTGGATGAGACTGATGAACCACTAGATGGCTGTTTGCTTGCCGTTGATTCTGCAGGAGTTGGTTGATTGTCATCCTCGGTATCATCGTCCTCATCATCTCCGATGGCGAACGCCCCGTCCTCTGGCACATCGCTAAGAGCTGGTGCTCGCTGATGACTCGTCGATGGACTCCTTACGCTGTCTGCAGACCCTCTTCGACTGTCCAGCGACGATAACTCTGATGGGTCGGCAGAGCGCTCCTTCCGCCGCCTGTTACGTTGCTCGAGTTCTTCCTGTCCACTCTCAAGAGTAAAGGATCGTAATGCTAGTGACAGTTAGTACCAAGGATTGATATTTCAGAGAGCTCTCCTTACCCTCAAACCTCTTTTTATTTCGTAATACAGCGTATACAAAGTTCGGGTTTTCTGAAGGGCGAGTCAGTACGTGCCATATATAGGTCACCTGAGATTTTCTTATTATTGGGTCCCCCCGAGGCGAATAACTTGGGCCTGGGTCAAGCTCCTCTCTAATCAAGAGCTTACGCTGTACTTATAGTCCAAGAGGATCTTAGGACCATAGATATTGAAATACAAGTACTTAGAGTGTGATTACTTACTGATATATTGGTGTTCAATGATAGCATTCATACTTTCTAACAGAGATTGTAAAAGATTATGATTGCTATCATTGGCCAACAAAAACCCTGGTGAGGACATCGAGGTGAAGAGCTGTAGTAATTTGGATGAAGCCGAAGCGCTCAGGAGTTCGAGGTGGGCGGCAATGTTGTTAATGACGGCTAGTAAGGCAGGGTAGATGGCGGTAAGTTTCCCCTGACTTGTGGTGATTATGTTGTATATGGACTAGAAAATTATCAATATGGTTATCAATATGAAACGGCTATTAGAACTTACGTGAATTAAGAAATCGGCATACGTCCCATTAAATGATGGGATCCTGATGCTGGCTGGTAAGGTATCTTGGGCCTCGAATCGCTTGTTGAGATTCTTCCCAAAATTTGGTTCCACACTCATTGTCTGCAACAAGAAAGCACACATCCTTACGACTCCTCGTTTTGATGCGTCCAGCTTGTATTCAAGGGCATAGAATAGAATGAGTACGACAAAGTCATGTGATCGATCAGTATCTATTATGAAGGAGCGGAATCGTTTGTTGCATTGAGTGATCTCCCAGAAGAGCATGATCATTTCCGATGAACACTTTGCGCCTGACTGATTAGTTGGGATATAGGAGGTGCTTGCTTGTAATGGCTGATTCAGGATTCTCGTCACGCCGTCCACAATGAATTGGAAGTCTTGCGGTCTATGTAACCGACCAAGAAAATGGCGAAAGTAATCTTTACAAATGTGATCAGTATATAGAAGTTTCAATTCAGAACTGATAGCTTACTCTTTTTTGTGTGGGCCGGATCCCCCTCCGGTATTGTGTAGAGAAGAGTGACAACTAGGAACTATGAATCTAGATATCAGTGATTGCCTCAAAATTAGAACTACTCAATCTCACCTGCAACGCATAGGTGACCAATATCTGCTTCGGGTCCTTGAAGACTTGCACATTATATGGTACCTTCCAGCTTGCTGGGTTGTACTTCAGGGTCTACCGAAAAGTAAGCACCTAGAGCATCGATTTGGTGACTTCTGATCTTACTGTATTCAATAACGAGCAGAGAACCGACAGAACTACTTGTTTGTCCGGGCAGGTGACAATATAGGTAATAGCTTTGACACCCTTGACCGGAAGCAGGGTCGGAGACATGTACATGCTCTGACTCGTCAAGGCCAATAGCAATCGAAGTATTTCGATACGGTTATTCTCGAACTCCTTGCTCGTCCCGACAGATGTATTGCATCCGACTCCGCTCTGCCAAATCGCATACGAAACCTTACTCTTGCTGTTTTGTGTCCTAGGCAGCGTAAAATCGGCGAAGAATAGCAGGTCCATCAGGGTGTCAATCAGCTCCTCCGCCAAGGGCTTGACCTCCTCAAACTCTTCTCCAGCCGCTTCCAGTTTCGCCTGCTCCTCGGGCGACTCATCGAATAGGACATCGCGGGCCAGAGCTGCCTTTCTAAGAGACCGTCAGTGGGGCCTGCCGCAGACCGCGGGGAAGCATACCGAGTACGTTTCCGCCTCACACTCCAAAAGAATTTGTCCTCCCATGCTTGTAGTTTCTCCGCCTCATAAATATATGGTAAGATTCTAGTGAGAATTCGTATGCAATTCAGCGCATCGCGCTCTGGCGCGAACTCTGGATCCGGGAATGAGGGATGATGTCGTAGAATGAACAGGCGACTTGTTACCGCCAGCAGGAGGGTTTCGAGGTTCTCTAAAGCTGTATCGCGCGTTCGCCGTATATCCGCCGGAGAGAAGAGACTGAAGATGTCTTCGGTGGATTCTGGGAGCTCCCAGAACTGCGGAGTATCCAGATCAGTCAGTGGAGTAAGGACGAGGTCGGGACCGGCTTACAGATGCCCAGTATGGATCATCAGCGGGGATGATCCTGTCCTCGGAGAGCCTAAAGATGCCCTTCTTGAACACCAGCTTCGAGTCAGAGGCTCCCATTTTGAATTGCGTCTGGCATTTGTTGTTGAGTTCATGGGATGAGATTCTAGCAGAGTTCTGGTGTTTGTCACGTTTGAATCCCGGGTCGGGTATTCTAGACTCATTTTACCGACGAGGAATAAGGCATGCGCGAACAACTAAACACGGCTTTCTTCTTTACAGCAGTACTAGAGTGATGTGGGAATCGCAGCACCCTAGAGATGGGAATCTGGATCGCGATTCAATGACAGACGAGTCAATAACTGGAATTGCGCTTGACCGAGGTTATGGGTATCTGCATCATACAATTTTCTTCTCAAGCCACAACCTTCCTATGCATACAATCGAGAGTTCCCCGAGCTCCTTCTTCCCTTGTCATAAAGCCACTTGTTGTTCAGTCCAACACTTGCTCCCTTCGAAGTCATTGGGCTTGGTGAACCCGGCATTTCCGGCACAGAGCCCCTTGAAGCACCAGGCCCAAGAGGACTTGGAGACCCATAAGAATGTCGCCTCGACCCATTCATACCCGCTGCTCCCATCGTCTTCTGTAACAATGGACTCGCTCCTGGGGAAAATGGCGACCCGGAAACACTACCGGATGCTGGTGGCATCGAATTTGAAAAGCTTCCTTTGCTTCCCGGGGATCCGCTCAAGTTCGTCGGAGTTCTGGCGTATCTTGGTGGAGTAACATATTGCGAGCCAGGGGTTGGAGGTTTAGAACTCGGTGGTAATCCAAGAAGCTTTCTTTGACCAGGTGTGAGAGGTATGTCGGCAAGATCGTCCTTCTTTCGGAAAAGCGGCCAGCATGCCACAATAAGGTTATAAGTAAGTAGTAATTGGAGTGCGTGGTATGTGTATGATGCATATGGATCAAGTAGCTTTCCCGTTTGGAAGTAATGCGGAAAGCTAGGTGCCACATCAGCTATGTTCTTGCTTTGGGGGTGGCGAATCATACTTGTTCCACAGCGACCGTCCTAGCAGCCACAAGACCACCAGACCCCCTGTATTATAGATGGCCTTTTTCACATTCCGATCTGAGAAATTTGAAGCATTTTGCCGTCTTGCAATCTCGTCAAATTGAGGGTGCCGCCATGTGCCTGTGACTGGGGTCGAAGGAGTCGCAGGTTTAGAGACAGGAGTTGCGGGTGTCGATGCGAGAGCAGAAGTAGACATCTTTGATCTAATCATGCGATATTACCTTGCCCTGCTGAAGACTTTTGCCGGTGTCAGCTCAGAGTGCATATTTCTGGGATGTCAACAAACCATCCGAGAACTTCTTTACCTTCGAAATAACCTCTTGCAGGCTTTCTTCCTGCTCCACCTGCTGATACCCAGGGGTTAGTAGAATCGTCGAGTGCAGATGATGTTCCTATGTTAGCATTGTCGAGCCGTGGTGGGCGAAGAGGCGTCGTTGGCCTGTTTGTTGACTTGAAGTTGTGAAGGCATTCGTGAATCGTGAATCGTGCAGAGAATCCTGGTAGCTCAACACCCCTGCAAGTCCGTCCTTAGCGCCGCCCGGCTGGAAACGCGCCTAAACCCCCACTGATCCAACCTCCACATTTCCCCTCAAATAGGTACGTTTCGGCCCTCGGTCAACGCTCCTTCGCATTCATTCTTTTTGTTTGTTTTGCAATCAACCATCATGGGTTTCGGAGACGATCTGATGCTGCAGCTCGACATGGCCATTACGGGCATTTTGGGCGAGTGGAATCACTACTCGACCGCCATAGCCGCTGGCATTGTCAGCTTCTTGCTCTATCAAATGTTCACCACCCGTGATCCAGATGCGCATCCTATGCTCCTGTCCCGCCAGGCACAAGCCTCTCCTGTCAGACAACCTGGCGAGTCTGCTGTCTTCCGATCGCAGGCGGCTCCTCACGGCATTCCTCTAAATTCTGGGCTCGGTGTCAAGGACCCGGGTGATTCAAAATGGGCTAGAGGACGGGATGGAGATCTGAGAGATATCTGGAGAAAGGTCGTGACTGGTGTCCAGGATAAAGAAGGCAACGAGACAGGAGAACATGGGAGGATCATGACAGTACTGGGTACTGAGAACGTCGTCGAGCATGATATAGGTGAGCATTGTTCCTCCATCATTGACTAAGTACGTCCTAATTTTGGCATAGCCGGGATTACTCGACAAATAAACCTAATCGGTGAACATCTGAAGCAGAATGGAGGCAAGAACGTTGCTATATATCTTCCAAACTCGATCGAATTTCTTGCGGCGCTCTTTGCATGTGCCTTCTACGATCTGACTGCCATTCTTGTGCCCTACGATCAACCTCTCGAGACCATCGTCTCGCTCCTTCAAAAGTCCAAAGCTGATGCCATTATTGCTGCTGTTGGGTCCTTTCCTTTTGATGTTATCACGAAGAGTCATCCCAGCCTCCAACAGCTTATATGGGTTGTGGATGACGGCAGTAAGCACATGGATTGGAATGAAGTTCCTACTGGTACCGGAGGAGCTATAAATGTTTCAACTTGGTCGGAAATCATTCAGGAGCAGAATGCGGCAGCAGGGACTGAGTTGCCAACTGTCGATAGAACCGTCAAACCAAAGAACGTGATAGCTTTCTGGCCCTCTGGGGAGATGGTTGAGTATACTCAGGCAAACCTGATTTCTGGCATTGCTGGTCAACTCACCTCGATACCAACCACACAACGCATGACGCACGCAGACCTATTTCTCCCTGCAGATTCATTGACGACAATTTATCCTTTGGTCTTAACTCTTGGAGCACTCTTCTCCAATGCCTCTGTGGCATTGAATTCTGTGGCTGGCCGAAGTCCGGATCTTGTCACTGCTACTGAAGGAGTTGCGCCGACCATCGTCGTCGCTTCACCTTCTACTCTCGCCCAGACCCACTCAGAGACTGCGGCCAGATTGAACTCGCCCATTTACCGCCTCGTTCACTGGTTCGAGACCCGCTCGCTCGTCCAAGATGGTGTTATGCCAATCACGTCGGTACTGTCCCGCTTCTATGATTCACTCAGACCCGTTCTTGGAACTGAGTCTGGCAAACTCCGCTTAATATATGTCGCGGCGCAACCTGGCTCTGATTCTACTCCCCTGAGTGCAGAATTATTGTCGGATTTGCGGGTTTACCTTCGAAGTAGGGTAATCTATGCTCTCACAGCACCCCAGGTTGCTGGCGCGGTCACCCAAACCGGTCTTTACGACTACCGACTTGATGATGAGAAGACAAAATACTCTCATTTTGGTGCTCCAGTAACAAGCGTTGAGGTCTTTTTCAAGGATACCAAAGAGCACAAGACGACAGACTATTCCTCTGCCGGAGAGGTAATTTCTCTATTTCCCAGATCCTCAATGTCCTTGCTAACCATACGCAGATTATTGCCCGAGGTCCCGCTGTTGTTGGTGGCGAGGCCGCTCTCGGAATTGTTGGCAAAATGAAGGCTGATCATACATTGGCTCTGCTGTGATACTTGAGACGGGGCTCAATATGAGTAGATAAGGACGTTAATGAAAATATTGTTCCACCAAATATTATTTACATTGTGCATCTGATGACCGAATGCCCTTCTCTGCCAAGATTCTCTTCCTCTTCGTCACGGCCTAGTTCTTCCTTACTCAGGCAGACAATTGATTTTATTTCCCGTGTACAATTCGACATTTTGCCCATCGATGCCTATAGCTATAAAGCTCAATTTCTAAGTATGCGGGAAGATAGTTCTCCCGCCCCCTTCCTCGTGGGATTCAAATTTCTGGAAAAAGCAGAGCTTTCTACCTACCTATCTTAAAACCATGGTGACGATTTGGTGGATATGTATTTTATGTAGAGGTGCTTATCAAAGTTGCTGTGTACAAGATCTTACCTTTTTACTTCTCGAGTACGTGTGTGATCAGTTGCGGTAACCTAGTTTCACATTTATCCCCCCTCCCCCCCCCCTCTTTCGGGGAAATACCTTCGGGGAAATAATTGAAAATAAACCGAAAATAAAAAATCACCACAGACACACTCTCCCTATTGAAAGGTACATCCCTCCTCAATCAGTATGATGTAGCTGCAAGGAGGAGAAAAAGCACAGAAGAAAGGTGATGGGAGAGGACTGAAAATAAAAAAAGGGGACGTAAAAAGAAAGAAAGAAAATGGGAAGAAAATGGGAATAAAAAAAGAGAAATCAAGGGCAAAAAATACAAAAATGAAAGTTTTGAAGACTACCCGATTTGAACGGATGACCCTCTGGAGATTCCTAGAATAAGATCTGGAATCAGAAGCGCTACCACTGCGCCAAGTCTCCTTGTTTGTTGTAAGGAATGAGGAAAAAGAATAGAAGAGAGTTTGGCAACCGGATCCGATTGATTGGCTGGTTGGTTTCCTTAGGCTTGAATGGACTTGGGACTAAAGCGGAACAAAGAAGGGGTTATAAACCCTTTTATTTGTATACCTTAGGTATAAAGGTATCCAAAGGATTCACGGAAGTGAATGCGATGACAAATTTATAAGGATTAAAGTGCCTGAGGGAAGCCGTTGGCTTTTGGGTACTAAGAAGGGTTAAGTGGAAGAAAGGAAGAATGCCGAATTGTTCTCGCCGCACTCTCCATAATACAGGGCGCATTTCCAGCGTACAGATTCTAGGGGAGAGTACGAGGGGAAGAAGCGGGCACGATGAGGCGAAATGGAGAGGTTCGGGGCAGGGGGGTATATTTAATTATATCCAGCAACTATGTCAATAACAGGGCTGGCTAGAACAGTGCAGAGGCTTGCTTCCCAACTGGATAAACGATCTCAGCCATAGGTATTAACAAGAGAGTATAGCCAACCCGCTCTACTATCAAAGAACAAATTCTCTCGTGATTCCGTTAGATTGCAGCAATTTATTTGCTGCGTTTGTAGATCTTGGCCAGGAAGCTCTCGAACACAGATTTCTTTAAGCCCTCCGACTCATCAACCTCCGCGATCATCTTCTTGATCTCGCCGACTCGGGTCTCTTCGTATTCCTTGTAGATCTGTTCCAGTTTCAACTCGTCGTATAGCTTCTTGACGGCTGCCTCCTTGGTCTTGTCCTTGCGCCCGTAGTTATCCTCCAGAATCTTTCTCTGTTCTGGCGTCGCGATCTCTAGAGCCTTGTTGACGAGCCATGAGCACTTGTTGTCCATGATGTCCGTACCAATCTTGCCAATGTGCTCCGGAAGACCAAAGTTGTCGAGGTAATCATCCTGGATCTGGAAGTACTCGCCGAGCGGGATCAGGATCTTCTCCGCCTGCTTGAGATTCTTCGGCGTAGCGATGTTTTGGTGGTAGAGCGCGAGCGCAACCGGGAGGTAGAAAGAATAGTATGCGGTCTTGTAGATCACTATGAATTGGTACTTGGACATGGAGAAGTTGTCAAGATCGATCTTGTCCTCAGGTGCTGTGATCAGATCGCATAGTTGGCCCAGCTCAGTCTGGTATGAGACTTCGTGGAAAAGCTCGAGAAGATCGACGTATGCGGGGTGCTTCCGGAAGTACTTCTTGAGGAGTGTGTAGATAGAGGATTCGAGCATGAACGCGTCGTTGATTGCGATCATGCCGACATGTGGTTGACGGTACCAGCATGGTGCCCCACGGCGGGTGATGCTACTGTCCATAATGTCGTCGGAGACGAGAAAGAAGGCCTGTAACAGCTCGGTCATCCATCCCAATGTCGCAGCTTCGAAGTATTGCTCTTCGGAAAGTGGGGCTTCGAGGAGAAGGGAGACAGAGTCGGGAACAGACATGCCGCGATTGCATTTCCCACCAATCGTATTGGCATTGAGAGACTACGTATCTGTCAGCGGATGAGGCTTTGCAGTGTAGAAATATACTTACAGCTTTGTACCATTGCACGAACTCATCTGCGAGATTGTATTGCTTGGCATGGTCCAGCAGGTCTTCGACCAGCTTTGGGAAGACAGATTCGAATTCCTTAAGGGTTGTAGTCTTCGCCATCTTGATCGCAAATATCGAGTCTATCGGATCGCAAGGCGTAATTCAGAAGGGAGGCAATTGGGAAGCGTTGACTTTGCGGTGCGAGGGGAGGGAGGAGAAGAGAAAAGGGGGACGAGGAGCGGTGAAGATGGTGGGGTCGGCAGAATTCCAGGCGCGGATCGGGATACTTTTCGTCGCGGTTTCCATGGCGAAGCGCAAAGGATCCTTGACTTCGAGCACATCGCACACCCGATTGACCCTTGAGGCTCTGGAGTCTTTAATTTTGCGCGAAGGACGATGCTGCAAAACACACAATCTCCGGTGCAATTGAAGCCCTTCCAATCATCCGTTGAAGCTGCGATCACTGTCCTATATTGACGGACTCGACGCGTCGTACACAGGAACGGGCCGGAGCGTCCTACGAACTCGGAACAGTGGCAACAATTCCCTCTGTTACTTCATGAATATAGCTGCTAGCAGCCGGCGACAAGATTGGAAATGGGGCTTAATGAGCATGAGACGGCCCAGTTGAGAGCAGCGCTGCAGGACGCTGTGGTGAAGTGCTCTGAAAGATGTTTATATCAGTCTGCGAAGTGGTGGGTTACGTCGAGAATGGCTGGAGAATCCTGCTGATATTGTTGAAGGGCGGCAGAACTTCTCACATCAATACCGACGAGAGATGATGCCTCCGAACCCGAAGACTCGCAGATGACGGAAGTCCCTTTAGAAGGCCTACCACCAATTGTTGTGACGGGGAACCTCGACCCCGAAGAAGCGCAGCTTGAAGCGAAGGAAATAAACCAATATCTGCTTGCAAAGTCATTCTTTGACTGCCGCGAATTCGATCGATGTGCGGCCGTATTCTTACCAGATACGATATTATCAGGGATTCTGTCAACGTCCTCAAAAAGCTCACAAAATGCTTCAACACCCAAGGCGAAGGGCAAGGGCAAGGAACGTTTCTCTGAAGGGGCGAACAGCCATACAGCACCGAAGATCCCAAAGCTAAGCCAGAAAAGCCTGTTCCTAGCTTTGTACGCGAAGTATATGTCTGGAGAGAAGAAGAAAGATGAAGACAGTGAAATGGTGATGGGCCCGCACGATGGTGGGCATACAGTTAACAAACAACTGGTAACGATCAGCCGGGTTTTGGAAGGCTGGTTTCGGGAGCGGACAAATAGCGATGGCCAGGTCGTTGGGAGCCAGGGATGGCTCGAATACCTGTAAGTCGTCCTGCATAGTAACTAGCCTCTGCTAATAAATGCAGTTATGGTATGGTTCTGGCCAAAGACAAAAACGAAGAAGAAGCCATGCGCTGGCTGATTCAAAGCGTACACCGCTACCCCATGAACTGGGGATGTTGGCTGGAGATGACTTCCTTAATAGGTCGCGTACAAGACGTAAGTACTGTTCCACCTCATTCTCGGCATCAGCTGTTAAGCGTGATCTAGTTGGAACGAATAGCACAGCATCTGCCTGTAAACATCATATCCTATATCTGGAATTTGCACACCAATCTCGAACTCTACCAGTCAACACCCAATGTGTCGCATATCTTATCTGAGCTCCTTTCCATCTTTCCAGAGAGCTCTTTTCTGCTAACGTGTTCTGCACTTCTTGCATACCACGAAAAAGACTTCGTAAGCGCCGATGCGCACTTCAGTCGCCTCCTCGCCCAATACCCTCATCGGCTCGACTCCCTCGATCACTATTCAAATATCCTTTTCGTCATGAACCTACGGCCAAAGCTCTCCTTCCTCGCACATCTCTGTTCTACGGTTGACAAGTTCCGGCCCGAGTCCTGCGTGGTCATTGGAAATTACTACTCTCTCATCTCACAGCATGAAAAGGCCGTACAATACTTTCGTCGGGCGCTCACACTCGATAGGTCTTGCCTGAGTGCCTGGACGCTTATGGGACACGAATATGTGGAATTAAAAAATACCCATGCGGCCATCGAGTCATACCGTCGGGCTGTCGATGTGAACCGGAGGGATTATAGGGCTTGGTACGGGTTGGGCCAGACATACGAAGTCCTGGAGATGCACGCATACGCCTTGTGGTACTTCAAGCGTGCAGCAGGAATACGACCGTGGGATGGGAAAATGTGGATGGCGGTAGGGTCATGCCTACAAAAGATGGGACGAGACCTCGAAGGTATCAAAGCACTGAAGAGAGCATTACTAGCTGAAAGCTATTACGATGGCGGGGTCGGCAGTTCATTTGGAAGCGGAGGCCGAGAGAGAGCCGGTACAATGGATCCCGAAATTCTTCTGCAGATTGCTGGAATGTACGAGCGATTAGGAGACGAAGGAGAAGCAAAAGCTTACATGGAGATGTGTGTTGCTCAAGAAGAGGGCCCAGCCGATAATTTCGAAGCGTCTGTTATCAATATCCATACAGATCCAGCATCATCAGATGATGAATCGCGCACAGCGCCTACTGTCGTAGGCTCGGGAGGTGGCGGAGGCGGCGAGAATACAGGAACAGGAGTTACGGCAGCAACTTCTAAAGCGCGGATGTGGCTGGCTAAATATGCCATGCGCACCGGGGATTATCAACGGGCGATGCAGCTAGGGACGGAGTTATGTCAGGATGGCGTTGAGGTTGAGGAAGCAAAGGCGCTGGTGAGGGAAGTGAGGGTCAGACTGGAGGTCATGGGCGGGGAAAGTCCCTGATCTGGTATTTTTGAGGAGAAAAGAAACATGTTATCAATATATTGATGAGTTCCTCGTCCTTGGCTGGTTTAATATCATGAAATAATGCCTCTTGGAATGGTTCTCACCTCTGATGAATACTATGACTGCATATAGGCCTGGCCTTTAGATGCCCATTCATGTAGCAGATTACTCACTGAACCATGTAACCTCTATAAGAATAACCTGATAGGGGGAAGCTCGCTTAATTGTCTTCGCCTGAGAGATCGTCTGCACGGACCACGGGGCGTTGATTAGCTCCCGGATCGGCTCGGCCCAAACCCCGCTGGAGTCGGATCGGGGAAACGTTAATCCATGTCTCGAGCTTCACCGCTGAGCTTAGCTGAGTCCTCTCTCCTCTCCAATTCAGGGTTTCTCACTTCGATTGTCTTATATAAAGCTCCAATTGGACTGTTGGACTGCCTATATCTTGAAACGCCCCTTTGTTAGGTATATACAAAATGTCCACCTACCCAACCCCGCCTCCCACGAACTCTCCACCAACACGACGCGACAAATCCTCCTACGAACCGCAGCCACAACCACAACCACAACCACAACCCTACGAACACATCATGCAGCAACCCTACGAGTCCACCGTGCAGCAACCCTACGAACACAGCATGCAACAACCCCACGAATCCTACATACCACCCACGCAAGAATACTCTGCCCCCCCTCCCCCAGCAACCCCTCCCCCAACCGGCCCCCCCAAAATCCCAGCCCAGGATTCCTACTACTACTCCACCTCCCCCCGGCCTCTCCACTACTCACCGCTCAACAAACCACCCACTCCCTACAACGCCTCGCGGCCACGGCCTCGACCTAACTTTATCCAGCGCTGCCTCCTCAAGATCGAGCGCTGGATTAAGAAATTCATACGATGGGCAAAACACCACCCGATCATAGCAGGTTTCTTTACCTTCCTGCCCGTGGCGGGCCTGGCGGGCGCTGTAAAGGCAGGGAAGATGCTCAGGCGATCTCTCGGGGGCCGGCAGGGGAAGATAAAAGGGGGAAGTAGAAGCAAGGGAGCGGTGGATGAGGGAGGGATCATGAAACGTTTGGAGAAGGCTTTGTCTTCGTATGGATTCCATGAGTTTAGAGGGTTTGGGGGCACTAATGGGGGGGCCTTAGATGGCATTTTGAAGGTCGTTCATCTGTTCATGTAGATCCCCTCTCTCACACCTCTGTCTTTCTTTTGTTCCTGCTCTTCGAGACGTATCAGCTTCCGTGTTTGAGAGATATACTAACTTTCCTGGGGTCTTCTAGTGATCATTATTGCAGACTCACACCTTCGTCTGTACCCCGACTTGCGAGCATCTTGCTCGGTTTATATTTCCTCGACACGAAGAAGTAGCAAATTACTATCCATCCATCTATCCATCTATCCATCCATCTATCCATCTATCCATCCATCTATCTATCTATCTATGAATTTATGATTTATGAACACCTACGGCATTCATGCTCTAAGACCACTTTCCAAATTCGCTAGTCACGTCTTGATCCTATACACTTTCTCTCATCGTAAAGAGCATCTCACACTATCATCCTATGCCTATTCGCAATCATGCTTTCCCAACCTCTTGACTGCCCAGTACCGTACCTCTCCACAGACTTTAATACAAATGACTCCCCTCTCCTCCTAATCCGCATAGCAACCTGACAGTTATATATCATTGATATCCCGTACTTCCATTCCTTACACAATTTCCACCACGGGTATAAGTAGATGCTAGGCTCTTTTTTTGTCTTGCTTTTGGAAAATATGAGAGCGAATTGATAATGCTGCAGGATTAACAATTTAGGTAAGGATAGAGAGGGAGAGTGGAGATTTGGCTATTACTGATGAGTTGGTAAAGGAGAGCGGTTTTCTCACTGCTTTATGATTACTTGGGAGTATACATGCTTATTTTACAGTAAGCAAGAGGGGCTGACAGATAGTATGAGTTGTGAGAGATTACCAAGGAAGCCTGTCGTATTATTATACAATTATAATTCTCATTTCTATTTTAGCTGGCGTCGTGATCTATATCTATCACCCTAAAGACCAACTTCTAGACCCCTAGATGCCTATGGTATCCCCGGCGAATAATCTATAATACCTGTCTCAGATCTCAAAGATCCAGACAGAAAAACATCGCTAATACCAAAGCCACAGCTTCCACCCACCAGCCAAGCCGCGGGCCACATACAGCGCCACCAACGCCCCCACATAGCAGGCTCCCGTCCACACAATTAAGCCCCAGTAGCTGCCGCCGCACCGCTCCAGAATCGCCCCCGCGATCGGGACGCCTGTTAGGCAGCCCAGAGACACGATCGTGTAGCAGGTGGCGTAATAGCGGCCGTAGTCGCGCGTCTCGCACAACTGTCCGATGCAGACCGGCGTGAGACTGATGTTGCTCCCCGAGGCAAAGCCGAAAAGGAGGCAGAAGACGACAAGGCCGGCAGTGTGGGCGCCGAACGGGAGCCAGATGACGAAGATGGAGAAAATGGTAAGGATGGTGAAGAGCAGCGTGGTGTTGTAGCGTCCGATGATGTCGGAGTAGAAGCCGGGGAGCCAGCGGCCGAAGACTGACCCGGCGTTGAGGATCGGGAGGACCTGGTAGGAGAAGGCCTGGGAGTAGTGCTTGGAGATGGCGTAGGAGGTGATGTAGGTTAGGGGGATGAAGAGCGCCCATTCGAGGAGGAAGACGCCAACGACGGTCCATGCGAATGCGGGCTGGGCCAGAATGCGGAAATCAGGATGTGGGGAACGGCGGTTTGAGGATACGGGGAGGCGCGAGCGGATGAATAGGTTGGCGAGGGCGCAGAGGAAGAGAATAATAAAACCCATTATGCGCGTAGCCCAGCCGAAGCCGATCTTAGGGATGAGGGATTGGAGGAGCAGGGGGAAGACGATGCCGCCGAAGGCACCGCCCGCAGCTGCAATCCCAGTTGCATTTCCACGGCGCCGGTGGAACCAGTGCCCGACGGCGGCAATGGAGGGCGTGAAGAGGAGGGAGGTGCCAAATCCGCCGAGTATGCTGAAGTCAAGGATGAAGTGCCAGTATTGGGTGCACACGCCAAGGACAAAGATAGAGACGATGATGCATACGCTGCCCAGCAGAACAAGCAATCGAGGGCCATAGACGTCAAATATAGGGCCTATATAGATGCCGCAGCCGAACGTTAAGAAGGCATAAAGAGAGAAGATCCAGCCGACCTGGTCTGTCGAATAACTAGCTAACTGGTTCTCTGAGATATAGGTTTGGAAAGACGCCAGTGTGTTGGTTATTCCCAGAGAACTGAAAAATCCACACCATCCGCCGAATACAACAAGCCATGCTTGGAGTCCACCTTCGGGATACTGCACTTCCTCTTCTGAGTTGAGCGTGAGAGAGGAGGCAGCTTCCGCAGCTTCCGCAGAATCCGCCATACCTTTCTCTGCTGTGTTTGTTTCATCTGAGGTCGATATATACCCAGCTTCTTTCTCCGTAGTTTGCCCTTCTCTGTCCGTAGACTCAATCGCATCAGTGTGGCAAGTCTCTGGGCCTTCGCCACTGGTCTGGTGGTCACTGGACCGGACGCTGTCGATGTTTCCAAAATCTGAGATTGCACTCTTGCCGGCAGAAATTGAGTGACTTCGACGAGATTCTAATGACCCCGTAGGTCTGTCTGAGATGGGCACAATCTTTTCTGTTGCCTCTTGATTTACGGGGCCGATAGCTGATTCTGTGGAGCCTTTGGAGGGACTTCCGGCCTCACTGGCCGCAACAATGACCATTTCCACAACAATTATGATCTAACTTGCATGGCCCTCTTGGTAAAGTTTCTTAATCACTTGGCTTGATTCCTCTGTACCCGAGAGCTACCAAGGGAGGTTGACAGAGGGTGGCGGTGTGCTGAAGATCAAAATGTGTATGCGGATGCGAGGGGAGTTCAGATAAAGAAGATACTGTAGATGGTGCAGATGGGTGTAAAGAATACAAAAGTAGAAGTAGAAGTAACTTGTGCCATTGTATAAGAAGCAGTGCTTTAAAGCATTCACCTCCAGGTCAAGAGCTGAAATCACTTGACTTCACATCCCTTCATGCTTTCTAGCGACTTTGAGAGTGGGGGTGGGGAGGAATCCCGACGATCTCTTGGTATTGATCCCCATTCTTGAGAGTGTTCTGAGGAGACATCCACCATCTCCTCGTGTTGTTGATCTCGTTCAGGGTTCTTGACATGTCTTTTGGTGAGAGGGGGAGAGAGAGAGAGAATGGATTTCATGAACGGACAATGAATGGTGCGGCAAGAGCGCCCTCCACGTGACTGAATACTTGAGTCCAACAACCACTTGATCAGGTTGTCCACGATCGACGAACTTTACCGATCGTACCTCTGTACATCTCAACTCGATTGATTATCGAGTGATAATTGATGAACAATTTAGCAGCTCGGCTTATTGCTGCGAATTATCCACCAGTCAGATATGAATCGTTGCACCAAGTGGATGCAGGTCCTCCGCTGCAGCATGTTGAGTACCAGAGATATATATGTCTCCTCGGGCGAATTTCCATGATCTGCAAATCCCCACGCCTTTCGAGGCAAGACATACACTTCCCCGCACTTGTATTGCTCCATGAAGCTATCGTGACATGTACCACGGCCTGTGAAGCTTTACCCCAGATCATATTCCTCGCATTTCACGTCATGCTGCGTTGCGTTGCGTTCTGCTCTGCTCTTATATATCAAGGATGTCCGTCCCTCTTCCTCTCTGTGCTGCTGCACCGTTGGGAACCTTCTTATCATGCATCTTTCGTCTCTCTTTACAACCGTCCTTGTGGCCCTGGCCGCTGTTCATCCCGCAAGTGCACAATTGCCGGCCTCGAGTGGACCCTCGTACTCACCTGCAAGACCCCCCGCAATTCCATTGGCAGTGCGCGGTCCGTACACGAATGCCTGGTCGTCGACTTCCTACAATGGTACCTTAAATACCAACGGAGTTGTCTTCTGGCCAGGAAATGCACTGGGCTGGGAGGGCATGGTCACGGTAGATGGAGTCACGTATGAATATCTTGGGACGGGATCTCAAGGCCTGCCAGCCTTATCCACTCTCAAGTCTGCAACTCCATTGACCGTTTCGTATGATTCGCAGTACTCGAATTTTACGTTCGCGGCTGGTCCTGTTGAGTTGACTGCGAGCTTCCTGTCCCCAGTTTTGCCGAAGGACTTATGCCGTACCAGCATCCCATTGTCTTATCTGACAGTTACTGTCAGATCTACAGACAATGCAACCCACAATGTGCAGCTGTATAATGATCTGAACGGGGCTTGGATCTCGTATGAGAATAACCGAACTCTGGAATGGGCCATGTATCAAGGATCAACTTCAATCAACGGCAGCTCTAGCTCCGGAAAAGGTTCAGCCCCGCACACTTGGCTATACGCTCTTCAGGAGCCCTATCTGTTTGGTGAGAACTACCAGTTTCCCCAATGGGGAAATTTTACTTTCAGTTCTGCTCAAGGCGGCGCGCAGAATATGACCTACGGGTCAGGATATTCAGCTAATGTTCGCTATCGCTATCTAATTTCGCACTCACTGCGGAATAACGTCGACGGAGAGTTCAGAGGTTGGGGGGAGCAAGAGCCTGTGTTCGCCTTCTCTCACGATCTGGGCTCTGTCACAGGCAATGCATCTGCCGCGGTCACGTACACGCTTGGATCTGTTCAGGACCCCATCATGCGATATCTCACATCCTCGGGAATCGTTTCTTTGAAGCCTTGGTGGTCAAAGTGCTACGGAGATATCTTCTCGATGATCGCCTTCCACTACGATGATCTTGCTCAGTCCCAGAAATTAGCATCTCAGTGGGAAGCTCAACTGAAGTCGGACGTGAAGTCTTACTACAGGGCCAATCCAGCACCTGCTCCATCAACTCAATTATCGCCAAGCCAGATCATCTTCGACTCCGACGACGCTTATGGCTATTTAAACACGAACAATTACACCGGTGTTGCTGCTCCCACTGTATCTGAGGCTCAAGCGTACTACAGCATCGTTGCATTGTCTGCTCGTCAGGTAATGGGAGCTTATATATTAGCCATCCCTCCCCAAAGCACGTCCTTTACCAGACAAAATTCCTCAGAGCCACTCATGTTCCAGAAAGAGATCTCCAGTGACGGAAATGTAAACACCGTAGATGTGATGTGTACGTCCTCTTACCCCCTTCTACACCCGTATTAGCTGACACCTGCCTCTAGATCCAGCTATGCCCTTCTTTCTCTATGCAAATCCCAATCTCCTCAGGTATAACCTGGAGCCTCTCTTACAGAACCAAGAATCCAACTTCTACCCCAACGAGTACAGCATGCATGATCTCGGGAGCTCCTTTCCCAATGCCACAGGTCACGTGGAAGGAAACGACGAGTACATGCCTGTCGAAGAGTCTGGGAATATGATCCTCATGGCTTACGCCTATGCGAAATTCAACAATGATACCTCGTACCTCCAATCACACTACCCGCTCCTAAAGCAGTTTTCCAACTACCTGACGGAATACTCGCTCCTGCCAGGCGTGCAGCTCAGCACCGATGATTTCGCCGGCGAGCTCGTCAATCAGACCAACCTCGCCCTCAAAGGCATCGTCGGCCTGGCCGCTATGCGCGAAGTCGCCACTCTCACAGGTCACTTCTCCGACGCCTCCAACTTCTCCGCAACCGCCAACGACTTCATCAAAGCGTGGCAGACGTATGCCATCGACCCCTCTGGGACACACACGGTACTATCCTACCAGTACCGCGCCTCCTACGGACTCCTGTACAACGCCTACCCGGACCTCCTCCTAAACCTATCCATCGTACCCCCGCACATCCTGGCCATGCAATCCGCCTTCTACCCGACGATCTCGCAGATCTTCGGCGTGCCCCTGGACAGCCGCCACGAGTACACTAAGAGCGACTGGGAGATGTGGGCTGCGGCGACGTGTGCGCCGGGCACGCGCAGCCTCTTCGTCACGTCGTTGGCGGCCTGGCTCAACGCGACGGAGACGGGATTGCCGTTTTCGGATCTGTATGATACGACGGATGGAGAGGCGCCGCAGAATCCGAATATTGAGTTTATGGCAAGGCCGGTGGTGGGCGGCCATTTTAGCTTGTTGGCTTTGCGGGCCGGTAAGGGGCCGGTGGGCTCGTGAGGGGGAGGGCGGGGAGGAGATAGGGGAAACGAGGTATGCGTAGGTAATGATTATGACGGTGGGAAGGGCATTTAATAAGTATTGTAATCAGCCATCAAGTTATGATAATGACACCTGATATGATCTGAGTTCTTTGGTTTGTCAGAGTATCTTCTATTCCTCTGATTTAACCCTTATACCCAATTTGAACCGTCGAACACCGCCCATCCGCATAATGCCAGGATATTCCTACAAGTGCTCCAAAAAGGCCCCTCCCTCATCTCAGAGCCATTGCACCCCTCACATCTCGACCACCCTCCCAACTAAGCCTTCTTCTTCTCCCCCTTCTTCTCCTCCTTCTTCTTCAACGCCGGTAGACTAAACACCTTACTCAAACCCCCCTTCATGCGTTTCCAGCGACCGAACTCGACCTGCGGCGTCCATGTCAAGACGCCCACCCACGGCTGCACATTATAATGCACGTTCAGCTGCACATCATCTGTTTCCGCCAGCTTTCCCGTCGGCGCCGTGATCTGATATTTCGGTTTCTGGTTCTTGAGTTCGAGCTTGCCTCTATATAAATCTCTCTATTAGCCATCTATTCATCCCCCCCACCTCTCCACCCCATACATATCCCAAACATGAGAGAAAGAGAGAAAGGAGCCAACGTACCGATTCGGATCAATCGCCTTCCCCTTCGCCGAAGCAACCAACTTTCTCATCGCCGCCAGCCCAATATTCTGCAAGTGGTCCGCGGACGGACTCGTAATGATCGTGTCCCAAATAACCGCCTCGTTCGTCCGGACCGACTTATTCGCCGCGTCTTTATCCGGCCACGACGCTGTCACGTACACGAATACCTGTTTTGTGTTCCAGGTAAAGAGGGATGAGAGGTCGGCTGATAAAGAGAAGCGGATTGAGGCGTATTCTTCTCTTTTCGGGGAGTAGTAGTGAGGACGGCCTTTGACTCTGGATGCGTGTTAGACGGGGGAAGGGATGGATGGGAGATGGGGGGGAATTGGGACCTACACTTGCACATCTTTGACGGTTATGGATGCGCTGGGTGTTCGAGGAAAGAGAAAATCGGTACTGGCGATTAGGGCTGCGACGATGAAGCAGACGGTGGTGAAGAAGCCGAATACATTTTGGGTGCGGGTGACGGTTGAGTGCATCTTGGCTTCGGGGGCCGTTCCCGGGATGGTGGATTTGGGATGGGTGAGGCAGATGGGGTTATGACATGAGACCGGGAGGATTGAGCGGGTGTCGACTCTGAAATGTTGATTTCAAGACGTCGTGTCTTGTATCCTTATATCTAGACTCGGGACTGATTTTAACACGTCTCTAGTCGCGCGCTGAGCCTCTTCCCAGGGTTGCGCCGTTCCGGGCTTAGCGTATTGTGGGGTAGAGGCTAAACTGTGGCTGGAGATATGTTCATCCTCTTTTCTTTTCTCTTCTCTCTTCCAGATTTCTATATCTTTACGCATTTTACTGGAGCGTTAGTTTTCAAGTTTTCAGACAGTTCAACTCAAGTTCAATTCCAGTTTCAATTTCAACTCAACTCCAATAACCATGTCCCTATTGTAGAATCCGTGCTCGTAACACCGAAGAAGCAAGAAATTCCCGACCATCCGCAAACGACACCCGTTCTCGAACCTTGTCCTTTTGCTGGCAGAGAAAGTAGAGAAAACGGAGGGACTTGAAATTGTACCCTTCCATTCATAGCACACTACCGCTGGCCAAAGTTGAACATTGCTATCCGCACAGTTCTCCCAGCATCTTCGCAGCCTCTCACTCCAAGCCCATACCCAGCCGACCATCGCCCATGGCCAAGAGATTCATGATATTTAACAGGCTCTCTCTGACCTAAATATGCTGGGCGACTGTTCTATACCTGCGACCACCGCATTGTACGCGCCGACTGTAAATACACGGGGCTCTGAATTTAAAGAAGCGCCCTCGGGCAGCCATGTCACGGCGTTGGCAGTATGTATACTCGATGTAGAAGGCGTGCAGGTACCCGGGGAGGAAACTTTTTGATTGTCAGTGACCCCTTATATTATGCGTTGATATTGAAGGAACAGCGGACAACATTCGGATCATGGAGTGAACAAGGGAAGGACAATCCCCGTAAGAGGAAGAAACAACAGGAGAAACATACCCGAGAAGTAGCAATAAGAGATTAATCACCACGTCGGCGCCACACCCTGCGACAAGGAAGACACCAAAGGGTGGGACTGGAGTTCATTAGCTTTTTTTCGGACTAAGAATCAAAGAAATAGCGGCGTACTCACTGATGAGGGTGGCGATAATCAACAGAATTCCAGAGCAGGCATCCAAACCGTCTCTCGGACCCCCTGCTAGGGTTTCTTCGCAGCAGCTGCAGTTTAGAGCTACAGTTTCTGCTGTGTGTTGAAGATGTTCATGGTGTTGATGTTCCACCTGGAGGGTATGAGTTGGAGGACAGGAGGGTTGTTCGGTCTGCGGCTTCATGTCGGCCTGCTGTTCTATGTCAAGGGCCGACATGGTGCAAGCCTTGCTACTGTATAATGGAAGTTATATTTTTTTTTTGAGAGGTGACGTAGAATGGTGGGGGTTGTATTGTGTGTAGTAATGCTTCTTCGGTTGAGATCATGAAGGTGTACGAGGGATTCGACAAAGGACGGGGTTATAAGTGTTGGCTTCAGAGAAGGTGAAACAGAAAAGGAACAAGAACAAAAGTAACACAGAAGAGAAGACTGCTAAGCATCTTTTTTTTGCGCTTGCAGTTGTTATGAACCATAATACCATCCGCTCAGAAGTCGCGATGGAACGGGATTACAATAGGAAGCTCTCACCCCTCCCAGGAGAAGCCGCTGTTTGCATGGTCTTTCGAGAGTTCTCATTATTCTGTAAACAATAAACTCTTTCAAGACAAGCACCTCCGCTCCTGCCGCAATGTCCTTGCCCGTCTGCTTGCATACCTAAGGTAACCACGATGGATCTGTGGTATACAATCGCATGACACTACAGCGATCTAAGTTCAATGTGAGTGAAGCTTATCAACTGTTGCTCAGTCTCAAACCATGTCTAAGCAGTTCAAACAATGCAGGCCAGGGTACTCATCGAGTTCGAATTCAACATATTCAACACCTACTCCGTTCTCCGTACTCCTTTCAGCCCCTATTCGCTAGCGAGTCTCGCCCTTGAGTTCAGCCAGGGGTTCGAAATCAACACGTCATAATCCTCGAGGCAGGTTCGTAATACCCTATAGCTCTATACTGGTCCAATGCAGAACTGTAAACGTCAAGTTCAATAAAACATTGGGTGGATCTTCCCGCTGGCCCGGTCGAGCAACCTTGCTGGGAGAAGTTCCTCATATCTGCGAACAAATCAGTAGAGTCTAGGAGAGATATTCCAACCATTGAGGGAAACTTACACATGCTTGACCCACTCAGCAACAACTTTTCTGGTAACAGCCGGGTCAATGATTTCTTCGATGCCGAATGCGTTTGCAGTCCGCACAGGATTCATAAGTCTCGTGTACTCCTCTTCCAGTTCTTTATACCGCTCTGCTCGTTTATCGGGCTCTAAAGCCCTGAGCTCCGCGGCATGACCAACTTCAATTCCGCCGTCCAGGGGCAAGCTTCCCCATTCTCCACTAGGCCAAGCAACCCTCATACGGGGATTTCGACAATCCAGCATGATGCCCCCTGCTACGCCGTATACCCTCCGAGTGACCACGCTAAATACAGGCATTGTAGTAGAAAAATAGGCAGTGGCTAGAGCAACGCCGTGTCTCATCGTTGCTGTTCGTTCGGCGACCGTTCCAACGGCATAGCCTGGTATGTCGACAAATTGAACCAGGGGAATGTTAAAGATATCACAGAATTTTAGGTGCCGGGTGATCTTTTGACTTCCAGCAGCATCCAACGCCCCGGCGTTGACCTCGCAGTTTAATGATACTATGCCAATAGGTCGACCAGCTAGTCTTGCCAGACCAACGATGGCTGTCGTCCCCCAAAGCGCTCCGATCTCAAACCAGCTACCAATATCGACCACTGTTGTAATGATCTTCCTAGGATCATACATTCGTGCCTTTCTTCTGGGTATGATTGTTCGAAGCTCTTCACACCGTCGATCGGCTGGATCCTCGGATGTTCTGACGGGAGGTAAAGAACCTCCCCAGTTTGGAAGATAACTTAGAACTGTGCGTAATTGCTCGAAGCACTCTTGCTCATTGGCGGCCAGATTATCGATAGTACCATTCGTGCAATGCATACTTGGCCCACCCAGGTCTGTAAGACTTAGACCTTCCTCAAATGTTGCACCTATTGACAATAACTCAGTAATTGATTGCTTGAGAGATCAGATCGGCAACTAACCAGCAACCACTTTAGGCCCCGCATTGAACAAGGACCCCACATCCGCAGCCATGACCGAGAAGTGGCAAGCAACCACCCTTGCAGCACCCAGCCCAATGGCAGGTCCAAGGACTGCCCCCAAATTCGGGATCCCCATATTCAACTGCTGAACCAGAAACTCAAACGATGGCATAGGAGGGATATAAGAATACCCCGCCGTCTTTATCGTAGTGACGCTGCCCCCTCCTGAGCTACCGTCCACGAGCTTCACAATCGGTAACTTGAGCGCAATCGCCAGTTTCTCCATATAGATAGTCTTCTCCATCAACGCCCCATCCGCATGACCCGCTCGAATCGAGAAATCATCCGCGGTAAAGACGACCTTGCGCCCCCGCAACATGCCAAAACCCTGTACATTATTGGACGGGACATAGGAAATAGGTTCTTCTTTCGTGCCAGACAGTTTCCTCCATTTTACGGTCCCGGAGACAGATCCAACCTCGTAGAAACTCCCTTCGTCTAGAAGCTGCAGGACTCGTTCTCGCACCCAGAGCTTGCCGGCTTGTTTTTGTCGCACGTAGCCTCTGTTCTTAGCATCGGGCGTGTTGGCGATGGTTCGGAGGGTGTCGAGCTGGCTCAGGATGTCGGAATAGTCTGCTGGAGGCTCGTCTTTGGTTTTGGCTGCGCGCCGTTTCTTGGGCGCAGCTACATGTCCAGCTAGCTGAGAGAGTCGTTGGGAGGGATTGATGAGAGGGGAGGGAGATTTCGTGTCATTGTCGTCAGACATTATGAACTATGTAGCCAGACGAGAGGAGATTCAAGGCAATTGCGTAATTCTAAATATTCAACGCATTTTGAAAAGAGGTCAAACGAATGGTAATAACTTGAGGTGACGTTGAAGATGCCTCGGTATCTACCAGTTACCCCACGTTTTCTTTGGCCCGGGGGAGGTGGGGCGCGGGGTCGGCTCCTCGATTCGACTGACGCCGTGATTCATGTTCTTCAATCACTATTGTTTCTATGGAGTTAGATATCTCTGCAATCTATATTGATGTAAAGACCTGTGTTTTATAGATATACTTTTCATCGGTGCACTCTCGCCTTCATTATGACGTATCCATCACCACGGCCGATAAGGCGGCTTCTTGTTGCCAACAGGTGCTCTACTACCAATATCATATATAGAATCCTACTAACCCATCCACAGAGGAGAAATTGCAACAAGAATAATATCCACAGCTAGAGAGCTAGAGATAGAAACCTATTCCATATACACCACCGACGACAAATCTCATACCCTCAACGCGACCCACGCAATCGAAGTGAGATCCCCAGCTTCCTATCTGGACATCTCAGAGCTTGTACTACTCGTCCAGAAACACCACATTGATGCTGTTCATCCTGGTTATGGGTTTCTTTCTGAATCACCTGAATTCGCTCGACGGATGTGGGAAGAAGCTGGGGCTTTGGTTATCGGTCCTGGACCTGAGACGCTGGCGAGGACGGGGGACAAATTGCAAGCAAGATTACTGGCTGAAGAATGCCACGTCCCTGTCTTACCCGCACTACCAAATCCAACCAGCGAAGTTGCGGACCTGAAAGCATTCGCATCCTCAATTGGGTATCCGATCGTTATTAAGGCTGTCGATGGGGGCGGAGGTCGCGGTATCAGGATTGTAAGAAAGGAAGAGGAGCTGGCTTCCTTGGCGAGGAGAGCTTTACAGGAGAGTCCGAGTGGGAAGGCATTCGCAGAGAAGGCGGCTGTAGATGGCTACAGACATGTTGAAGTTCAGATTATTGGCGATGGGAGGGGAAACGTGAGGCATCTTTGGGAGAGAGAATGTAGTATCCAAAGACGGTTTCAAAAGGTTGTTGAATTTGCTCCAAGTTCAATACCAGCTCGGAAGCTTGTTGCAGATGTGATCAATGCAGCCTTGAGAATGGCAAGAAAGGTACCTACGACCCCCCCTTAATATGCTTCAGGCGGAGTGTTGAGTGAAATAGGTCAACTACTCTTCCTTGGGAACCTTCGAGTTCCTAGTCCGGCCATCACCGCCAGAATTCTACTTCCTCGAAGTAAATCCCCGTCTTCAAGTAGAGCACACTATTACCGAGTCCGTGGCTATGGGAATCGACCTCGTCAAAATGCAACTCCTCCTAGCCCAAGGACGCCCTTTCTCCTCTCTCTCAATTTCGAATTTGCCCGAAGATCCTGAAAACCCTCCACCAATACACTCTCTCCAGCTCCGAGTCACTGCTGAAGACGTCTCAAACGATTGGTCATTGAGCGTTGGTAAAATAAACTCCTTTCGTTTTCCAGCTGGGAACGGCATCCGAGTAGATACCCACCTTCTCCCATCGCAAGCCGCAGTCATCGGAACGGACTTCGACAGCCTAATCGCCAAAATTATAATCACCGCTCCGAATTGGGAAGACGTAGTGAGGAAGGCAAAGCGAGCATTAGCTGATACATACATCGACGGTATCAAAACCAACCTGGATGTTCTCCGAGGCATCATAGCCAGCGATGCATTTGCAAACCAAGTCTGCGATACGCAATGGCTAGAGACCCAACTGCCTCACCTTCTCGAATCCGGAAAACAGATCACCAGTGCCCTAACCCGCAACTCTCAAAGCCTAGGTCCTCCTTCTCCTCCCCCAAACAGCATCGCAGCTTCTTCAAACGTTCTTTTCCGGAAAGGCGACGCGTGGGCTATATCCCTAACTCCTGAAACCACGCAAAGTTCCGCAATTGGGGAGTCGATACCTAGTCATCTGCAAGTGACTCGGGTCCTGCGCAACGATTTCCCAACTTCTCTCACTGCGCAGATTACATATACCACGCCTGCTACATCCCCAACTTCTTATCTGCTGACGCTCGCGTCGACGACTGCCTCCTTCGGGTCCATCTCTAGCGCGGCGACGCACCGACGCGGCGATCCGGCGAATCGGAATCATGTTATTATCCCTTTTGCGGGGAAGCTGATAGAGGTGTTAGTAGAAGAGGGAGACGAGGTGCGGACAGGCGATGTGGTAGCTGTTGTAAGACAGATGAAGATGGAGTTGGAGATTAGAGCATCTCGTGGGGGTAAGGTTATCTGGGTGTTTAAGGGCGAGGAGGGGGATGATGTCGGAGATGGGGTTTTGCTCGCTGAGCTGGATGATGCTAGCGCGTCAAAGCTGTAAAGGGTACTATGAGGGAATGGGGAGGTAGAATATCCCATCCTCTATAACTATACTTGTTGCATACCTAGGTAAGGTAAGAATGCCGAAGAAGGCCTACCTACCTAGGTAGGTAGTTTTGTCAGGGGCAAATATCACGTGAAATCAAATGAGATCTCGCACGTGACAGCAGTCTTGATTGAGTGCACTTGTATCAGTACCTAGGACTGTAATTGAACTAGGCGCACTGGAAAAGTGTTTCTCATACAGTAAGATTTCTAGCTCGGGGATGGTGTTTGGCTTTTGGTATATACCTCTTCGCCACAGCCGCAGGACCTTGCCGTGCTTCAGCGAGCGGTTGAATTGATACCGGGAATTTGCTTCAAGCGAACGGCGACGAGGGAAGAAGATAGCTATTCACACTTGTGATTATAATGTAATTATAGTAATAATTACAATACTGGGCCTTTTGTTACAGGAATGGATACACAGTTGCGCGGCTAGCGCGTCAATCCGCAATCCTGCCAACGTTCGATTGCAGTCTCCTGAATCCGGACACGGGTGTATGGATATCTACCATATTTTATATTTTCATATTAAGCGGCGTTTTGCAAACACGCAGACGCGTGTTGCCGCACAATGGCTGATGGATTCCGCGCCAAGGAAATTGGATTGCCGACCTCCTCAAAGGAGACTCGTGGAAACTGGTGATGTCGGAAGAATACTTGCGCCCCCTCTGAGTGGGCTCGGTAACAGGGTGAGAGGGCGTTGATCGTTGCCCAGTCCAGCCTCTGAAACACAGCGGATATGGTTTAAAGCGCAGTACGAATCGGCAAGGTTGAGAGCCCTGCCTCCGTCATCATCGTCATGTCATGATGCAGCCTGTTGTAGGAAAGGAGGTGGCGGATAAACCCCTAGCAGCCGCCTCATATCTATATAGGTACCTGGCATCTTCAGGAGAAGAGGAGAACAGTTGGTTCTTCAGGATAATCAGCCCCAGGAGACGGTCTTTATATGCAACGGGGAGCGTGGTACACAGCACAAAAGTGGTAAAAAGGGGCAGCGTATGACAGAGGGTTGTCAACTTGATTCAGCCACGGCCTTGCTGTCGGTTACGCCTGCGCATGGAGCCGTACCGGTTAGATGTGGTTGTTGATAAAGAGTCGGAAAGGTGCCATGTCTGCGGGATCCCAGACACAAAGAAGATGAGCACCAGAAAAGGGGATTCGGAATGTGTGGGACGGGGCGTCGACGGGCAGAACTCGTGGCTCTCACGCCTCGCGCACATATTATTGCTGGGACAGACGGACAAGTAGTTACGACAGCGCGGCAGCAGACAGGGGAATCGCAGTGGACTATCTTCCAAGAGTCGTGAACGATCAATCGCGGCGCGAGCTCGTGGATGGGTTCAAAGCTATTTGTGGGTAAGAGGCAGCTTGTACGTAAGCTGCTAGGACGAAAAGTATTAAGAAACAGCAGCGAACAAGATAGGAGGAGGTTCTTACAGAGCAAGTCATAATAAGCAAGTTGTTTGTTCCGCTCTGTAGCTCCTCGTTGGCCGTACCGGTTGAGGCTCGAGAGGTGGCTTCCAATTGCTTCCAATGGCTCTCTTCTGTCGCTGTTGATAATATTCCGCTCGGACAAGATCCCATCTTCTTCACCTGCTCCGTAGATCCTAGTGGGCGAAGGCGAAGGCATAGAGTGGACCCCTACCGTGTGCTAGAGACACTGCTATTCCGTAGTTGCTGACGACTGGTTGACAACATAATGATGGCTGTGTCCTGTCCTGTTTTGTATAACTCCTCGACGCAGGAGAACAGACGTCCGCGTTGCCAGAGGAATTCCCGGACCAGCAATACTCGCTCGATATATACTGTAAATACGTAAATGTGCCTGGTTTGCCGTCCCTGATTAAATGCGCGTTTCCTCCGTTTATAAACTTATACCCTTATTTACTATTAAGCACTTAAAAGTACCCGAACGCGCTAAACTTTTCTCATCCTTGACAGGAGATCCCAAATTGCTTCCAACCTGTCTTTGCTCCACCGTCTCTCCTTTTTCTTCAACCGTTCCCGTCACGACGACCGCGAAGGAGGGTTTTGAATTGCTTCATTCATCAGAGCCAGTTCTTCTCAACTGTGTTCTGCCATTCCCTCCTTCTCATTCGTTGCCTCTCCCCTCCTCTTCCGATCTGGGAGCTCTCGGCATCCTCCACGACACCCTCACCTCAACCTCAATAGACCGCGCGTTACACTCGCATCTTCCTGCAAGATGTCTTCTACCGGCCAGAGCCCACAGAGCAACCTTGATCGATATGTGGTTATACACGTCGCCACTACCTGTGACGAGCACGGGGTCTACGTTACCAAGGACTCCGCAGAGGTGATAGAGCTCGGATGGATCCTGCTCGATGCAAAGACCTGCGATGAGGTGAGCTCTCCTATCTGTGCCAGCTTCCCCTCTCTAGAGCCTGCTGCTAACCTGCCACCCCCAGCTTCACCGTGAAAGTGTCCTCGTCAAGCCGATCAACACCCCCATTACACCTCTGTGCAGTGAGTACTCGAACGGCACAATATCCCCCAATATCATACAAGCTTACAAGCTCCTTCCCATACGCCCCTTTAGCATTGGCCGGGGACATCTGCTGATATTGTTCTGCTACAGCGAGCTTGACCACTCTCACCTGGGAGCATGTTCGGAATGCAGGAACCTTCCGCGATGCTATCAACCGGTTCGACGCCTTTGCATCCGAGCATCTGACCTCTCAAAATCTTGACTTCTCCTTCGTCACTCTCGATTCCTGGGATCTTCGTGTCCAGCTTCCCCGCGAGGCTCGTGACAAGGCTGTGGTCTTGCCTCCCTATCTCCAACACTCTCGAACCTTTGACCTTCGAACCGAATACCAACGCTGGCAACAACACCACCCGGAATCCCTGCCTTTCGGCCCCTCAATGTTGTCAAACATCTGTGCAGCGCTCGAGGTTGAGCCTGTTCAGGCGAGTGCCCCGATCAAGCACAACTTGCCATTCCACCTGCAAGCTCTGGCACCGGCTTCTCCTCGTCGCGCCATGGAGGAAGCCGTTACACTTGCGAGAGTTCTAAGAGGCTTGATCCGCAAGTCCCAGCCTCCTTCTGAACACCCTGATGTGCTTACGAGACCTATGGACGCTCGTGCTGATGTTCGAGCTTTCTTGTCTGAACGTAGCAAGGTGCTCCACATGGCAGGTCTTCCTCATGACACTACCCAATCTGAACTTGAGAGCTGGTTCACCCAGTTCGGCGGACGCCCTATTGCCTTTTGGACCCTCCGTACCCCAGATCAGCATAAGCCTACTGGCTCCGGCTTTGCCGTTTTCTCGTCGCATGAAGAGGTCAGCCCATCATCTCTCACCCAACTCTATTTCTATTGCCGGAATTGCAATTCCTATGTAATCGTGGTGTCAGCGCCCCACGAATATATTCTCCTTCTCTATGATAAGCTTCTCCAACTATCCCACCATAACCTTATCAAATTCTTTCGTTTTCGAGGTCATTGTCTAACACCACACCAGGCCGCTGAGAGTTTGTGCATGAACGGACGTGCCCTTAATGAGAAGGCCATTGAGGTCTCCCCATCGTCCAGCCGCGTTCTTGACCGCGCTGCGGAGATACTAACCCCCTTTCCGCCTAGTAAGAACCGACCTCGTCCCGGAGACTGGACTTGCCCTTCATGTGGCTTTTCTAACTTCCAGCGACGAACTGCCTGCTTCCGTTGTTCATTCCCCGCTATGAGTGCCGGCCCCGGTGGAGATGCGATGGGTGGATACGGTGGAGCATACGGATACGGTCCGCCAGCAATGATGCCTCCACCACAACACATGGGCCATCACGGTGGTCTTGGTAGCCACGGTGGCGGAAGGATGGGCGGAAGTGGTGGTGTTGTTCCGTTCCGTGCCGGTGACTGGAAGTGCGGCTCAGAAGGCTGCGGATACCACAACTTTGCCAAGAATGTCAGCTGTCTTCGTTGTGGCGCGAGTCGAGCTGGTGCAGCTGTTGTGGCTGATTCTGGTTATCCTTCTCCAATGGATGCCCCTTCAAGCTACGGCGTCGGCCCAGGGTCGATGGCTGGTACTCCTGGCCCAGGACCCTTTGCTTCTGCTGCTGGAGCTTTCGGGTCCTCTGGTGGCTATGGTGGACAACACTTTGGAGGGCCTCCAAGCACCTACGCTCTCCCGTCTGGTCTCGGCGCTTCGACCGGGCCCTACCCCGGGACCTTGAACACCCACTTCGGCCCATCTAGCGGTGCGCACTCAGCCGGTCCTTTTGATAGCCGTGCTGCAGAAGTCGCATTCCAATCGGCCAGCAACGGCCCAGCTTCAGCCGGCCCATCAAACAACTTTTATTCCAACCAAGGAGAGAGTGATCCCTTCGCATTCCTCTCTTCCGGCATTGGGAACTTGTCAATGAGCAGCGGAGACGCTCGCCAGAACGGTGGATCAGCGCAGCTCAATGCCCCCAGCAAGTCTCCCGCCTAAGCGTTTAATCCGCTATTTGGTGCCCATTCCCCTTTTATAGTCTATGCATGCGTCTCGACTCTTCTTCACATGCTTCGCTATTTTTCAGGACGGCTCTGGGGTTTGAATGAAAGGTAGATTGCATTTGTTTGTAGGAGCCTGGTGGACTTGTTACAGCGGACTAAAAGGCGATCTGCACATTGATTTGGGATATGCTAGGTGGCAGGTTGTGTGGGCGGTATACAGACAAAAAATTGGAGGAAAGGGGAAAAGAAATTGCTGATCACGACGACAAAATTTGGACACTGTATGGAGGGCGGAGTTCTTTTAATGCGGATGGTTCAGGCTATACCACGGGCAACGGAAAGTGATCGATCATTGCTTGGCTTGGCTTGGTGCATAGCGAGGGAGTGAATACAGGAAGGAGGACGGCTCCTATTCGATTTCCACATGGCCTTGTTCTTGTTGTCTGCAAGTGTGCTGGTTCTGCGTCTGGGCTTCGATTTCGACGTCTTTATCCTGGATCCAATTTATTCTCGCACATACCTTCCGTCTCTTCTTCAGTCATGCGTGGTCCGCACCGTTGTGACTCGAGAATCAAAAGCGTGGCATGGCATCTGACGGGCGATCTATGGACAGAAGGACTGGGACCAGGCGCCTTTTGCGTGCAGCCGATACTCAGTTCCTTTCCGTCCTTTGTATTTTGAAAATTTTCTCTTATTTTTCCTTGTGTCATAATTCTCATTCTCATTCATGTGATCTTCCTTGAGCGATGGGCCGATAATTCCAAAAAGGGGCATACGTATGGATCGGGGTTCTGGATGGACGTCTGGAGGCTGGTTTGCGGAGCGGGAGTGGAGGTGTTTGGTTGGTTGGTGATGGGGTGGGGGTCGAAAAGCCGGGCTGGGATGGGTGGATCATGCTTCATTTGTCTTCTTTCTTCTTTCGTGTAGTTGATTCTCCTTGTTTTTCTATTTCTCATCTTTTCCCAATTTCCGTTCTTCTCCTTTTTTTAAACCCCTGTTTTTGCCCCCTCTTCCTTTCTTTGGCGGATAGCTTGACGTGATGAGGCAATGAGGTGTTGGGGGAGCTTGGATTGCTTGAGGGAGGGAAGGCAGGCAGGCAAGAATGGCAATTGCAGTAGATAGATGGCAGTGGGTTGCGCACGTAGCTCACGAATATATAGTGTTAAATTCTGAGATCACGACGACCATGTGCTCTTTAATTGTGATCATACGTGACTTGAAGATGGAGGCTCTAGTATTTCGAGGATGTGCGCCCTCCAAGGCAGGAACACAACAGGTTGCCGCGAACCAACCTACCTACCTATCTTACCTTTCTTTAGTGATCCAGACATTAAGTACATCATACAATTCACAATCAGATCCTCACGGTAATAGCACTAAGAGTGACGGGATGATACCATGTTAAAAAAACACTTGATTGCACAAGCAGGTGAGATAGATAGATAGCCCACATTCAGCGAGCCATCAGATTCCCCATTTCATTTCTTCTTGCCTTAAAAAAAACGCCGGAACCTCAACGCATGGATGCACGTAAACTCCGTTTTATAGCTGGCCACATACACACAAGGATTCCCATCCCTTCCTCCCATCCTTGCTTCTTCATCTTTCTCTCTCGTTTTCTGCCCCTCCGCGGGTATTACAAGTATCTGTCTGGTTGGCAAAAGCAAAAACCTAGTAGCTTGGCTGAGGGCGCGAGAGGCTTATCGCTCAAGCTCATCCATGGGGATGTCGTCTGTGTCTTTGCCTACGATGGACTCGGCGACTTTCCAGATCTGGATCAGGTTGTCTTCGGCGGCGCTGCAGACGACCCAGGGTTCGGTCTGGTTCCAGCTGAAATCGGCGAGGTGGTTGGTGTGGCCGCCGTGCATGAAGAGCCTGTTTAGTGTCAGCTTGTTGAGAGTACTATATGATGGATATTTACGAGTTGACTTACAGCTCGGGAGGACCATCCTCTTGATCGTCTGGGAGTTGCTCCTCTCCGACTCGGCTCAGGTCCCAGAAGATCACTCTGCGATCGTAGCTACCACTACCGAGAATGGCCTCTTCGAAGGGGTGCCAGGCCAGCGATGTAACTGCGTCTTGGTGGCCTTCGAGGGTGTGAAGCCTGTCGGTCAGGTTCCTCAGATCCCAGAGACCAATGGTCTTGTCGGCTGATGCTGTTGCCAAGACAAATTCAGAGGCGGGATTGAAGGCTATCGCATTGATAGCATCAGTGTGGCCGTGGCCTTGAACTGCCGATTTGTTGTTCTCTGGCTGTCTGACATCCAGGATCTGGAGAGTCAGATCATCGGAGACGGTTCCAATCAAGGATTTATGCAATGGGTGGTATTGAACGTCATTGACGATAGAGGTGTGGTGGGTATATACGCGTGAAGCCTTGACGTGATTGTTGTTCGTCTGGATCGTTTTGAGGTCCCTGGAAAAATGAGCCAATTGTAGAGGAAAAGGGGTTTCTAACTTACCATAAGCGAACAGTCTTGTCTTCGCTGCCAGTCGCAAGCTTTCCAGCTTCATGTGGACTCCACCCCAAACCAAAACCCTCCTTCTTGTGACCTATAAGTTCAGCTTGTGGAGACACAACACCTTTTGGAACGCTACTATGCTTTGTGCGATCGAAGACCAGTACTCGTCCATCAACGCACATTGTGGCTATGATGTTAGGATTTTGCGGCTGGTATCTCGCCTTGTTGACCTCCCCGGGATGATCTATCTTCTGTTCGATGTTCATCTTGATCGCAACCTGATCGCCAGATGACGAGTTTCCGTAGCCACCAATTTCTCCGCGCTCTTCATCATAATCGCGGGGGTTAGGGGTGACGGTCTTTGGAATCTCGACGTTGGCGATTTGCAGGTAGTTCTGTGCACCGTTCGCAGTGTGGGTGCCAATAAGGAGCCGGTGAATGGTGTAATTCTTTCCAGGAGGTCTGGATTGCGGATCAGCTATGCTCTCGTAGAATTTGTATGTTCTGGATCAACGCACTCTTTGCGATCAGGAAACCATTGGGTTGTCAACGTAGGCCATTCGAGCGCAGTACTTTGCCTTGTTAGCTGGACTTTACGCTCCTTGATGATTAGTCTGCTCACCTCAGGATCATATCGTAGAGGAAGGGGCTGTTCTTCTTCCACGTCTTGTATTCTGACATTGGAGGATTAGCTTAGACCTGGCCTGTTTGCCGAGATAAATGCAAATGTATGTACCTTCATTGACGATCTTCTGCTCCGTATCCTCATCTTCGGTGTCTGGACGGTTCACTGTAAGCTTATCAGCCTCTGCGCCCTCCCGTTTCCTTAAAGAAATAGCCAGTGCAGCTTGCGCCCCGCGGAACTCTCCACTGTACTATTCAGGAGCTACGAAAGCACTCACCGTCCATGTCGACGTCTGTAGAGTCCGGCGCCATGTTGGTAACAGAGGATAGTCACGTTGGCAAATAAGCTGATGGATTTCCCCAACTAACCCAAGGAATTGGGGTGTGAGAAGGGACGGTTGATCGAAGTGGTGTTCGTGGTGTTCAAGAAAAGCCATCCTCCTCAAAGACGCGCCGAAAGCGAGTCGCGTAGAGTGCTGCTCGGCTGTCTTATGTAATAGCGGGAGGCGGCCGCTAGCGGGTTCAGCACATCTGCCTTGCCTCACGCCTCGCTGGCTTCGAACCTTCGAACAACCACACAAATTGACCACGACGGCGGCGAGTTGAGGAAGAAGCAGGTCATTCCTTTGCACGAGAGACACGAGGCGATTGGAATACCTCTACTCTCTTTCTTTTGCGACGAGCGTTTTGCGGTACATATAGTAGCCGCGCGCCCTTCCCATACCACGATTTCGAGTACCACCATCGCCACATAGAACCACTCTTCCCTACACGCTCTCTGCGCCTTATTGCAACATGGGTGTTCCAAAGTTCTTCAGATGGATGAGCGAGAGGTATCCAGCGATCTCACAGTTGATCGCTGAGAATAGGATACCGGAGTTCGACTGTCTGTACCTAGACATGAATGGCATCATCCACAACTGCACACATAAGGACTCCGACGATACAACGTTTCGCATGACGGAGGAGCAGATGTTTATTTCAATATTTAATTACATTGAACATCTTTTCGGAAAGATCAAGCCCAAACAGCTATTCTTCATGGCTATTGATGGTGTTGCGCCGAGAGCCAAGATGAACCAGCAGCGAGCTCGAAGATTCCGAACTGCGCTTGACGTCGAAGTCGCCAGAGAAAAGGCGATTCGCGAGGGCAAGGAATTGCCAAAGGAAGAGGCATTCGATAGTAATTCTATCACCCCAGGTAGGCTGATTGTGAAGGGGAGATGAGCACGGCTGAGAAATTTAGGCACGGAGTTTATGCACAAGTTGACCTTACAGTTAAAATATTTCATCAACAAGAAGGTCTCGGAGGACAAAGATTGGCAAGGCTGCGAGATCGTGCTGTCGGGCCACGAAGTTCCCGGAGAAGGAGAACACAAGATCATGGAATACATTCGATTGGCGAAAGCGCAACCTGATTATGATCCCAATGTCCGGCATTGTCTCTACGGTCTCGATGCCGATCTGATCATGCTGGGGCTTCTGAGCCACGACCCGCATTTCTGTCTACTCCGAGAGGAGGTCACATTCGGGAGACAGAGCAAGACAAAATCGAAAGAGCTAGAGCATCAGAACTTCTATCTCATGCACCTATGCATTGTACGAGAATATTTGGAGCTGGAGTTTCAGGAACTAAAAGAGCCAGGCGCATTGGATTTTCCATTCGACCTGGAACGAGTCATTGACGATTTCATTCTTATGGCATTTTTTGTTGGAAACGATTTTCTTCCAAATCTTCCAAATCTGCATATAAACGAGGGAGCATTAGCATTGATGTTCAAGGTCTACAAGACCATTCTACCAAAGTGCGGCGGGTATATCAATGAGGGTGGCGTTATCAACCTGAAACGATTGGCTGTATTATTGGATGAACTCTCTCATGTTGAATATCGTTTCTTTGAGACAGAAAGTGCGGACCAGAGTTGGTTTAAGGGAAAGCAAATGGGGAAGGAGGACATCATGTCGAAGGGAAAGGTGAAGGGCAAGCTTGTCATGACCACTCCTCAGCGAGAAGTATGGAAGCAGGTGAAGAAGTTTGTCAATCAGAGGCCGGCCGAGCCACTTGATCTCCCTTCTTCTCTACCTGCTGCAGATCGGAAGTTCGTCCAGGACCTAGCGGATAGCCTGCACTTAGAATGGCGCACCATAGAGGACGATGATGGTGTGCGGCACATGCAGCTTACGGTCCCTGCTAAACTGAAGGGTGATGGCGAGGACGAAGAGGAAGATGAAGACGAAGAATCGCAACTTGCAATCCTCCGAGTTGTCAAGCAGTATGATAACGCTGAAGTCCTGGATGTTTCGAAAGAACAGGCGAAGGCAGAAATGGACCGCCAGTATGAGGTAAAATTCCGGGAGTGGAAGGACAAATATTACAAGGGGAAATTCGAATGGGGCCTCGATAACGATGCGGAACTCACCAAGCTTTGCGAAAACTACGTACAGGGCTTGCAATGGGTATTGTATTACTATTATAGGGGGGTTGTTTCATGGCCATGGTACTACCAGTACCATTATTCACCTATGATCTCTGGTTTGTTTACCTGAATCCTTTCGCTTCATGTTTGAGACTGACCGAGAGTATCTAGATGTCATCAAAGGACTTAAGGCGGACCTCAACTTCAAGCTTGGGCAGCCATTCCATCCATATGAACAACTTATGGGTGTGCTACCTGACCGAAGCAAGAAGATTGTGCCAGCTATTTACCATGACCTCATGACCAATCCGAACTCTCCTATTATCGACTTCTATCCGCGAGATTTTGAGCTCGATATGAACGGCAAAAAGATGGAATGGGAAGCCGTGGTCAAGATCCCATTCATTGATGAACGCCGCCTGTTGGCCGCTATGGCTCCAAGGAACAAACTTCTGACAGATGCTGAAAAGGCTCGGAATGAGTTTGGGGTGACGTTGAAATTTGTTTACGATCCAGACCTTGACTTTACGTACCCCTCATCACTTGTGGGTATCTTCCCCGATATCCCCCATTGTCACTGTGTCGAAAATATCTTCGATCTGCCGACTATCGAAGGATTAGATTACCATGTTGGACTCATGGAGGGAGTCAAGCTTGGCGCATCAGCCCTTGCTGGCTTTCCAAGCTTGGCTACTCTCCCCTACAATGCAGCACTCGGCTTTCACGGTGTCAATGTCTTCCAGCAGGACAGCCGGAATGAGAGTATGGTTGTCACTCTAGAAGATACCGAGTCTCGAACCAACGTCAAAACCGCGACTACGAAGTTAGGTCAGCGAGTCTTCGTTGGATATCCTTTTCTGCAGGAAGGAAAGGTGGTGAAGGTCTCAGATGAGCTCTTTGATTATTTCCCACCTGTGGAAGGAACATCCCACGTCATTCCAAAACCCCACGGACCGCGAGAGATTGATGCCTGGCGCAAGAAGGCCGAGAGCATTGAGCACAACTACAGTAAGCGTCTCGGAATTGAAGGCCGAGAGCATTGAGCACAACTACAGTAAGCGTCTCGGTATCATTATTGGCGGGGTCGAATCGATCACACATGTCGAACTGTTGAAGGGACTGAGGAAGACCGACGATGGTGCCACCATCAAGGAGTATGCAGTCATTCCTGGAATGGAACATGACTTTGCTTCTCAAGTCATTGTCGATCAAGTAATCAGTGAGGACCAACGGTTCTTGGAGAAGGCTGCTGTACCTATCGAGGAAGAATTCCCTCCTGGGTGTCGCGCTTTCTTCCTTGGAGAATTTAACTATGGAAGACCTCTGGAGGTCGTCGGCCATAAGGAAAACCGTGCAGAGATTTGGTTGTCCACTATTAAGGGAAAGGAAGCCGAGTTTGGTCGGGACATTGTCCAGACGTCTCACAGCACCTCCCAATACACTCCCTCGTTTGCTGTGGCGAAGATGCTGGGCCTCCACCCATTGGTCCTTAGCAAGATCACTTCTTCTTTCTCCGTCTCAGCTATGGGACTGCCTCGGCTCAACTTGGGACTGAATCTCAAATTTGAATCGAAAAAACTCAAAGTTCTAGGCTACTCACGTCGTTCCGACAAAGGGTGGGAATTCAGCAACAAAGCCATCGAACTACTTAGCACATACATGACCAAGTTCCCAGAGTTCATCGCCGGCATTCAGCGCAAACCTCAAGGGAACGAGTACGATGAAACTGATTTCTATCCGAAAGAGATAGCCAGCGCAAAGATCAAGGAGATTGCAGCATGGCTGAAGTCTATTGAGGCCAAGAACTTCGAGAGGGTTCCATTAGATGCAGACCAACTCGATTCGGATATTGTAATGGCTATCGAGAAGGCGGCGGATAATGCATTGGCTACTGGTCCCGCTCCCGAATTCAAGAAATTGAAAGGAGTTCCCAGGAACGCCCTTATGAAGCCATCAGATGCTGAGCACAGACTTGGTAATCAACGCTTCCAACTTGGTGATCGCGTCGTCTATGTGCAAGACTCCGGTCGTGTCCCTATCGCTACACGAGGCACGGTTGTTGGTATCAGCCGCACCCCTCGAACTACTCTCTTGGATGTCGTTTTCGATGTCACATTTATGAGCGGTACGACTTTGGGCGACAGGTGTACACCGTTCAGAGGCTCGACTGTTCCCATTGCGAGCGTCTTGAATTTGACGAACAAGCAGGTCATCGCCGGCTCCAAAGCAGCATCTGAGAAACGCCCGGCTCCTGTCTCAACGCCATTAACGGTCAACGGACGTGGAGCCTACGGCACACCCCTCGGCCCAGGTGGTAGAGGGCAATTACGAGAAGCCGCTACTCCTCCTCCCTTGCGTGGCTCTTTCCGCGGTGTCGTAGCAGGCCAGAACAGCTTCCGGGGCAATGGGACGCCGCGAGGACGAGGGGGAAGAGGCGGCCTTGGATTTGGAAGTGATAACGCTGCGCCGGCCATGCACAGCAATCTCGCGATCCGAGAACAAAGCCACGTGAATGGTGGTCGAGGTGGCAGAGGTGGTCCCCAAGCTGATGGGTTCCGAGGAGGTCGTGGTGGCTCTTCATCTACTCCTCAAGCTTTCAATGCCGTGCCGCCGCCGGCAACTCTTAATGTCAGAGGTGGGCGCGGAGGCCGCGGGCGTGGCGCTCCTAGAGGGAGAGCTCTTGCACGGGGTCGAGGGGGTGCTGTGCAGGTGCAGCAGACGTGACCCTTCTCCCATCAGACACTCTAGACAATACTCCGAATCCTGGTTGGCTCTTCTGGAAACATTTTATGACTTACAGATCAGACACGATGATGGTACTTCTAGGTTCATATCATTGTTAATGATACCAAAAATCAGAAATGGGACCCGGGGGAAAAGCACGGGTTTAGAAGGGGCTGTTTTTCTGTACAATAGATCTATAAGATAGGAAGTTAACAGTCCAGCCTATTTTCAACTCCTGATGATTGATTTTAAGGTACGTTATATATTGTTCTGTTGTTGGCGTTGTCCTAGTAAACAAACAAGGCTCTCGTTTACGACGCCCCCCTTTATACAAACCTTCATCTTTGTAGTTGAAATATTCACTACCTATCTCTGATTTTCGCCGCTCGCTACTCTTGTTTTCGTTTCTCCTTGTTTTTGAACAACACAAGGACTCGCTATCTCGCGACCCTCTTCGTCTTACTCTCTACAACACCCACCCATCCCCTTGACGCTACTCTATTTGACTTCGTCCAATATTTCGTTTCATCTCTCATTTCTCTCATTTCCTCTCTTCGTCTCTCATCTACCTCTTCGTCCTTCTAGTACGCGAAAGCCACAACCATGAATATCTTCCTGGGCGACGAATCAACTGGCGAAGATGGCCAGCCGTCTCCTAATGACAGACTGTCCCAGGATGCGTTACATGTCAGCTTCTCCTCAAACCAGAGATCGATCATCAGTGACCAAGCACTGTCTGCTGGCGGTCTGGGGCTTAGTTTTTCGGACGCCCAGCCCCGTGAAGTCAACAGTGGGAGATCGAGTGGTCTAGAGACCAGCTCTTCGTCAAGCCAGACGCGTGGAGCCCGCAGTGACAGTACGAATGCTGGTTTCGCAGAAGGCCAGCCGATTGCAATTAGAGGTGGCAGACCTAACAGTGCCACTGCCAGATTCTCACCTTTGTCGTCAGATCAGCCACGTCAACTTAGTGGTGAAGGGCCAGATAGTACGACTCCTGACCTCTCAGCAGATCGACTACCTACAATTAGGGCTCCGAGACCTGATCAATCGATTTCTCAATTCCCAGATTTCTCAACAGCCCGCCCTCGTCAAGTCAACGATACGATTGCCAGTTTCCCAGTATATCATTCGCGTGGATTCGGCGATCGGGGACCACGCGCTCGGCGGGACAGCTTCTCCTCGTTAGGTCTTTCACCAAGCCCTCCTCCACGTGAAGTCAACAGCGAGAGATCAGGCGGTTTGAATGCCTCTTCGCAGAACCAACCACCAACAGTCAACACAGAGAGACAGGGCAGTATGCACAACTCCTCCTCTTCTAACCAGTGGTCTGCGCCCAGGGGCAGAGAAACTTCGTCTAGAGGTTTGAATGCCTTTTCGTCCAACCAGTCGCGTGGACGCCAGAGATATAGATCAGCTAGTCCGGATGACAGCTCCTCTTCTAGCCAGGCGTCTTCATCGTATATGAGCATATATGGACCCGATGCCAACAGCGGCTCCTCGGTGAATCAGCCTTCGATAAGCCAGCCTTCTATGAACCATCCATCGATGAACCACCCTTCGACGAACCACCCTTCGATGAACCAGCCCACTACAAGCCAGCCACGTGAAGCCAGCAGTAGTGGAACAGTTGGTCGTGAAGGACCTAACAGACAACGCAGTCACGGGACAGCAAATCGTCGCCCTCTACCACGATCAGCCAATGATGATACAGCAACTGAGAATACTATGAATGCCAACTCCACCGCCGGAGCCAGCGGAGGAAGACGCGATGTTATCCAAGATCAACAACAATCGACTCCTACACAGGCAGGCTATGGAGTCGGAGAGAGCAGTAGCCAGCCTACCCCCTCTGTTCTTGCTCCCCAACTAGCTCGCTACGGACAACGAAAGCCAAAAGTTGAGGGATTAGTGGACTATGGACTTTCAGACAATTTCGATGCCGATCCTTCTAAAGAAGTCCCAGACAAGCTGGTCGACGGTGGAGTTATTCATGATAGACCCGTCCTCCCTGGAGATGCCAACGAGGAGATTGACGAAGAAGAAAAGGCCCGAAGAGCTAAGGCTCAGAAGACCAAAGAAGAAGACGAGGAAATGCTTAAGGCTGGTATAGAAGCTAATAAGAAGAACTACGATGATGGACCAACAGCTGAGGATGCAGAGAAGGCACGAAATGGGATGTCAAAAGAAGAGTTCGCTAAAAAGATGAACATTGATGTCAAGACTCTGGAAGAGAACGAGAAGACATTGGATGCCCTCGAAAAAGCCCGGGCAAAGATGTCAGAGGAAGAGCTCGCAGTTTTTGGTATCAAACTCGATCTTGAATATCTGCAGACGGATCCGAAAGACCAAGATGACGACGAGATACCTGAGAGCGGCGAACAGGAACGAGTCCCGTACACTGCTGACTTCTTTGCCAACCTTGGCGACTATCCGGAGATCATTATGGAAATCGCCAAGTACCTCAGGCCCAAGGACCTTGTTCTCCTCTTCTCCATGTCCTTAACGTTCAACGAGACAATTAAGGGTTTCTTCTCGCACACTATGTTGACATCTGCTGCGTACCACGCTCCAGAGTCAGCTCGAATCTTCCCTTTTAAGTTTTATGCCGATCTTTGTGTCCTTGATCCAGCTGGTCGCCCACACCCTATGAGACCTTGGGAAGTCCGTATGGTCCCCAGCCCACGCTGGCTGAAGATGGTGGTCCATCGAGAGAAGACAATTCGCGACATACTTGCTATGATGGCGCGAGAGGGACACCGCATGCCAAGTGGCATGGGCCTGTCTCTGAAGAAGATGTGGTTGCTAATGGACGTTTCAACCAGTGCTCAGCGGGTCCAGCTGCTCCACAGCCCATTCTTCACTGGCAAGGATCTCTACAACATGCAGATGTTCTTTGTCAAGCTGGATATGCGTTTCAATGATCCGATCGACGGGCCTGGAGACGATGCACTGAGGAAATTAATGCTGGGGCAGAGAAGTCTCACGACTTTATGTAAGCTACTCAAGCGGGAGATATGTCGTGATCCAGTTGATATCATCAAGATGGCAGTTCGATATGCTTACCGCGTTGTACCCCAGCTTAGGGGGCTCCCGATGTTTGGGATTCCGCCGCAGGATATCGGGACTGGACATTTGGAGGGCTGGGGGAAGGGAAGAGTACATTTACTTCGTCCGGATGAATTGGTGATAAGAGAATCTGTGAGACGGGGTCTGGGTCTGAAGGACCATATCATGGGAATGTTTCTCTGGGGATACGTCGATCCGATGACAGGACTCGATATTGAGGTTACGGAAGAGGAGATGTATATGTCGGAGGATGAGGACCAGGATTCCAGCAGTGATCAGGAGGTTGAAGAAGATGAGAGAATGGATAAGGTGGTCATGAGAAGACTCCTGCAGAAGGTCATGAATAGGCTCAGTGAGCAGGAAGGGGGAAAGCAGGAGGGAGGTGAGGAGAAGCAAGAGAGAAGTGAGGAGACCGGTAATGGAGACGTGATCATGGATGATTGAGGTACAGCGTCCTTCAAGCACCGGGGTCCTCCTAGGTACAATGTCGCAAATTGTTGGTTGGGAGTAAATGGTGGGTTGTGCTTTTGCTGAGGCCAGTTACTGAGACGGATCGTTGCCTTTCTTCGGAGCGTGAGTTCGAGATTGATGGGGGCTCCTAAGCTCTCAGGAGGTACCTATTGATCTCAATAAGAGATGCACATGTATTATACGGGATTCAACCCATTGCTGAATGAAACTGCCACTCTCCTCATGTTTCCCTCTCAGAGTAAGCTTTGGGTTGTGGCTGGCTCTAGCATCCAAAGAGTGCATGATTTGCTTTAGTGTTCACCAACCATCTCGGTTCAGAGAAGAATAATACACCAGCTTTGGTATAGCAGATCAGTGCTATAATAGAAATGGCTATTGGAAAGTGCTATATAAATTCTCTCTCAAAAGCATCAACACCTTCAACCCGGTTTGGCCCATTGCTCTCGCCGCACGGCACGTGACCTAGGATTATGTCATGATTATGTCATGTCGCGATGGGTAAATGTCAGCACGCCATGTCTGCACAACGAACTCTGGTCAGAGCGAAGAATCATCTCGTCACAGCGCCAAGTCAAAGGGTCGAGAGGTCAAAGAAGGCCACAAAAACATGGACAGCAGGATAATAGAGCTCATCACCAGAATCATGGCGTCTTTTGGATACTCTTACGTCGGCATAGTTTCGAGGGGGCATGGTTGACGCAGGACCACCACGGCAATGGGACCTACCCCAACTCACGACAACATCCTCCCGGGGCATGATATGGCTTTGACACCTGCAGCCGGCATGCTTTTGAATACGAACATGGGATACAGAATACAGAATTGGAGGAGGTATCGCAGATGGCATCTACGTGCCAAAGCGCAACATCCGAGGCCTCCCAAGATGGACGGCGAGCCAACAAGACGGCTGGTTTCCTTCTATCGCCAACCCTTACTGTGTTGCCTTGCCAAGTATCACATGGGTTCCCCCTTCCCTCTGACAGTTTGATTGATTATCACATTGAGCATCGTATGTCTTCCAAGATACAGGTCCTTCGGTTGACGAGGGAACTCCCACGAGGTGGATTGGACTGGATTGGCAGAGCCGTATTCATCGGCTTTGTCTGAGGCTTCGGATACCCTGTGGCGAGGAGACTATCCCCTTCTGCTCCGCAGATGTATCGACCGACAGGTATGAATATGCCATACATGTTGACATGCTTGATACTTTGAAACGTCTTTCGCCCATTACCAGGCAGATCGCTTGCGCCCTCATCGAGCGCGGTACTTCCATCTTACATGAGCAGGCAATCCAACCCATACGGCGACCTGAATGCCAGCGTTGTCGAGGTAATTCAATATTGGTCGGCATTCTACAGATCGTCCGGCTTCTGTGGTGACGTGGAGCGGTGCAGTCAGTGTTTCGCGATTGCGGCTCAACCACCGAGGATATCTCAGCTATTGAGATGACTTTGGTGGAATTAGGTGTCTTTCCCAGGGGATTTACTCTTCACACGATATAACCTGAGTTGAATCATACGAACAACTTGGATTGAAGGCCATTTAACATAGCTCCTTGTTTGGTTACAGTACCAGCACGCAGCCCACCTAGCTGGCATTTGGAGGAAGATATTATTCAGTGACCTGAAGCAGCTCTTTACCCTCCCTATCGTCTAGATGCACTGCAGTCGGAGAACTGCTTCCATGATATTACGGTATTGGGGAATCTCAGTCGTCGGCGGGGATAGGAAGGACATGCATGCTTCGACCCCGACGCCTACACATGATCCATTCCGTCCGCTCGACCAACTATCGATAAGCATGGCACTTCGAATGTTCAACGCTACGCAGTCATAATCTCTGGTGGATGATGGGATGGTATACAAATGCCCACTGGCATATCCGGTTTCCGTGGTCTACACGACGCAACGTGTTAGGGGTTTGCGTGACCAGACCGACCGGAATTGTGTTGGTTGGCCGAAGTTTGACCCCATGGAAGAGGAGGACCCTATTGTTTTTCCGGCATTCGTTGCCCTCGGGCTTTTGCACCTCGTAGATAACCCACCTGCTGTGTGACTTTCCAATGCGTAACCGCGTCTAGAGAGATGCAAGGGGGAGAGGATATACGGAGTAGGAGAGGAGAAAGGGGGGCGGAGAATAGGAGGGCGGCTCTCTCGTTTCTCGAGCCGCTTATACTAGAGTCCCCCGCGAGAAAGAGAGGGCAGAATCCGCCGACGCGCGCTTCAGTCACGCACCGCACCGCAACGCCACGCCACGCCACGCCCTCGACGGTCAGAAAGTCTTATCTATATCGCATCGCGTTGACGGTCCGTCCAGCTTGATCAGAGGTAAAAGAAGACCCAGCGATTCTCTTTCTTCTGGCTTTTTTCCCTTTCTCTCAACTGCCTTTGCGATCAGTCGTCGCGGCATCAATCAATCCTCGCTCCGGTCTCCCTCTCTTGCGCCCAGCCAATCAGCGCGCCCAGCCCTCGCTAAGCCGCTAAGCTGCAAAGGGCAGAACCACTTTTTAGTCATTCCGCTGCAACTGACAGCGTCGATATGCCTTCTCCCCAACTTTCTCAGGCCCGGTATGTCGCCATGAAAGACAGCTGGGGCCACGGTGACGATCGCAGAGAACGAGGCAGAGTCGATCGAGGAGTAACACGCTCAAGAAGATCGCGATCGCCCCCTCGTCGCCCCGAGAGCGACAGGGACTCTAAAGCCAGAGATCGCAGTCTCGTCAAGTCAAAGCCTGTCACCGAGCACGATAGGCCCCGCGGACGCAGCCAAGATCGCAGACGGAGGCCATCACGGTCCCCGCCGCTGAGGGATTCGCGAGAAGAAGTACGGGAGCGTAATAGAGGGCGGGAGTTGTTGGACACGCGAGGCTCGGACAGGCCCAGACGCAGCACTCACCACTCGCCATCAGGAAAACGTCGGAAGAGTCGAAGTCCTTCACCAACCCGCAGTCATCATAAGAGATCAAGGCGAGGGGCATCGCGCAGTCCATCGCGGGTAGCAGAATCGTCCTCCTCGCGCCCAGACAAGAAACGTCGAACTCTCTCTCCGCTTCCGCCTCGGAGGCGCTCGCCTCGCTCACCTCGCTCACCTGAACGCAAGAGTCTTGAGTCTCGTGGGGAGAGCAGACACAAGCATCATCGAGAATCAGGCTTCTCGAGCAGGCGTGGTCGCTCTCCCAGCCCGAAACGCGACCGTCACGAGTCCTCCTACCATAGTTCTGCGCCTCGACACGATCCCCATTCAAAGCACACCCGATCACCGCAGCGAAGTCCAGGACGATCAGAAAAGAAGCGTGAGAGGTCATTTTCAAGGGACAGGGGGAGGAAACGAGATCATTCTCCACATAGACGTCGCAGATCGGATATCGATCCCTACGAGCTACAAAGCCGCTCTCGTCAACCGTCACCCCGTGTACCGAGGAGCTCTAATCAATCACTCAGAGGTTCATCCCCTATAGGCGATAAAGAGAGGCGGTCATCACGAGACGAGTACTATTCCAGTAGATCTAAGGGTAGAGGCAGAACCCCGTCATTCAGTGCGTCCGGAGCGAATAGTATCGAGGTAAAGTCTGATAAGATGTCAGGGAGAGGGGGGTTTTATGGCGGCCACCACGGCTACAATCCTCACCAGCAGATGCAAGCTGCCTTTCCCCTGAAGCCTCAATATAATCAAGGGCCACCAGACCCTCGACAATACTCGCAGTCTCCACAACATCATTTGACACCAACTTCTTACCATAGCTCCCCTCAGGCACACTCACCGTACCATTCTGGAAGAGGTGGCTGGGTTGGTCAGCCACCACCTCAGCAATATTCTCCCCATCAGTAAGTAGCAAATTCTCCCAGAATTTATCGCATTGCTGATTAGAATTGTAGTCAATATCCGCCTAGTCATCAACAGCAGCCTGGCTTTCCTCCTTCAGCCGGACCCCAAGGCCATTACTATGGCAATCAATCTCAATCACCTCCCTACCCGGGTCCTGGAGGGAATGTGAATCAAGGTTACCCTCAACATAATAGCTTTCGCGGCAGCCGGGGCGGTTACAGAGGAAACTTCAACCCTCGTGGAAGAGGCGATCGAGGTCGTGGCGGTCATTTCCAGAACCTTCACTGGAACGGAGCAGGCCGTGGTCATCATAACCAGTCTGGAAACGTAACCCCTCAGCACATTTCTCCTCCGCATCAATATCCACAGTATCCCGGACCTCACGAACCCGCTCCACCACCGCCGCCTGACGTGGTAGAGGATGATAGCGAAGATCTCTTCAGGCCGTCTACCAAGGATCTTCAAGTTGAGGATAAGGATGAGACCAAGAAGAAAGATGAGGAGAAGATGCCACCCCCAAGCAGACCGCCTCCCACTGGACCGCAGGGACAGCAGGGACAGCAGCAGGGACAGCAGAATTCATCGAAGTTTAGTTTCGCCTTCAAAGCTTCATCAAAGACGACTCCAACAGCTCCGAAACCCGAGATCTCACAGAAACTCAGTGCAGCGCCAAGTCGGCCAATTGTCCAACCGACCCCAGATCGCCGTGGCTCAACGCGGTCAATACCCACAGAGCCAGCTTCAGCCAGGCGGCAAGACTTCCGCGAACCTCCTCCTCCAACAACTCGAAAAGTCAAGAAGATAATGAAGCGGGTAAAGGAGAGGCCACAACTCCCGGAAGATTTCAAGAAGTCCGATTCGGTATATTACCGGAAACCTGGGAATGAATCTGTGGTTGGCTCGGGAACATACGGCAAGGTCTTCAAAGCTATACACGTCTATACGAAGAAGCTGGTGGCTTTGAAGAAGATTCGAATGGAAGGTGAAAGAGACGGCTTTCCAGTTACAGCAGTTCGAGAGATCAAATTGCTTCAGTCACTGAAGCATGAAAATATCGTCAATCTACAAGAAGTGATGGTTGAGAAGAACGACTGCTTTATGGTTTTCGAATATCTATCACACGATCTCACCGGCCTACTGAACCACCCCACCTTCAAGCTGGAGCCAGCTCATAAAAAGCACCTAGCAAAGCAACTTTTCGAGGGTCTCGACTATCTTCACCGAAGAGGCGTGCTTCATCGAGACATTAAGGCAGCAAATATTTTGGTTAGCAATGAAGGTCAGCTCAAACTGGCAGATTTTGGACTTGCCCGGTTCTATGCCAAACGGAGACAGCTTGACTACACCAATCGAGTCATCACGATCTGGTATCGTTCTCCGGAGCTTTTACTAGGTGAAACACAATACGGACCGGCCGTTGACGTCTGGAGTGCCGCTTGCGTACTCGTGGAGATATTCACACGACACGCCATCTTCCCGGGCGATGGGGGTGAAATCAGCCAGCTGGAGAAAATTTACGCTATTCTTGGGACGCCAAATAAAGTCGACTGGCCAGGTTTAGTCGATATGGCTTGGTTCGAGCTACTTCGGCCCAGTGCACGTAGGCCCAATGTCTTTGCAGAGAAGTATAAGGACCGAGTTACGCCGGCAGCATTTGAGCTACTCGAGGCTATGTTCCAATATGATCCCGCGAAGCGACCTAGCGCTAGTGACGTGCTAGAGCATCCTTACTTCACTGCGGAGGAGCCGAAGCCGAGACAGGCTATCGAGTACGTCCATTCTATTCTTGTTCCCCTACCTTTCATTGCAAGCCAGAGAAGGAAATGGAACTGACAGTAATCTAGGTTGGCAAAGCTCGAAGGCGACTGGCACGAGTTCGAATCCAAAGCACTGCGCAAAGAAAATGAGCGAAAGGACAAAGAGGCACGACGACAAGCACAGAAAGAGGCCGCTCTCAAAGCCGAGAAGGACAAAAAGAGGCCCTCTGATTCTGATGCCGTTGATCACCGAGAAGCAAAGCGTCCCCATACCGAAGGTGTACCTCCTAATTCAGCTTCCAAGGCCGACGGAGAGCAGAAGAACGCGCCAGCGGCGTGATCGTGCGAGGTCCAATCGACTACAGCGTATATGATGTACGGGATAAGATGTATGTGCATTTTTGTAAAGTAATAATCGAGAAAACGAAAGACCAGGGGAGGTTGATTCCCCGATCTCTTCTTTCTTTTCAGCTGCCTTCTTTCTTGGAAGCAAAGAAGAAAAAAAATAGGCGGGCAGAATGGAGTTCGAGGCTGGTTGTAGGGTGGGGCATCAAAGCATGCATTATTAAAGAAGAATCTGGGGAAGAGAGAAAGAGAGGTACGTATGCGCGTATATATCTGCCTTGCCGACGTGCTCGCGGCGAGAAAAAGCAGGACATGGCTGCCAAAAATGGAAGGGATGTGAATTTTTCAAACATGGAGTACGTGGATGTGGATATCAGTAAGATAGGGGAGGCGGTGTGTAGTAGCTCTGATAAAAGAAAATGAAAGAGCGAGCTGTAAGCCGGGCATCTATTCTTGAGAGAAATAGTATTTGCGTAATTGAAAGGAATCTTCTTTCGTGGACCGTTATACTTTTCATCATTACTGTGACTATCTATACTGTACTGTACTGTGACTGCATCGTTATATCCCTCCTTCCCTCCCTCCCTTCTTGCTCTTCCCAGCCCCTATCCAGGAACCGAAGCTACCCTCCCTCCCTACTACGCCAAACACCTCATACCTATAGAACCCAATCCCACAAAGCAAACCCCCAACATGCATCCCTAAGCGCCACTCCTATAAACCTGGCTGCCCTGACCTCTAATAGCGATAGTATCCCTGCGCTGTAGCACGACGAGTGCTCTATTGAGAGCCTGTTCGCTATAACCCTTCCCATCACAGATCTCCCTCTTGAGGGTAGCCAAGCTCGTGGACCAACCGATCGGCAACCTCTTCTTCAGCTCCTCCTCGAGCTTGTGGACTTCCTCGTTCAGCTCCTTGCTGCCTTGGCTCGAGCCCATGTTCACGGCGTCCATGGTACTGGCGAGGAAGAGCCGGATGGCTTCGTCGACGTGCTGCTCCGTGGCGACGGGGGAGAGGGTGAGCTTGGCGAGCGATTCGGTTATGCGCACGATGGCTTCGAGCTGCCGGACTGTGATGGGGATCGAGGACCGCGCGTTGGCTTCTAGCTCGGCGGCGTGCACTTGCTTGCGGATGGAGACGAAGTGGGAGGAGAGCTTTTCGGCGGCTTCGGGGGAGAGCCGAGGTGCGCATCGACTGTTGTCTGTTAGTATATGTTATGTGGAATGTTGTGAGTCCGGGGGGGGGGATAGACTAGAGGGGACGTACGATTTGCAATAACTAATGTATCGCTTCATCTTATCGACTGGGATCTCAGCCTCAGCTTGTTCCTCTTGTCCTCGTCCGCCCATGTGCACATTCATAACGTATTTCGCGATCTTCTCGTCTCGTCCCCGCTCGTGCTCATCCTTCACGATGAAGATCATGTCGAAACGGGAGAGGATGGTAGTCTGGAAGTCGATGTTTTCTCCGGGTGTCTTGAGATCATCATATCTTCCGAAAATGGGGTTGGCAGCTGCAAGAACCGATGTTCGTGCGTTCAGGATCGTGGTGATGCCTGCTTTGGCGATGGAGATTGTTTGTTGCTCCATGGCTTCGTGGATGGCTACTCGATCCTCGTCACGCATCTTGTCGAATTCATCGATGCAGACAACACCGCCGTCAGCAAGCACCATCGCTCCTCCCTCCAGGTAGAATTCTCGGGTTGTGTGGTCTCTCTGGACGGAGGCTGTGAGACCTGCTGCTGAGGAACCCTTCCCGGATGTATAGATAGCGATAGGTGCCACTTTCTCGACGAATTTAAGCAGTTGGGATTTCGCTGTACCTGGATCACCGAGAAGAAGGACGTTGATATCCCCGCGGAGCTTCATCCCATCAGGAAGTATCTTCTTTGATCCACCAAGAAGCAGACAGGCAATTGCTTTCTTGATATCCTGATTGCCGTAGATTGAAGGAGCTATGCAGTTTGCAAAGACATTGTACAGGTCAGGTCGTCGGCTCATCTCTAAGAATTCCTGTTCTTCCTCTTCTGAGAAAATAGCATTGCCTTTTGCAGTGTGGTCAACATCGCTGTGGATGCCCACTGCTCGCAAATATGGTGTCCGGATTGCCACCGCGGATGTTGTATTAGAGCCCTTGGACTGTTTATTCTGGTAAATAGAGAAAATACCCGTAATCGTACATCTTGATCCAGGGACCACGCGATTTGTCAAGTATCGGTCTGTTGAGATGAGAACGTGCCTTGGCAGTTCTCCAACAGGGACTTGATCTGGAGCCTCCTGGAGCTTGATGATCTGTTGATCAACGAATTGACACGCTTCGTGAACGACGACATATGGGTCCATGGGGCATTGGTCCTCTCCGGGCATTCTTTGTCTATCGCATACCCGAGGAAGGGAAACCCCTGCAAAACCACCAGCGACAGGTAAAACTTTTGTTTGGCGACAGTTACGGCATTGAATGTGTAGTGCGGTTGCTTTTGAGGACAAAACCGAGGCACCGATGACAATACCAGGAACTCGAACGAGCCGCGAGATCGTCATCGCATCGAGATCTCGAATTGATATCTCTCCCGCATTTGAGTGGAGTAGCAACTGGTGTTCTGGAAGCACGATGTCCTTCTGTGAGGGGTAAACAATTCGCATTGTGCATCTCTTCAGGGCGCTTTCGAACTGATGACGGTCAGCGATAGGGAACATGGAGCGTCTTTACGAGTGGCGCTCACAAGAGGGATGATCTCTGCGGGCTCAGTGACGAGTCTGTGGGCGAGCTCTTCATTGAAAGAGATGAGATGTCCAACATCGACGTCGCAATAGTACTGTTTGAGGAGAACATTCTCGCGGATCTGGTCTCTGCAGAACTGTCAGTGGCTGTAGCAGTGTCATCGCGGTTGGATCGCGACTTGCCTGTAGATGAAGGCGTTGTCGAGTCGAAACTGGAGAAGAAACTGTTCCAGTTGGGCCTGGACCTGGCCACGAGTATCTTCAGTGGTGTCGTAATCTGGCGGCAGCACGCTCAACGAGTATACAGATTGACGATCCATCTTGAATTTTGTCTCTTCGGCTGGTATAGATTGGTAGTAAGGGGGGGAGTGGAGGAGTCGGGGGAGTTGAGGAAATATGAAGCCGGACAACTGAGACGCGTTCAAGAGAAAGGGAGAGTTTGACGCGACGCGTTCGTGTAAAGTGGTCGCATGAATGCGCCCCTGAGATCACGTGAACACGGAGGATCGGAGCCGACATGTTCCAGCCAATCAGCATCAGTCGCCTCAATTCAAGGGTTGGACCTCAAAGAACAACATTCCTCCTTGGACGACGACGATGCGGTCGAGGGCATTCGGGCATGAAGCTTATCCCAGACAGAATCCCTCAGAGGATCGACCACGACTCGTTCTGCCCCCAGCAATGATCCCCCGGTAGCAACTCTGCGATCGTCGACAACCCTGCCGACTTGCTTCTAAAGAAGGCCTTCGTGGCCTGTACACCGACGACTCCCCGGCGCTTCGAGGCCTGATATCACGCCTCGCTCACGATCTCTGCGGCTCTTTGGTGTTTCTGGAAACTGCGCAGCTGCGGGGGAGGTCGGCGTTCTTCCTGTTGATAGTGGCGACAGCGGCGACAGCGGCGACAGCGGCCGAGAGATCCAGCTGTCGATTCGATTGGCGTCAGCATTGGCACGAGATTTATGATCATGGCTTCCCCAGCGCGCCGACCTTCTATCGACAGCATCACGTCCAATTCGCCCACACGGTCTCGGAATGAGAATTCCTTGTCAGGGTTAGTGTTTGGAGTGCCTGTTTCAAAAGACAGTTGAGGTGCTGACGAAGGCCGGGTTCTAGCAGTAGATACTCAACATCTTTCTCCAGGCGCGGGTCGACAGCCAGTTCGATACATTCTGTCGGAGGTACCTTGGACACTTCTTTGTACCGGCATGATGTGAGCGAATCTGCTCAGAATGGTAGTACTTTCAATCTCCAGATATTGTTCTGTAGCTGACGTCCCTAGCCATATCGACCCTCCTTCAAGCGCCCATTGTTCGAACAGGTTTAATCCCACACACTTCCGCCCCGGCGTCAAGCGCTCATAGGCCTCCCACTTCCCGAGATATTCCCCCGGTCACACTCACGAACATAACTACTGTCGACCCAGCAGAGTTCAAGCCCTATCTAACACAGGTAGGGGCTCTATACGATGCGTTGCAAAGGGCAAAGGAGAATGAAGAGGAAGGCGGCACTCAATTATTCCGGAAGGGCCCTCAGGTGGATGATTTTTCAGATCTCCTAGAGTCAGATTCTCGATCGAGAAAACCGAATCTATCAAGGCAGGCTTCGCTCGCCTCCTTGGCATCTTCGGTTGAAAGTCGTTCACCGAAGAGAAAGTCGTCGAGCGGATCAGGCAAACGGACAGTACATGCACTTACGCCCCTATCAACAATACCCAATGTCTATTTTGACGAAAACTTCCACCTCGAAAACCCGCGTACATTTGATATCGTCAGTGAACGCTCGGAAGTCGTTCGGCAAGCAGCAGGGGCACCGGGTGAGCGCAAAGGATCAAATGGAAACGCTGTCGCACCACGAAAAGCCTTGGCTACAAATGCTATTCTGCAGGAGAAACTGTCGTGGTATATGGATACAATCGAGGTTCACTTGATCTCCTCGATCTCAACCGCGTCTACGTCCTTCTTCGCAGCTTTGGGCTCGTTGAAGGATCTCCATGCGGAGGCTGCAGATTCAATAAGCCGCATAAAAGCCTTGCGTAAAGAGCTTCAAGAGCTCGATAAGGAAATGGCTACTGGTGGACTCGAGATTGTCAAACTGAGACAGAGAAGGGAAAACCTGAAACAGTTGGGCGATGCAGTGGAACAATTGAATCTCATAGTCGAAGCGGTTAGGAACTGTGAATCCTTAGTTGATAGCGGAGAGGTAGAGAAGGCACTGGACGCCATTGATGATCTGGAGAAACTATTCGCAGGTGAAGAAGGGTCTGGCACGTCCACCAACGGCATTCGACTTCGCGATCTCCAAGGGATAACTGCACTGCAAGGTGTCGCTGATGATATCGATACCTTACGATTCCGGATAGGCAAGGTATTTGAGAGCAGACTTTTGAACGCTCTAATTGGCGACCTGAGAAGTCATGTAGAGTCGGTCTCTGCTCCTGATACCCTCTCGCGCTGGAGTAGCTCGTCTCAACGATCCCGAGGAGGTCACAATCGAGATCCCTCGGTCTTCCCTGCGTACTTAGCAATGAGCGATGAATTTAGGACGAAGCTCCAATCAATTCTGAGTGGCTTGCATCGCGCTCGACACACCGCACCGGCGACTGCGGCCTTCCGAGAAGCCGTTCTACGGGAGATACGAAATATCATTCGACGGCCCTTGCCATCCTCCAACGATGATGATGCAGATTCTATGATGTCGTCCTCGACTATTGGTGGAGGCCGGCATAAGACTCAACAAGAAAAGTCTTCTATACTGGCACGCAATCTGAGAGCAATGGATGCGCAGGATGCGGAGGACTTGCTACAGAAGATATATATCGGCATCGGGGAGACCCTGAGGAGACTGGGTACACAGGTCAAGGTACTGTTGGATGTGACAAGTACACTTGGAGATCCTACGTCGCCGTCAGGTATAGGCTCACCCACTTCCCGAAGTCCGAATATGGTAGCAATTGATGCCCGAATGAATGGTGCCCAAGCAAAGGGCATCTCTAGCAGAGAAATCCAAGAAGAGATGCACCAAACGCTCGATATGTCAAATCTTCTCGGCCAAGCTGTTGACATTGCCCAAGACAAGATAGTAAAGGTACTACGTGTACGGGCGGAGCAAAGTACACACCTTTCAGTAGAGAGGTTCTTACGATACTTCACATTGAACCTCCTCTTCGCCAATGAGTGCGAAGCCGTATCTGGACGAGGGGGAACTACACTTAAAAATGTGGTAAACGGCCACATCAAAGACTTTGTGCAACACTTGGCCGAATCCGAACGACAAAGCCTGGCTTCTGGTATGGAAGCTGACCTTTGGAATGCCAAAGACTTTACCGACGATGATAAGGAGCATCTATCATGGATTCTCTCTGCAAGCACACAGGACGTCGAAGCCTGGACTGCCGATAGTAAGATATGGCTTCCTGCTTCTTCCGCCCCTGACACTCTCTCAAACGCCTCAAACGGTAACTTGTCTCTCCCCGGCACACAAACAAATGGCAGCCTTGCATCAGGGACATCTACTCCCACCCCAGCCTCCACACCCTCCAAATCCGCTGTGAGACCAGCAGTCATCGAGTCCGAATCCTTCCTCCTTCCTGTCTCTGCCATTCTCTGCCTGCACGGGCTCTCTTCTTTCCTCCACCTTACGACTGGTCTCCCATCCCTGACTACTGAAGTGGCTTCCATGATCATCTCCTATCTTTCTCTCTTCAACTCCCGGTGTACGCAACTCATACTCGGGGCTGGAGCTACGCGTTCCGCGGGTCTCAAAAATATCACAACTAAACATTTAGCGCTCGCTGCTCAAGCATTATCCTTTATATCAACTCTCATTCCACATATACGGGAATTCGTCCGTCGACAAGCCAGTTTGGCGACATCCATCTCGAACATCATGGGCGAATTCGACAAAGTCAGACGAGCGTACCTCGAGCACCAACAATCCATCTACGACAAACTAGTTGACATCATGGCCGGCCGCGCCACGGTACACGCTAAAGCTATGAAGGCGATCAACTGGGAGGAGGAGGGGAAAGATGGCGTGAATCAGTACATGGAAACTCTGACGAAGGAAACGAGCACATTGCACAAGGTGCTTAGTAAACACTTACCGGAGGGAACCGTCCGCATGATTATGCAGCCGGTGTTCAAGAGCTACAAGGAGCAATGGGGAAAGGCCTTTGGAGATGTGCTGTTGGTCAGTGAAGCTGGCCACAGGAGGTAACGTTGTTCGCAGCCCCGTGATCTAGCAAGAGATACTGACGAGAACCAGAATGCTCCGAGACGCAGAATACTTCAACACGCGGCTGAGCGCCCTCGACGGCGCCGGCGATACCGGAGAGTACATCGTCAACATCGTCAAAGAGAAATCCGTCCCCAAAGCCGCGACCGCGGAAGACACAACCGCCACCAACGGCTCGGAACCCGAAGCGAAGCGTTCGTCGGGGGATTCAAAGGGAGAGGAGAAATCCGAAGAGAAGGACGCCGAGAAGGCGGCGTAGATTTTAGATGAGATACCACGTGTGGACGAATGAATACCTTACTGGGATGGGCAGCAAACCCGGATAGAGAGCGTATGTAATCAATAAGGCCTTTCTGGGGTATGTAGATTATTATAACAAAATGTATAATCCCACCGTATATACTGCTACTTTGGTGATATAGGTTCGTAGTAAGTATTTCACTAAGCGGCTCAACCTCATACATGGAGGTTCAGGATTGGCAATAAGGTAGGATGATGCATGCTTGCTTGTAGCTTTGTTGGAAAATCCCATAAATTTCCAAGCATTAAAGTAGACGAACAGAGCTTTAAATATAGAATCCTCCCATGTTCCTTTCTCAATCCCCCACAATGCAAATCCCCTCTCCCCTCTCGATCGATGCCCTCCCTATAACCCCATGTATGTAGCCATATAGCCGCTCTCCAAAATCTCATATAACATCTCGTGATATATCTATCTGTCAAGATGTAGCTGAACGTGCATCCCAGAAACAACACACAATCAATACACCCCACCTCACCCCAGCCACCACACTTTCTATTCCGCAACTAACAACCCCATCCCCATCAAACCCATTCATCATTCATGAATTTTTTTTTTAAAAAAAAATGGGACGAGATAGATAGAGATCCTATTCCTGCTGCGCGATATACCGATACCGAGACTTGACTTTACTTTTCTTTTTCTGTAAAACCCTGTAGATCTGAAATGTTGCACGACGATGAAATATATGATATATCAGCAGAAAGGGAATAATGGCAAATGTGACAGAAAGAAAGAAAGAAGATCAGTGGCGATGGTTGAAGTGTGGAATGAATGAGATGGAATGAATGATATGAGATGTGCAACTTTGCTTTTATCTCATCCTATTTTTGGGATGTGAGATAGAGGGAATCTTGAGGAAGTACCTGGGGGAATGGGAAGTGGAAATTGGAAAAGGAATAGTAGTGATTAGGTGTGAAAGGGATTGTTGAAAGGACGGATGGTCGATATTGGTATTGCGTAAGCGTGAGTGAGGTAGACGTAAGGTCAGGTAGGTAAGGTAAAATGAGGCGAGGTCACGTGACCCCATGGGTGTCTTTATCAGAAAAAGGGTCTGAGACAAGGGTGGCAAGGGGCCGACGACCATCCGTCGATCACACACTCTCTCAGTCAACAACATCAACATCAAGCAGTCAAGGGATAAAAACAGTCACCATCATCATCATCAAGTGGAGGAGCGAGAAAAATGTGGGGGAGAAAGGTTAAATTGTCTGATCTTAAATATGTGCAAAGAAGAGGAGTCCCCCGAAAGTCCACATACCGCAGAATCCCACTCCGCAACAGAAAAGAAGGGTATCTTGAATTTGTGATTTCCAAAATACACCAGGCATTTTAACCTTTTTTTGTTGCTTTTGTGTTTTTCCTGAGTATCCATAACCCTATGCCAAATATCCGAAAATTCCCCGTATTCCCCCTGTTCCCATTGTTTCCCATCATGAATCCCGTTAAGTCATTGAACATCGCAGCACGCAAGCGGCGCGGACGGAAGTCATAAACGAAGGTTCTTAGTGCAAGACGTAGTCACGAGCGACAACATCGACGTGGTTGCGGCGGGCGCTCTTGATGCGCTGGCCAAGGAGGACGGTGATGCTCTCCTCAGTGGTGCTCTGAGTGGCGATGTCGTCTGGCTGGTTGTACTGGTTGGTGCAAGAGACGGTCAAGCAGCCGGAAGTGGGCTGCTTGGATTGAGAAGGGTACATCATCATGACACCGTCAGTGGCCTGGGGGTTGACAATGGCAGAGACGTCAAAGTAGTTTGCGCCGCCAAAGCCATCCCAGCGGAACTCGGCGAGGAGACCGGGGACGTTGGCTGCTCCATCGTCGTAGGTGTAGGCGTTGCCGATCCAACCCTCAGGGAAGTCCTGGCTGACTTGAGAGTTGCCCGCGACGGTGAGACCGGGAATGGGGGGCTGGCCCTCCGTAGGAGTGAAGACAATGTGGCGAGTGGTACCGTCCTGGTTGACGAACTGAGCAGTTCTAGCAGCTGCGAGAGAGGCGAGCGCGCTGGCCGCAAGGAAGAAGGTGCTGGTGAATTGCATCTTGAAGGTTGTGTGAAGTTGTGAAAGACTGATGTAGACTTCGAGTCGTCGAGGCTGTCGCGGACAGAAAAGCTAGCTGAAGAATACCGTAAAGGATAAAAGCTGAGCTTAAGAGAATGAGTTGCGATCACAGATCGATGAGAAAGAGAGAATGGTATAAACCGTTAAGAGATTGGAAGGGTTGATGAGTTGAAAGAGAGATGGCCCCTGGAGGATCAGCAACGTGGGGTTTTATACTTTTCTGAGGGGCAAGTTTCCAAGCATCTGAAAAAAGGCACAAAGCCAGACGCGCACACAGGGACGAGACTAAAGATCGGAACCAGGATCCCAACTCCAAGTCCTCGTGGCTCGCAGGTATCCCTGGGACCGTGGACCGACCAGGAACCGAGTGGCTCGCCCGAATCACTCCACTCTTTTGGCAGAACATAAACGGCCATTAACCCGCGCAGAGATTTCGACGTGGCTCCACATGAGAGTGCGATCAAATGTCGATTGGAAGAACCAATGTTTGTACCTGGCGCTTGCTTAGGACTATTCGGCGCACGGGCGGGGATTTTCTTCTTCTCGAATAAGGGATGTCCCTGTAGGGCCCTCACCCCACCTCTGCCCCTTGCGCTTCGTAGGGCTTGTACCTGGCCCCTTTTTTGCTGATGGTGGTGTGGAGACGGCACACGCACTCGCCAACTACAAATACGGTACCGTTCCAACTGTCAACCATGGTTGTGTCAACAAGTAAGGGGAACAAAAGACATCTCACAAAGGCAATCCGGCAGAGATCTTCCCGATTGCCTTTTCATGATATCTCGACAAAAGGCTCGACCCCTTGCGGCAGTGCAAAGCGGTTGACCCAGCTTTGGGTACCGGCGGTTTGGGGCCCAGGGGCAGACAAAGCTTGGACCGAGCCCTGGCACGGCTGGTACACTCCGTCAGGTAAGGGTATTCCATGCAGAGAAGAAGAGAATTCCCCGCTTGACCCTTGCGTCTTTAGCCTTATTGCCTTATCGATTGCGGAAGCGAGACTACTTCGGTACTAGAGAGACCCAAGAGCGAACAAACGTTGAAAGCCTGGAGCCCTGAGTTGAACTTCTCGGGACGAACTCGGGCTTTCTGCATGTCAGCAGGGCGTAAGGCGGACAAGGGGGAGAGAAAGGCGGAGCCAGGATCAGTCATGCTCACATGCCTCGGATCTTCCGCGCTGTCAAGCCAAGGCACGCCAACTCAGCGCTCCATCAATCACAGATTCACGTGTTGAGGAATTCTTGGGTCCCATCGGCCTACCTGCCGGTCTACCTACCTCTTTCGCGGCGGCATTGTGAAAGCTTCAACATGCCTACGAAGTTCTTTGGCACCGAGAATGACACCGGTGCAAAGGCCGCAGTTTCCTTGCTTCTTTTTTCCGTTTGAGCCTTTGTGCCGCGTGACGGAAACAGTAAGGGAATAATAGGTACCTACTGTGTACTACATACCTACGTTGCGGTGGTCGGTTCATCGGGGCAGCTGGAGAGTGCAGAGCGCAAAAGGTGGTGATTTGTCGAATCAGAAAATTCGCGCATATGCTTCATTGTAATGCAAGCAAGGAAATCGAATCAGTCGATTCTTTAGCACCCTTGTCGAATAGCAGAAGTTGTACAGTCTTTCGGATTCCTCGCAACGTCTTGCCTTATGTGCCGTCGCGAGCATATACCCCAGCTTCAAGTAAGGTACCAGATCAGATCGGCAGGAACCCCAGAAGGCCTGGCCATGTCTACCCCCTGTTGGCCCATGTCATCCATCACGCTCATCACGTTCACCGGCCATCATCACTCCAGTCAGCGCAGGCCACGATTGAAATATTTGCAACCGCTTTCGAATGGCTGGTTGCGGTGTACTCTGTGTATGACGAGAATTGCATGCTGCGATTACTGCGAAGTATTGAATTTTCCTTTTTTTTCATGACTCGAGTAAGGGTGCTGAACTTTCTTCTTCTCCATGCCCCGGGTAAAAAGGCCTGTGAGTCGCGATGAATCCTGCATAGGTAGGTCCTCAAGAACCCATGCGATGGGAATTGAGCAAATCCACAAAGGGCGGGCAGTAATGGAAATACTGTACGGGCGTACACTGCCGTGTACCACAGCAACAATGCCAAGGAGTCCCCAGGGAACGGAAGCAGCAACCGGCATCGGCAACCGTCGGCAATCGGCGATCGATGAACGCCAATCGCACGCCCGGATATTCTTATCTAAGTTATCGATTGTCAATCCCGCCTTGCGATTTGACGATCATCCGACTGCGTGGATCTCAGGGCGAGGTCTCGACTTCTTGGGCGACGGTGCGAGGGAAGCTCGGGGAAGACCCAAGAACCACTCACGTCAAGCCTGGTTCCGTCCTGCCACCAACTTCTTCTTGCAGTAAGGGGAGGAGTCCACCATTTCCCACTTTTCTGCTCGGATTTGCCTCCCACTGGACGAGAAAAGTTTGAACGGCTTCTCCAACCTCCTCTTTGACCGTGGCACCGATTGGCTGCTTCTTGGATGTAGAATTCTAATAGTTTCGACCTCTTGGGACAGGCGAGATTGATTAGTAATCAGTACACTGTGCTGTGATTGGCCAGAATGGTTCTTCACTGACTGAAGAGGCTTCTAGTCGCCCAGCGGATTGCTCACCAAGTGGATTTTATGCTCACCGGTGCATAAAATTTGCTCGCAGCGTAGACTGCTATGCCAATGACATAAAAGAGTTCGTAGAGTCCAGCTCGGCTCCGGACATCTTCGCTGTGCCAAGATGTACTTCGTCGTACTGGATCATACGCTGGATCCCGGTGCCATCCGATCGATCATCAGCCGAGCGAGGGTTCCCGGACTTGAAGATTGAAGTCTGGAACTTCATGATGACTGATGACGCGTCTCTGGCAGAGCTGGCTACCGGAGTGGCTCTGGACAGTTGACTTTGTGCGCGAAATACTACCAGGCCAATATCATGAACTGATATCAAGAGGTTCAAATCCAAGGTAGAGGGAGCCGAGCACTTGTCGTTTCCAACGAGGCAAGGCGGCCCGGTAGGAGGAGGAGGAGGAGGAGGAGGAAGAGGCGTCACACACTCTGCCCTGGAAGAAGCAGACAAGTATTGATGTGGAAGACCCTTCTGGTGAATCCAAGTCGTTCGATTTCGACGTGTAGAGTACCACCTTCCACAAGCTCCCTCGCCAATGCCATTGACTCATATCGATATACCCAATCAAAGGGTTGAATCTTACTTGATCTATGCCTCACTGCTTTGGGGTGTAGGGTGCTGAACTCTAGACATAGAAGCAACCAACCATCTGAGAACACGAAGGGTGAAGGTCGTCCTCCGTCATTCTTTGCAAAATACCTTCGGGCGATGAAATTTTCCACACTTTTTCCACACTTTCTTCTAGTTTTTCCTTTTTCTTTTCTCAAAGAGAGAGAAAAAAAATAAAAAAGTGGAAAAAAAAAAGAAAATTTTTCGCAAATCCAAGGGCCAGAACCCAAGAAAGACAAAAGGTAATGTTATCGATGCTGTCGACAGTCATCGATAGTAAAGGCATCGCCATGTCGCCATGTTCGACAGTCATCAATAGTAAAGGCATCGCCATGTCGTTGGCTCAGAGGCAGACTTTTCGTATTCCCTTCCTTTCCCAAGTTCCTAGGCGAGGGAGGGGCCGGACCGACAACGATGTGATACGATGCCTGGCAAGGGAAAAGGTGACAAGGAGAGATGAAATATGTCGACGTCAGATAATATACCGAGTATTGCTCGAAGTCGTACCGAAAGGTGGAATGAATATGGATTGGATGGTCCCTCGTAAAGCCGCGAGGCCAGAGCTCTGCGAGACGCAGCCAAGAGGTTGGCAGATTATTTTAAGTATACCAATACGGCCTCGTATCGAAAGGGGTTTGGCCAAATGGTGGGGCTCCACGGGCTAAACCCTGCAGAGACGTTTTTATCGAAGATCCGGTTGATACTTGACGACATTAAAAAACTCCTCAGAAACCTTATTATTCATTTCACCTGACGACAATGCCCCGTGTAGCCAATCACACGGCAGAGGGAGGGGCCTCTGGACGACCCGTAGTTCCCTGCGCGTCGACCCTTCGACCCTTTGAGCCTTTGAGCCTTCGACCGTCGACAGCGCCAGCGACGGACGAGGTTCGCGGACACCTGGGTAGCTGAGAGCCAACAGCGATGATGTCTGCATCTTGGTATCCCGCCGCCTTCTCTACTACAACTGCTGCACGACTCGGAGTGCCTAGTACAGCGGGTGCAGGACGATGCACTGACACAGGCGCCTCTCTCTTGTCTCTCTCTGCTGGCACGACATATCTCCGGCAGCTCGGGGACTATTTGCAGGATCTTCTTAGCCCAGGGTGCAGGGTGCAGCTGCGATTAATCATGAACGGGCCGATGGAAGGCCAAGCCCAGGCCAAGACAGCCCTACCTCGACGGCGGGCGCCCGATTGTGTTATCGCATACGGGCAATAATTATGTCTCTTGTCTCTCGGAGCATACGTTGTATGCTGCTGATTCGGATCTGGTAAGACGGGTTCGTACCGCTGGCCGCCGCGCGCAGAAGTTGTCGCAGTTCGCAGAGTCAAGACGGGAGAAGAAGACGCCAGTGGCGCCAATGAGACCAAAATTAGAAGAAAGTTTGAATGACGATGATGTGCAGCAAGCGGGGTGAGCGGGACGCACCTGGGGTGTTTGAGGCGGATGTGGATGTGGATGTGGATGTGGATGTGGATGTGGATGTGGCTGCAGCTTCGAGGCTGTGGGCTGATTGATTGATTGATTACTATTGAAGAGATGGATTGAGGAGATGATGGATGATGGCTGATTGATGCGGGTTGACCTGGTGGATGTGGATGTAGATGTGGATGTGGATGTGGTTCTTGGTCCCTCATTCGCACAGACTTCTCGATCCTCAGGCATCGACGGTAAGTGCGAAAAAAAAGAGACGGGAACGACTGCAAGTTTGCAACATCGCGCTTTCCCAATGCAGACACAGGGCCAAGTTGCCAAGTTATCCAAGTTTACCAACGTCGCTATCGGACACCGGCGTAATGTCTATTTTATTTTTACCTGCCTTACCTTATGGCTTGGTTTACCAATGATTTATCGGTTTAGTTGATTTACCTTATCCATCTTCCCATTGCTGCTTCATTCTTATATATATCCACTCGCTCTCGTCCCTTCTCCCCCCATCCACACTCCACATCTCTTCATACTCATCTTCTCCTCGACTTCACAACCTCAACTCCCTTCACACTCTTTGTTCGCACATTTCCCCTCGTTGCGATCCTCTCCCCCCACGTTCGTTTCCTCGCGCAGAAGCACGCAGTCGCTGCTCAATATGAAGACTACCCAGCTTCTCCCCGCCATGGGCCTCGTCGCCACGGCCGCCGCAGGATCATGGGGCCAGCACAACAACTGGAATGCTTCCACCCCGAGCCCTCCCGCCTGGATCACCACCACCGTGACCACCGACATCTACACCACCTATTGCCCCGAGCCCACCGAGGTCACCATGGGCACCAAGACCTACACCGTCACGGACAGCGAGACCCTGACAATCACCGACTGCCCGTGAGTTCCCAGGCTGTCCCTCCTCCTGCCTCTCGTCCATACTGATATTCTCCCCAGGTGCACCTACACGACCTCCTACACCTCTCTTCCTACGCCCACGCCCACGCCAACCTCAACCTGGGAAACCACCTCGTACACCACCATCACCACCGACGTGTACACCACCTACTGCCCCTTCCCCACCGAGGTGACCATGGGTACCAAGACGTACACTGTGACAGAGAACAGCACGTTGACCATCACCGACTGCCCGTGAGTATCCGCCTCCCCTTGTAGCCTCGAGCCATCTATTCTTACACATTCACAGATGCACATACACCACTCCCATCCCGCTTCCCACCTGGACTGCCCCTCCCGCCCCTCCGGCTCCCGCTCCTCCTGCTCCCGCCCCTCCTGCTCCGGCTCCTCCCGCTCCTGCTCCTCCTGCCCCTGAGCAGCCATCCCACGTTCCGTACCCCAACATAACGACCACCATCATCCCTCTCCCTCCGGTCTTGACCACCGAGGTTCTCCCGAGCTTCACCACCTACTGCCCTTCTCCAACCGAGATTGTGCAAGGATCCAAGACTTACACTGTATGTGCATTCGATCCCTCCTCAACTGGCTGAATCTAACAATCATCTGCCTAGGTCACTGAGCCCACCACCCTGACCATCACTGACTGCCCATGCACTGTCACGCGCACCTCGACGCCTCCTCCTATCACGTCCACCGCGACCCGTGATGTTCCCGTCACTGAGTACACTCCAGTCACATCTTACATCACGACTGTGTGCCCGCCTGAATCAACCGAGATCATTATTTCGAGCATCACCTACCCTGTCCCTACACCTGGCACGGTCACCATCCCGATCACCAGCTGGGTGCCCAAGACCGAGACCACCTGGGCCACCCCCGCTCCTCCACCAGCTACTCCTACCTCAGTTGGTACCACAATTGGCACCACCTACGTTCCTTCCAAGCCCAGCGGTACTCAACCTGGTCCTCTCCAGGTCACTAACGCGGCTGTGAAGAACGGTGCCGGTGTTGGCGCTTTTGCCGCTGTTGGTCTCGCTGCCATGCTCTTGTAGACAGCTGCCACGTCTCTTTCTCCCACGTTCCTAATAATAATGGATAGTCGGACATAGAAGGAATTGGCTGGAGACGGTCGGGTCCCAATCGCCTACTCGGCTCTCACTGGTCGAATATTCTTGGAGCCTACTACACGTAGCAGAAGCTGCTCGTTATTGCTTGATAATTCAATTCTCAGTACATATTCTTTTTTCCGATGTTGTTTCTAGAAGATGGCTGTGGGGGTTGCAGCACGATGTCAATAGGGGACATAGCTTGCTTGCTCAGAATATAAAATAGGTCAATAAATAATAATAGATGTGTGAAATGTGTTTCTTTCTGGTCTCACGTGATACAAAGTGGCACATGATTAGAATTATGGGCTAGAGCGCAAACGGATATTTTTGGGATCCGCCTTGGGCTTCGGGAGAAAGAAACGCCTCTTCCGGCAGCGAGAAGAACGACGACCACGGAGAAGGCTGCTTGCCTCGGGACGAACTCTATCCAGGGCCTCAAAGGGACGCTCCAACATCTCTCTCATCAGACAACGAGCTCATCATACAGTAGTAGCAGGTATTTTACTTGTGAAACATTTCTTCCATTTGCACCACCGATTGGTATAAAACGCACTCGCTCGCTCGCTCTATCTCTAAATATTCAAACGAACCCCCAACGAACCCAAAGTATAGAGAGAGTGTGTGTGAGATTAAAAAAAAAAAAGACCAGAAAATCTCTTAAAATAAAGGGGGGGCCGCTTCGCTCATGAGGATCCAGAGACCAGACATATATGATGAGATGATATGTACAGTAAGTAGGTAGATCAGGTGCAGAAAATGGGGAATATAGGTATGAGGACCAGCCCTGGCATTACCTACCCATTTCCTGTCCTGTTTGAGACTTTGAGACCCGAGTTTATGTAAAAGAGGACCGCCCCCCGTCCGTCCGACCCCGTCCGACCCCGCCTGCCTGGTTTGAGTGTTGCTTTGCTCCTTGCCCTGAAGATTGATAAAAAGAGAAAGAGTCTTTCCTTCCTATCGGATTATTTTGAAATAAACCGCCTTTTTTTTATTTTTTTTACTTTGATGATTTTCATTTAAAAGCGGTGATATCCGCCTTTGGAGGAGCCACTCCCGTATTGTGGCGATTGCGAGGTCAGGGGAAAAGTTGGGCTCCGCGGGCTGGTGTTGCTGTTGTTCCCGTAGCCACCGCCGCCGCTCATGCTTTGGTTGTCTCCGGCCCACGCGTGTGCGCTCTGCGGCTGTGGTGAGAGCACGACCGGGCCGGGGCTCGCCATGCGCGAGAGGCCAGGGCTGGTGCTTCGCGATGGGGATGGGACTTCGTAGGATGATATGTTCGGTCCTTTTGACGTCAGGGGAGCACGCGCTTCATCGTCTGATCCCGAGTGGCTCCCTCCCCAGCCGCCTAGGGCGTCTTCGCCTTGCGTGCTGTTGTCCCATCCTCCGAGGCCCTTCTCGCGGAGCTCCATCTGGTCGCGGTATGCATCGTCACGCTCCTTCTCCACCTTGGCGTTGTAGGCCTCCCGCTCGCGGCGTCCGGCGCGTCGCTGGCGGATGCAGGTGAATAACAGGACGGACAGCGCCAATGCAGCAACGCCGCCGGCGCTGCAGTAGACGGCGAGCTTGGCGCCCGTGGGGAGCTTGGCCCATTTCTGGGCTATGGTCTCAGGGGGAGGTGCGGTGAGCTTGTGTGCTACTGTGGAGTTGCCGCTGTTACCATTTGTCAGTAAGGTATGTCTTGGCTAGGAATAGTTGATGGGGGGAGGGGGGAGTACGCACGCAATGGTCTTAATACTCTGCCAGCTGCCCGAGTGGTCGCTGTATACGTATTCCTTGCCAGTGGAGAAATCATTGACCGTGGCGCTTTGCACGTACATGGTGAAAGGCCCCTTGGAGTAATCCGTGACACCACCAGCCCATTCGACGGTCCCTGGCTGGTTCTCGGTGGGGTCTCCGCCGGCCCAGATTCCGAGACGAACAGTCATGGGTGTTTGGGGATAATTGTAGCCTCCATCCGCGGCAGCATACGGGAGCGTCCTGACCAGCGCGCCATCAATATACCATTCCAGCTTTTCCGCAGTCCAATGGGTGGTGTAATTGTGGAAGTTATCTCGCGTATCGGAAGAGACGGGGTAGTAGACGGCACGGTCATAGGAAGAGAGGTTGCCTTTGCCGAAGTAATTGGTTTCTACATATGTAGCATTGCCGCCGATAAATTCCCAGTCCACCTCGTCGAGATCGTCGGATTGGAGCACAATGGAAGAGATGATGCCCTGGCCGGGCGCCGCGCGCATTATGACGGATACAGAGCCGAAGAAGATGTAGAATTGGGATTGGATAGTGGGGGAGTCGCCTTTCTGGGCGATGGTGAACTCGGCTCCATTGTTGCCATAGTTGAGGGTGCCAGCGGTGACATTGAAAGCTTGGTCGACAGCAGTCGAGGTGTTGAAGTAGAAAGTGTGATTGAGACCGAGAGCAGGGTCAGGCGGGCAGGTCAAGGACGCATTCATAGGATTGCAGGCCGTCCATGTTTGGGCGAGGACTGGTGTGAGCAGAACTGAGGCTCCGGCGAGGAGCGATAGGAATTGCATGGTGAGAAAGAGCTGGTGTCGTCCAGCGGCAGCAGCTATAGAAGAAGAAGAAGACCGGAGGGGGAGTGAACGAGGGACTTGCGTCCAGAGAGGTTTCAGAGGTATCGACAGTCAGTCCAGGCAGAGAGAGAGACAAAGCGCACGCGAATGATTGAATGATTGAACGATTGAACGATTGGATAAATACGACGACCGACGACGACGAAGGAGTGGAATGTGCAGAAATGCACTTCTCGCGATAGAGGTGGAGGTGGAGGTGAGGATGAACGACGACCGGATGAAACTGGGATGAGAGAGCAAAGGGGGAGAAGCCGGGGCGAAATGAACTGTGCCTCCCGCCTTTCTGCTGCTGCAGTAGGCGATGTGACTATTCGGAGGTAAAGGGGTTCGGGGAATTGTTCCTCCGTAAGACAAGGTACGGGACTAATTACCTACTAGAATACCCCTAAAAGCTGTCTTGGACTCTTAGGGTGTGCTAAAATACCCTAACCCAACCTAAAACAGCCTAAAGCGGTAGCTAAAGTAGCCAAACCGCCCCCAACGCCCCCGTATCAATGATTCTCCGTCTTCTTAACACCGAGCCGCTCACCGCCTTGCCAGAAAAGCAGTTGGATAATGGATGGGAAGGCTTTGCTACGGAGTTTAGATCCATTGCCTGGGCTTGTATGAAGGTATGAAGGTACGGAGGTACGTAATCATATAATAGGCATTCACAATAGATCGTGTTATGTGCACAGGAACATTACGGGGTATACTACTCTGCCGGACTACTCGCTCTCTCCCCCTCCGGGAAGTGCATCCCCATCCTCATCTACTCCACCGGCGCACTCTTCCTCGCCGCCGTCTCTGCGTACTGCATACTCTCCCCATTGAACCTCTCCCTGTAAGTCGTAACATGTTCCGGCACCTCCTTGACCTCATTATATGGCCCCGGCACCGGCTCCCCGAACTGCTCGTACAAAGGCAAGACTCCGGTCCAGACAGTCTTCAGTGACTGCGAATCTGCCAGGTCGCTTTTCACATCAGTCGGCACTCCTTCCCTCACCTTCGCACTCCCACTATCTATATGAACCCGCAAGATCTGGGTCGAGGCCATCTCGCCGGCGTTGGGAGGGACCCGGGAATGTCGCCAGCGATCCGGGACCACGGAGTTTGTAATTAGCTCCATAGCCCACAGCTTCTCCTCGACGTCATCCACCAGCTTCGCGTACCCAAACAGGACCGCTGATCGGTAATTGTAGTTGTGGGAGTTTGGCGTGAGGGATAAGACAAGCCCGTCGACCTTGGACGCGGCGATGCACACAGGCAGACCTTTGGTATCTGGGGATGAGCGCGCGAGGTTCATGATTCGGCTTGAGACGTAGCCATGAAGATAGACCTCGAGGGGCTCGGAGAGAGAGGCGGAGGGTCGCGAGAAGGAGCCCATCTGCCCGATCATGGGCAAAATGACAGGGAAGGGGTCTGTGGGGGAGGGCTGGAAGGAAACATGGAGGACGGGGGTAGTGTTGATGATTGTGTGGATAGTTGTGAGAGAATAGACAGCTAGAAGAGCGTTAATGAGGAGTATGATCAAGAGAAGAGGAGCGAGAACCCTGATGCTTGTATCTGTTCACTGTGTTATGGACATCTTTGGGGTATTCGAGGTTATGGCGGACCATGATTGTCTGAGATCTCCTTTGTAAAGTAAATCAATCACCTTGGTAGAATTGTCTGCCTTTGTAAACCAATCCAGGACCACGAGAAGAATGCTATATTGAAATATGAAAGATGCAAGGAGACGTGTTTACTTATCTTTGCTCTTTGGAGTCTACTCAACCCATTTCTGTATCGAACACGGAGAGTCGATAAGGTAAAGGAACAATGTGGGAGGTTCCCCAGACGCGCTAGTCCGCTTAGGCAATCCCACGCGGGGTCTTCAACCCTGACAACCACATCGATGGAAGTCCCACCATTAAGGTTTCCTGTCAGATGCCCCTACAGTATTTCCTACAATCTCTTATCAGACCAGCTCCGCCTCCCCAACCTACAAACAGGAATCAAGTCCGGTACGTATCACATAAGCCGCCTTGGATTTCCTCCTGATCCTGGCCTCGACCACCCCGTGCACGCCTCTGAGATACTATGGGGAGATAGTCCCGATCCCCGCCGCAAGGCCCTCAGCCCATCATGGCCTTCTTAGAAATCGCATGCTTCAACGAAGAATCCGCAAGCCGTGCAGCGGAATCCGGCGCCGATCGCATCGAGCTATGCAAGGAGCAGTCACTGGGTGGGACGACGCCCGACCTCTCGACGCTCATCGCGCTCCGCTCTACCGTCAGCGTTCCTATAAACGTCATGATCCGCCCCCGCAGCGGAGACTTCATCTACTCCTTTGTGGAGTGCTCGATCATGAGGTCTGATATCCGCTCGTTTGCTGAGGCCGGCGCGGCGGGTTTTGTGTTCGGGGTCTTGACTGATGACCACAAAATCGATCTTACTTTGAACGCGTGGCTGGTTAGCGAAGCTGCTGGGAAGCCTTGTACTTTCCACCGCGCGTTTGATGAGCTTGAAGGTGAGGCGGACGAGATAGAGTTGCAGTTGGAGGTGTTGATTAAGTGTGGGTTTAAGGCTGTGCTTACCAGTGGTGGGGCGCCGAATGCCGTAGAGGGGAGGCAGAGGCTGGCAAGGCTGGTAGAGAGGGCTAATGGTAGGATCGATGTGATTGTTGGTGGTGGAGTGAGGAGTGATAATGTGGAGGTTCTGAGGGAGACGGGTGCTAGCTGGTTTCATTCTAGTGCTATCGTGGATGGTGGGGAAGTTGCGAGTGGGCAGGAGGTGAGGGCGTTGAAAGAGAAGCTGGATTCCTGGCATTAAATGCCGTTTCCATT